CCGCTTGACGGCGCAACGTTCGAGAAGATGGAGAAGTCGACGGATCTGAAAGGAATCGCAGAACAGAGCTGATCCAGTCATCCTTGCATTGCTCAGACGCCATGTCACAGTTATCTGGGAACGCAACCATTTCGTCCACGGCAGATAAACATGCAGAGCTTTCAGCGGACATAGGCGAGCGTGATAAAGCGTCGGCATCAGTGTGACGTCGGCCAGACCTGTAGACAACACGCATGTCGAACTCTTGCAACCGCAAAGCCCAGCGAGCTAAACGGCTGGAGGGGTCCTTCAGCGTGGATAACCAACAAAGCGCATGGTGATCGGTGACTACGTCGAAAGGGCGACCATATAGGTACGGTCTAAATTTACCTAGAGCCCATATAATTGCCAGACACTCCTTCTCTGTCACAGAATAGTTCTTCTCCGCTTTGGTGAGGGTACGGCTTGCGTATGCGACTACGTACTCCTGGAATCCCGATTTACGCTGCGCGAGCACGGCGCCGAGTCCAACACCGCTGGCATCAGTGTGTACCTCCGTCGGAGCAGTCGGGTCGAAATGACGCAAGATTGGTGGCGAGGTTAACAGACGGCGCAACTTTTCGAAAGCATCGTCACAGGCGGGTGACCAAGCGTAACTTTTCGAGTCACTGCGTAGAAGTTCAGTCAAGGGGGCGGTGATCATAGCAAAATTCCGAATAAAGCGGCGGAAATAGGAGCAGAGGCCAAGAAAGCTGCGCAGATCCTTCAGAGACGCAGGTTTAGGGAACTCTGCAACTGCCCGAAGCTTGGCTCTGTCAGGAAGAATACCCTCTTTAGATACAACATGACCGAGGATGGTGAGCTGACTTGCGCCGAAGCGGCATTTCTTAAGGTTGAGCTGAAGGCCGGCGTCAGTTAGGCACTGCAGCACTTCATCTAGCCTGCGGAGATGCGTTGGAAAATCCGGGGAAAATATAATCACGTCATCCAAGTAGCACAGGCATGTTTTCCACTTCAGGCCACGCAAAAGATTGTCCATCATCCGCTCGAATGTTGCGGGTGCGTTGCAAAGACCAAAAGGCATGACACAGAATTCGTAAAGGCCATCAGGTGTGACAAAGGCCGTCTTAGGCTGATCTTCAGGTGCCAGAGGGACTTGCCAGTAGCCACTCCGTAAGTCAATAGAAAAGAAGAACTCCGCACCTTGGAGGCAGTCAAGGGCATCGTCGATTCTCGGTAACGGGTAAACGTCCTTTTGAGTTATTTTGTTAAGACAACGGTAGTCAACACAGAAGCGAATTGACCCGTCCTTCTTCTTAACGAGAACGACTGGAGATGCCCAGGGGCTGTTCGAAGGCTGGATGACGCTACGCTTGAGCATGTCAGCTACTTGGTCATCGATAACCTGGCGCTCGGCTGCGGACACGCGATAGGGTCTTTGACGCAATGGCGCGTTGGTACCCGTGTTGATGCGGTGACACACGGCTGACGTGCGGCCGAGGGGAGTATGCTGGCAGTCGAAGGAATAACGGAACTTGTTCAGTAGTCGTAGAAGCTGAGCACGTTGCGAAACGGTTAACGTGTCGGCGATGGAGCTGCTCAGTACGTCCGGCCTAGTAGTCTGCGGCGAAAAGGCACAGGTCACTCCGGCGACTTCGTGTTCGGCGGAAAGACCAGCCGGCATGTCGATAATTGCAGAAGGGTCGAGACTGTAAACACGCCCGACGCACTCACCCCGGAGTAGTGTTACAGGACATGACAACAGGTTCGAGATGAGTAGTCTGCTGACGCCATCATGAAGTTCTAGAAGGGCATAAGGTAGCGGCGAACACTTGCGACGAACGAAAAGAGCAGATGGCGTGAAAAGGGCACTAGACTCGGCGAGAGAGTTGCAAGACACCATGGTAAGGGCAAAAGAGTGCGGCGGTATGATGACGTCTTCAGCAACAAATAGTTTGTCCCCGGTTTCATGAGCATCATATAATGGAGCGTCGTCAAACACTTCAAATGCCACCTCAGCGCGCGAGCAATCGATGACGGCCTTATTAGCGGAGAGAAAATCCCAGCCCAAAATGAGGTCATGGGAGCAGGAATCCAACACTAGAAATTCAACGACATAAATGAGGCCATCAATCGCGATGCGAGCAGTACAAGCAGCGGCCGGTGTGACGTGATCTGCACTGGCTGTACGAAGTGATATACTAGCTAGTGGCGTCGTAACTTTTTTTCAGCAAGCGGCAGAGTCTAGCACTTATCACTGAAACTGCGGCACCAGTGTCGACAAGAGCGAGTGCAGCGACGCCGTCCACATGTACGTCCAGAACATTCGTTGGTGAAGTGAGAGGCCTTGGTCTTTTCGCTGGCGACGCAGTTCCTGCCTCTGGAACTGCGGCAATTAGTTTTCCCGCTCCGGCGATGAAGGACGACGACGCATCAGCGATGGCGAGCGGCGTCGAGGTGATGGCGAACGGCGGTTAACAGGAGGGCGGTGGTCGGCGTACGATGGCATCTGGTCGGGTGGCTGAGAGCCTGTCAACGAACGGCGCGGTGGCACATAAAGGGCAGGTTCGAAGGTCTGGTCGTAGCTTTGTCGGTAGACAGGAACGCGCCGACGGCAGTATCGCGCTATGTGGCCAGGTAGCCCACAGGCAAAGCATATTGGGCGATTGTCGAGTGTACGCCATTGTCCACTACTCTGGACGGACCTTGACTGAGCGAACCGAGGAGTGGGTCGGAGCGGCACGGCTGAGGGAAGCGACGTAAAAGTCTGAAAAGGTGGTCGAGCCGCTACTTCAGCATAGCTTAGAGGTGCATTTACCTCGGCACAGGCAACAGGGCTCGGCAAGGGTGAAGTGTCACGGGCAGATGGCAGAGCCGCGCAAACTTGCTCCTGGATGACCTGGCGAATGTTTGCTGGCAGAGGTGACGCTGGTTGGCCGGCTGTTGATAGCAGCGATAGCTGACGAGCGACCTCAGCACGAACAAACTCCTTAATCTGCGATAGCAGCGACTGAAGGTCAGATGTGGTGGTCAGGCTGGAGAGGGTGTCATCCGGGACGTCAGGGTGTCGAGTGAGAAGACGCTGTCGTCGCAGCTCGTCGAAACTCTGACACAACTCAATGACCTCAGAGACAGTGACAGGGTTCTTGGAGAGCAGCATTTGAAAGGCGTCGTCGGAAATGCCTTTCATGATATGTCGCACCTTGTCAGTTTCGGCCATCGACCGGTCGACACGCCGGCAGAGGTCAAGGATGTCCTCTATGTAGCTGGTGAATGTCTCACCAGTTTGTTGGGACCGGCCTCGTAGGCGTTGTTCTGCGCGAAGTTTGCGCACACCAGGGCGTCCAAAAACACTGCGATGCAGGTTTTGAAGGTAGTCCAGGTGGGGATATCCGCCTCATGGTTTCTGTACCACAGCTTGGCAACATCCGTTAAATAAAACATCACGGTGCCAAGCTTTGTGGGATCGTCCCATTTGTTCGTAGCGCTGGCTCGTTCATACGATTCCAGCCAATCCTCAACGTCTTTCTCGTCGGTACCGCTGAAGATGTCGGGTTCTCGCAATAGCTGTGCACCGGGACAGCTCCTGCGTGGCGAAGCCGGTGGGGGTGTGAAAACAGCGTCGTCAGGCATGACGGACGGCAGATTTCGGCTACGCAGTTCCAGGACTGGGGAAGACCGCAGCACTCTCCACCAAAATATAATGTAAATGCAAGGTAAACAGCGGTAGCGGCGTCGGTACCGAAGCAGCAAGAGCAGGCCGAGTATACGGGCAGCGTCGCAGCAGCAATCAGGCAGTTCTAGCTAGTGCCTCGCGCCCACGTGTCGATGTCGCTGCAGTAGTGGGCATTCCTCTTCACTACAAATATATATATATATATATATATATATATATATATATATATATATATATATATATATATATATATATATATATATATTGTGAATACGGGTCCTTTGAAACCTAACCATATTTTGGAACACGAAATTTTTCAGCGATTGTTATCATACACGCAATGCAGGGCCCATATAAGGCGATATTATTCCAATTTTGTGTTTTTATCGGAATTTGTAAATTTTCGAGTCACGACCATTTCGCCTGTCGGTCGAGCGACGGTCGGAAACCGCAAAAAAGACGTAACTTGAAAGATTACGAATACGCAGCGATTGTCCTTAACTATACCTAACAAACTGTAGTTCATGTAGCAGCGAAGAAAAATGACCATCTGTACTTACTGCTTCGTGCCGTCCAGGGCTCACAACTCAATGCGCACGGCCTGCCTGTTGACGTGCTCGCTCGTGGCGGTGTCTGCCAGCGCGTCCAGCATGATCACCGGGGCTGCCAAGGACGCGCTCACCAGCAATTTAATCGTGTGAGTTCAATTATGAGCTATATATAATTTACACTCTACTACGTTTATCTCCTTTTAACTATCAGCATCGGCCTGATGCTTGCAAGAAAATCTTTCTAAAACATGCAGCCACATGCAACGTATCAAAGTATTCGCGCGTTGTGTGTTGCATGCATGTACACATATATCACTGATACGAAACGTGGTTGTCGGGCTACATGTATAGAAAGGGCACTGCGCTGGCGGAACATGTTGTAGTCGATTCGAAGCCCTATCAATAACAAACGTTAAAGAAAATTGGGTCACTCCGCAGCACCCTCGACATGGCTCCCCCAGTGCATCGGCGTGTGTGCCCTCTGCGTTCAAACGCATTCATTGTACGTTCTTTCTTTAGTCTTTAATAACTTATGCTGGTGTGTTTGTCCATTGAATGTGTAACGCCAGTGTCGCAGAGCCACTTTTCTTTGCAATCAGGTCAGACCCGGACATAAATAATGAATTGTGATTGGCTCCTTCATGCAACCTGCAGAAGGGAGGCAGTCACTGTCGATAAATTTGATTCCAACCTGGATGCTGTTCGGAGTTCGAGCAATGCGAAGAAAGCCGTCGGGAACTTTGCCATCAAAGCATTTTCTGTCCCACTTATTTTTTTCCCTGCAGCAAGAAAAACCTCGGCGGGCTGGTCGCTTGGCTGGTCCTGGTGACTCCCGCCTCGATCCTGTGTGCCACGTCATGCTGCGCATGGCTCTACTTCCTGCATCTGAGTGGACGGTGAGCACTGCATCGCGATTCTATAACGACACCACGAGACTGGAGATTAGTAGCTCATTTACAAAATTTAGGTCGACGTTTTAGTTCAATGAAGTCGCAAAGCGACCGGCAGTCATAAATGGTCGCCTTTGGCTGAAAGACGACTCCAATACAGCAATGATGTATGTGTCTACGATTCTATTGTGCGCACGCAACAGACGCTCATGAGTACGTCACAGATGCGCTACTCTTACTCACTTTGATTGAGACTGCAATCCATGCATGTGCTGCAAAATGAGAACTAGAAGTAGAAGAAAGAATTAACCAACTGAACTTGGCAGACACTGATGAAAGAGCGAAGACTTACAAAGAAGCCTTCGCTTCGCCAATTATTTCAGCTAGTTGAATGAGGTGGGGCTTGAACGAAGTGGGCTTGAATGAACAGGAATGAAGCGGCAGGAGTGGCTGGAGTAGTAGTGGGTGTAGTGGCGAGTGGTGGGAGTCGTAAGCAGTCACATCCATCCGTTTCCCATATACGACGAGCCCCGGATATGAAAGCCACAACTAAGAATTTCTTCGCTGCTGAAAGCGTGGCTTCTCACTTCCAGTAGTTGCAGCGCTAGCGTACGCTCGCCAGGACGAGCGTATGCAAGCACTGCGTCCGTTATAGTGGAGAAGATGGTCCATTTTTGTGAAGGGCTCTGCACTTTAGCGGTGAAGTACGCTTTCTAATGGCACGGCAACCACGTAGCTAAGTTCTTCAAGTTATTCCGCCAACAAAGCGCTTTGAAAACTCATCTGTAAGACCCTGCCTATTTGTCGCTTTATACAAATTCCGCCGTAAAATAGAAAATTGATGTGAAGGCTTAGTGATAGGTCTGTTAAGAACGTGATCGCTGAGCCGAAGTTGTGGTTTTTGTCCGCCATCATTAAATGTTTGTGCAATGGTTGCAGCAAAGCCCAATCACCTGCGGAGATGAACGAAGTCTGCGTCACAGCTGCCACCAGGCTGAGCAAGATGGGGCCCATCAAGTACGTGCTTTTTTTGGTACCGAAGGTGACGTGACTAAATTGAAATGAATTTCAGCAGCATTTTTTTTTCTTTTGAAATTCCTTAAGGAAAACTGTATTGAAGACCGCATCTATGACGATGAATGACGCAAGACGAAGCAAGTATGGGTCGATATCAAAGGTCATGCAGTCACTTTACTTAAGTTACCATATGTACTTGAATACAACCAGCGCTCGTTAGTAGGGGTGCACGATCGAATGTTCAAAAATTTCGAATCGCGAATCGAACAGCATTCCATTCTGTTCGAAATCTATTCGAATGTTCGTTGAACTTGAATATTCAATCTATGTAATTCTATTTATATCGTGAAGTTTGTTGTTTTAATTATAAAACTGTCAAGCCGCATGCAGTCAGAGGTCTTACTGGACAGTCGACGCTGTATCCATTACAGGACAAATGCTTTATTAATCAAGTTTCAGTGTTACCGAAGCGATATAGTTATCAATCCACTATCTTCATCAAGGCATATATGACGACGTTAGCTCGAGAATATTGTCTCATATCTATACACCAGTTTCACTTTAAAACTTTAGACAAAGTGTCAGCTTGAATACTATAGTCATTTCTATATTATCCTGCAGTTACAAAACATACCTATGGATTTAGTTGATGGTCGGTGCATACGAGCTAGCTTGCCTTAGTGAACAAAGTTGTTCTTTTTCTGTCGTTTCAATGTAATCGTAATGTCTTTTCGTTAAACGTAATGAACATTTGTTCCAAATAAAATGTGGAATTATAGGGCTGTCTCAAGTGGGTATCTGAAAATCATTCGAATTGTATGCGATTGGCATTTATTCGGTGTCCTCACAATTTGATTCGTATTCGGTTCTGGTCATCAAATTCTCTATTCGTTCACACCCACTGTTTTAACTCAAACATGTCTACGTTCAACGAGGATGCTTGTAGCCTACACAAACTGTAGGCTACAAGCATATGTGCGCGAGGAACGCTGCATTCACGGGGAAGCACTGCTCTTCTCACGCGCGTACACGAATACTTCTCAAACGTAAATGCATGATGCAGCAAACGAACTTGTAAATTCGGATAAAATAATAACATTCCCAGAAATTGGGGACATCTGGACGTGGGGCCATCTCTCGGCAGCAAAAGCGGCAGCCTGCCAAAACTGGGAAATGGATAAGAAAAATAGTACATTTTGGTAAAACTGCCGCATCGCATTACAAGTCCGCTGGCTTCCCAGGACAATTGAATACCACCCGTTCAAACACATTGTTAATTATTAAACACTCTGGGAAGCCACGTGGTTTGTTGTGCGACACTCTAACTTAGCCAGACTGTTCAAATAAGTTTCTGAGTATAAAACCAGGAGTCATTTTTGATAACTATTTTTTTTCAGTCAGATATGATTTGTTTCGCCAACTTCCCATTTAGTTACGACCGGCTGCCGCTGTGGCAGGCGAGAGATGGCACTAAAAGCAGATTCCCCCAAATCATGGTCATGCTGTGTTGGCCGCAAAAATGTGTTTACGCTTTCTATCGTAACTGTGCGGCTTATGCTGGGTACGAAATCGCTCCCTTCCAGAGTCGACAAACATGAGAACATCCATTAAATTTGCGGCCAAAGCATGTCATTATTCCATTAAATTAACTCCTTCGCCGTAAAAGGTGACCGCGAGAAGCGTAGGACATTTGCAACACCATAAAGACGAAGGAGTTAAAAGGAAACAGTTCGCGGGTGCGCGGGTGACAGCGGCATCACTCTATACACGTTACTCAAGCACAATATGTTGGAGCTCGTCTTCGCCAGAACGCTGGCGTAAAACGAGCACAATCGCATTATAATGTATAGTGTATCCAAAATCGGCTTCACTAATCGAACAACCGAGCTTAGGAAAGTTGGGGTGGACGTAATCTGAAAAATGTGCTGTTGTATCACGTCACCATAGCCTGCTTTTAAGCGCTAAAGAGAATCGCGAAAAAAAAGAGGAGATTTTAACACAACGTGAACAATCTGCACCTACTTGGGGCGTTGCTCCGTTCGCGATTGTTTCTCTTTCTATACCTCTCTCACAGCACCAGCGACCTCTTGATAGCTTACGGCCTGGTGGCCTACGTCGGTTTCACCACAATCGGCGCAGTCTTGGGGTACAACGCGAGGTAAGGCAACAAAACACGGGACGTCTGCTTGCGAAAATACTTTCACAAGTGAATGAGTAATGGTATCAGTAATAGAAGGAATGACACCTATATGAAATAATGAGAACCAGCTGTGTGTTAGTTCTCATTAATGTTGTGTCTTAATAAAGAAAGAAAACAAGACCTTAGATTTCCATTTCTTTCCTTCGCCTATATGAAGTGACTCGTGATAATTCCTTGGAAGCTGCTATCGGTGTTACTACGACATACTTATTAACAGTAGAATTAGTGTCCCTACGCTTCGTTGGATTCATCATTCGCTTGTTTTAATTCAAGAAAATATTCGAAGCATAACTTTGCCAGTGACTTCTGCTGTGCCCGTAACCTGTACGCATGATCACGCCAAGCTTCCATCTCCTCCCAAATTTGTCTTAGTTTAATTCCTTGCGTAAAAGCCATACGTATTGAGCGCATAATCAATGCAACCGAGGATTGCGTATTTATCTATTTGTAGTCTTAACAGTAGTGACTCGTGCAGTTTTAAGGGTGGAGCCATTTAAGCGTTTTGTTGCGTCATGTAGTACGAAGGGCAATCATCGCCATCATGAACCGGTATAAGCGCTCGCTTCGTCCCCAACCTTTCCATCACTCCCACGACACGTGCGCCGATTTGTCCAGCGTGCAATATAACAAGAACTAGGAACGGCGAGTCTGTTATAGGGCTAAAAATCACGTAACATCACGTACCAAGTAGTTACGGTAATTAAATTGCGTAACGTAACGTAACTAGTCGCGTGGCTAGAAATAGCGTAACGTAATGTAATTACATTACTCACATGACTATAATAACTGCATCATCTAATAGCTAATCACATGACATGTTCCCGAGTAATCCACGCGACAGCTCGTCATGTGACTAAAATCACAACATCACGTAAGAGGTAGGCATGTCACATCTCTAGGCATACTTTGTATTACCAGCAAAAAACTTAGCACCTATAACAAAACCTTGGCATTGCTAGCAAAACTTAGCTAGGTCGAACACTATAGCTCCGCTGATGGTTCCTGTCTTGCGCTAATATTGCAAGCTGAGCATTTAAAAGAAAATTGGAACTGTATAGAAACTCTATGAGCTATACGTACTCAAGTACGCACTTTCTCCTGTGTGTATAAAGCTCGTGAACACGCTGCTGTTCATTGCCCAAATCCTCGCAGCAAGAACATGCTGTCGTTCTTGAGCTTTCTGCTGGTGGCGAGCAGCACGCTTCCGGTGACCATCCAGCGGTTCTGGGACGAGGAGAGTCGCATGCTCGTCTGGGCGTCCGTGTCTCGGGACATGCCGTGGGCCGTCGTCATCATGAACAGCACCGTGCAGCTAGCCACGCATGTTGTCGAGGCAAGATGCCATATTTTGAGCCATTGAAAATGCGCAGGTATTAATGTACGACGAGGACACGGACGTTTGGCACCTTTGTACGTGCTGACGCGAGTTCTCGCTCACCGTATGGACTTTTGTTATGCTTGATTCCCACGTATCTTGTCAATGTGTACATCAAAAACTTGATACGATAACGTACACATTTAAGCCAGTGCTCTGGCGTGGTGTCTGTTCATCTTTTAATGTCCAAAGGATACCCTGCGTTGGGCTGCTTGGATACCAGAAAAATGCAGAGACCATGCAGACATGGCGGACATGCATCGGCTTCGTATAGTAACTATAGATAAGCCGTCATTGGGTGACGTAGACGCCATATCGCGTCGTATAGTCGTCTTCTGCGCAGATTGCTGGAAGATGAACCCTCACCAATTCACCAAGCTTTCAACGCTTGCTATAGTCACCTTGACATGCACTGTCATATAGTTTTTTTTTAACAAGCGGCAAAACGAAGGCCTTTGTATAGAAGTGTGCTGATGTCAGTTAGGTGTCCGTGTGATTAGAACCATCAAGAGAGCTAGACTTGTGGTCATATGTCCGCCATGATGTAGCATAGTTCATCACTCATTCCGCGCGTTGGTCACACGTCCCCGAGTCCAAGAATTCGCATTATAGGACATATGCGCATAAGATAAACCTGAAAACCGTAAGTGGCAGCGTATGGTCAGGACGGTATGGCTGGTGTGCACGTTTCAGAACAACAACCTTGTGGAAAGCGGCCTCGACTCGCTGGGCGTGGACTTCTGGACGCATAACTCTCCCCTGGCAAACCAGCTGCTGCTGGGCGCCATCGGCAGTGTGCTCGCCGAGGTCATGGACAACAAAGTGCTCAACTTCGACCTGATGCCATTCGTCGTGAAAGTCGTGAGTGAGCGGCCCTTGCCGAAGTGCGATAGCAACGGGTTCGTGGGTAAATACGCAAAACGAGGCAAGTGGGCTTTTCCTCGCACCACTTATTGCCTTATGTAAGATGGCTGACCTCCAACTGGCACTGAACCCAAGCTAGCAAACTAAAGCAAGAAATCGAGGAAAAAAATACTTATTTCGACTTCCAGGACAAGACCTGTCATTTATCGCTCCGTTCCTAAATAGTTCACTAGTAATCTTCATTTGTCTAAAGACGAAGCCGTCATTTTATCACCGTCACATACATTTGTGACCGCACGAGAGGTGTTACAAACAATGCGTTGATAAAGGTATTTCTTTTGCCATTCTGAAGGGCTTACTTGCCATCTTTCTTATATAGGGATTTGACGAGGGAGCCGGCCGGAACGTTGTCGGCACTGCTTACGAAAAATATTTCAAAAAGAATATCTCAGGCGAGCTTAGGTTCCTTGCTCGATTCGAAGACAAGCACACCGGGTGCTCATAACTGCATTATAGAAATATATGTTCACCCTGCAGGCCGAGATGACCGCTGTCCAGCCGTGGGTGTACGCGGTGCCAGCTGCTCTGGGCGCCTGCACCAACATGATCCTGCCCATTCACCTGCCCATGATCGTCATTCACGAAGTGGTCGACGTGTCCATGCTGCAACTGGTGAGCTATGACAAGCACGAAGCTCTGGCGTTTGTCCTTGTCAGATAGTTGAAAAAATAATGCATATAAATAAAACTGCCATTGCCAGGAACACGAGACGATAAAGAAATAAATGTTGATGGGACAAGCTGCTTTTTGGCGATTCTTTATTGTGCATGTGCAAGAAGACTTGCCGGAAGACATATGTTCGAACGGCATATACACCACGTTAACTTAGCGCACAAGAACTATGTAGAAGATGGACAATCGAAGGGAGCTCTAAAATCTGTTCCATTGCTTATCCCCGTCCTGTTTGTTATTGGTCTTTTAGTTGTGTGACCACATTTAGAGGGCTGTCTGAATTAAAGCTTGTTCCGACATTAGCTCAAGGATATAGATAGGCAAACTCATTCATTGGTCGGCTCACTCAGTCTCGATCAGATCAAGTCCCAAGTGACCTCGGATCAGTAATATTTTTGTGAGTTTCAGTCCAATTGAGTCAGCTCGAGAAAACTTTTAGTGAGCCTGATTCTTACTGAATTCTAAGCGCAAAATATTTCTATAGTGAGTCTGAAACATGTTTTGCTGACCTATGGAACCATGTTTGCAAGATGTTTCAGCGCGCGAACAAAGGAAAAAGGACAGGGTAGACAGAAGATGGACTTTGTTCGCGCGCTGAAACATCTTGCATATATGCACCAACTAGCCCAAGCTTCCTCTCTTGTGAGTTACTATGGAACCACTCTACTTCATAGCATTGCTATTGGCCTTATGCATGGCAGTCGGCAGGGGGATGGCAAAGGGGGCAGTTGTGTTCCCTCACGCTTCACCATTACTTGCCCTCACTCAAACCTCCCCCAGTGCTCTTCCCCAGCCGCCATGCAACACTGGTTGGCACCCCTCAAGCGAAACTCTTGCCGACGAGCATGGCCTTATGTCATATCACATGTACACTCACGTCTGCTAACACATCGACGTACTAGCGTTCTAATGTCACTTAATATTTATTGATAAGAGGCATGAGTTACATGTGTGGAGCGGGATAGGGGCTTATAACTCCCCTTCCACCTTCCTTACCTTCTCAAACTCTTTTACGAGACCTTCTAAATTAAACTATCTCGTGTGAGTCATATATTTCAATAAAGATGTCCTCACTAGATTACAACCACTGATAATCCGTATTTGAAGGGTAGGAGATCAAAATGTGTATCGTTGAGCGTCTTTTATGAAATATATTGGCGTTAAAGTGTTTTGACAGCATAATCAAAAATCTTATTAAATACGAATGACCTCCCGAGTCGACTCGGACTCACTCAGGCTTAGATGGAGCCATGAGTGCGAGCGAGTCCGATTGAGCTTTACTTCGGTGAGGGAGTCAGGGTGAGTAAGGGTTCATTCTACTTTGTGGGGAATTCTGAGTGAGCCCCACATTTTTGGCCGACCTATGCTCAAGTATATTGCTTTTCTTCACCAGCCAAGTTTCCGTCATACTGTGTTCTTGTGTTCGTGATTATACCGCTGGCTTTTTCTATGTTCTTTTTATAATCTGTGCTGTAAGCTTTTCGCAGCTTCTGTTTCAAACGTATTGTAACAAAACATTCATTTGGGCTAGTTTGTAGCGGTTTATTATGAAATGCACTTGTGTTGTTGTTCTCTCATCCAGTCTGTGTTACGTACTGCGCTCCACTTCTACCTTTCATTCAGTTTCAAAATCTGTATTCATATTCCTTATGAGTGTTTTCAAGTATTGTTTTCTAGATCCTATTACTCAACCCTCATTATAACAAAGTTGCATCTTAAAAATAAGTTTGATATATCCGTAAATTCACTATAAAAGTTATGCCTAACATTATGTTTCGCAAGACTTTTTTTATTTACTTCTTTGTGACCAATATTTCGTTATAATCACGTTCGTTATATCGAGGCTCAAGTGTATATTGTTCCGTAACAATATCAGTTTGCAATCCACGACGTCTTACATCTGTTCCAGTGCACATGACGGTCACTTCATGTGTATTCATTACACTTTTTTCGAGCTTAATTGACGTGTGTTTTCTGTTCGAAAACTTCTTTCCTTTGTTATAGAGTGTCTCTGACGCTACTGCACGTCGTAAGCAGTGCACACACCTAAGACCTGAGCTACTGTTACAGGCACTGCTGTTTTGAAGGAAATCTCCCATAGCTTGAAAGCGAAGGCATGGAGCGGGTTGAATGGACCCCCAACAGCATCGTTTCATACATCCAGATTAACTATAATACATTAAAAATAATAGTAAATTAAATTTAGCAGATGGTTCTAGCACTTTCTTAGTCATAAGGCTGTGTGCGTACCTTTTATGTAGCATAGTCACCGGCACTTTCTCCGTGGAACCACCCGTCTCGCTTCCTTTGGCGCGTGTAATCCCACACAGTCAGCAACTTGCCGCCACCGTTCGCGATCCCGTCACCTTATGGGCTATTTTCCTTCTAATCAAACTAAACTTCAACATTACGAATTATAAGGCAATAAAGCATTTACATGTCACTGGGTGGGGGTTGGCGCACGAAACATCTGAGGACTTCAATGAATCAGTCAGAAAATATCAATGAAGCAGTTCAATCAAACTAATCAATCGAAATCGATCGATCTCCCTCTTTGAACAACTTCGGCAAGAAAAGGATTTTGTTTCTAGATTCCGCTTCTATCCGCACGCAGGTGCTGATTGCGGTGGTCGCAAAAACAATCATCGTCTTGACGTCGGTGTTCGCCACCAACACGTATGGCGGATACCTCCTCGACTGGGCAGCGCTGCGGTTGAACACTACAGAGCCATTCGAGTGAACTGCCTCCGTGAAACATCGTTTGATTGTGAGAGGGCACCACGTTCCTGGAAGGAGGGACTGATTTTTCGTGACCCTTTAGCGTGCACATGTAATTTGGCGAATTTGATTGTGAGTGGCAGCTATGCTGTTATTTTTTTATGTGCAGATATGTAAAATGTTTCCTTGATATATTGATGCAATAATATTTTTACGTTAATAAAATGTGAAAGGTGCTTGCTCTGTGATGGAATTACATTTTGACGCACTGTCGGTCGTTTCTTATTCAATTTCAACAAAATTTATAGAAGTGTTCAGTTGAATGTAACACAGACCTACTCGTTCAATCAATCTTATCTCCTACTTAACAGCTCTGGCATGCACTGTTTACAGGCCCCGGTGTCTGTAAAGGCAGCATACCATCAGGTATTGTGTGATGCCTGTAATCAAGTGGCGCCTGAGTTTTCATTCACGTTGAGTTACTAAAGCACCCACTCACAACGTTTTCTTAATATTGTTACGCACAGGGAGAACCCGGACGTATACGGCTGAAGGGGGCCGTTTATTTTGGTCGCGAAGAGAAGCGCCGGAGCGGCCAACAGGTTGATGATCGCAGTCTCGTCGTCTTCTTTCTTCCTCCAGCTTGGGGCAGCCAGCATGTTCACCCATCTTCGTTTTCTTCTAAGGCATGCGTAACATTCCTCCCCTCGCAGACGAAGCCCGCCGGGCGAGGTAACCGATTCACCTTGGTGTGTACAACTTCAGTCGAGCGACATGGACTACTTGGGTTTTAGCGGCTCTTCTACCACTTCTCGTGAGGCGAGCTATTGTGTATGTGGCTTCCGTGATTTTGTCGAGAACGACAAACGGTCCGTCGTATGTGGCCAAGAACTTTTGGCATAACCCGCGTCTTCGTACCGGAGTCCACAGCCATACTAAGTCGCCTGGGTGGTAAGTTACAGGTCGGTGGCGGACGTCATAGCGTACCTTCGATTTTTCCTGTGATGCCAAAGTGCGTAGACGAGCAATACGACGCGCTTATTCTGCAAGGCAGAGGATTTCGGTGACTGAGAGATTCTCGTGCGCCAAGAATGGCAAAACTGTGTCGAGTGTGTGCCGTGGCGGTCGTGCGTACATCAAGAAAAAGGGGCTATAGCCTGTTGTCTCGTGCTTAGCGGTGTTGAACGCGTACGTTATAAATGGTAGCACGTCATCCCAGTTCTTGTGGTCGGATGCCACATACATAGAGAGCATGTTTACAATTGTTCGGTTGGTGCGCTCCGTGAGCCCATTTGTTTGCGGATGGTATGGCGACGAGTGACGAAGGCGGGACTCACTCAATCGAAGCAGCTCTTCTACTATGTCTGCCGTAAATTGTCGCCCACGATCACTGATGATCACCTGAGGTGGGCCATGTCGGAGGATAACGTGCTGCAGCAGGAACACAGAGACGTCGCTGGCAGTTGCGGTTGGTATGGCCGCCATCTCGCAGTAGCGCGTGAGGTAATCGACACATACAATTATCCAGCGATTGCCCTTAGCCGACTTTGGAAAAGGGCCCATGAGGTCAATGCCCACCTGTTGGAAAGGTGTGCTTGGAGGTGGCAAGGGCTGTAGAAGACCAGCCGGAGCAGTAGACGGGCGTTTGTGGCGTTGACACTGTGTGCAGCTGGCCACATACGCCTCGACTGACTGTCGCATTCCTGGCCAATAAAAGCGTTCCTTAGCACGGTAAAGCGTCCACGCAGAACCTAAATGTCCGGACGCAGGATCGTCGTGCATCACACCTAAAATCGCTGTCCGAAGGGTTTCTGGCACTACCAGGAGGAAACGTGCGCCAGTGCTAGAAAAGTTCTTCTTATATAGGAGTCCGTTGCGTACACAGAAATGGCATGCCGTAGGAGCTGTGCAAAGCGATGATAGCCTGGTGTCCTTTCGCTGTTCATCTTTGAAAGTACTGAGGTCGGGAAACTTTGGTGACACAGAAGCTACGAGGTGATCGAGGTGATCGGCGTCACACTCTGTAGTGCTCAGTGGCATACGCGAAAGGCAATCTGCGTCGGCGTGTCGTCGACCACTTTTGTACGAGACTATGAAGTTATACTCTTGGAGCCGAAGTGCCCAGCGCGCTAGACGGCCGCAAGGGTGCCCGAAGGTTGACGAGCCAACACAATGAGTGGTGGTCGGTGACGACTGTAAAAGGCGCGTCCGTATAAGTAAGACCGAAACCGCTGAATCGCAAATACTACCGCGAGGCATTCTTGTTCTGTGACAGTGTAATTCTGCTCGGGCCTACTCAAGGAGTGACTTGCGTATGCAATCACGTGCTCGCGGTTACCATAGCGTTGAACTAGGACGGCACCAATTCCTATGCCGCTGGCATCTGTGTGCAGTTCGGTTGGAGCTGATGGGTTGAAGTGTTGCAGAACAGGCCGCGACGTCAGGAGGAACTTCAGTTGACGAAAGGAGGAGTCGCACTCCGGAGTCCACTCGAAGGGAGTATTCTTCCGTAGCAAACATGTCAGCGGATACGCGACATCGGCAAATTTAGGTATAAAGCGGCGAAAATAGGAGCAAAGCCCCAAAAAACTGCGGAGCTCCTTCACAGAGCGCGGCACATTGAATGCTTCAACGGCTGCTGTCTTCCGGGGATCTGGACGGATGCCCTCCTGATCGACTAGGTGCCCGAGAACAAGGGTTTGTCGGTCTCCGAAGTGGCATTTATTTGAGTTAAGAACAAGGCCAGCGTTTCTTATGCAAGTCAGTACAGTATCCAGACGTGAATTGTGTTCGCTGAAGGTGCGGCCAAAGATGACGACGTCGTCGAGATAGCACATGCAAATGCTCCACTTCAAGACACGAAGAACAGTGTCCATGAATCGCTCGAACGTCGCCGGCGCGTTGCACAGTCCAAATGGCATCACGTTGAATTCAAAAAGGCCGTCAGGTGTTACAAAGGCTGTCTTTTCTTTATCTTCAGGATGCATGGGAATTTGCCAGTAACCCGATCTTAAGTCTACAGAGGAAAAGTAAGAGGCCGAATGCAAACAGTCTATGGCGTCATCAATACGTGGAAGTGGGTACACGTCTTTTTTTGTTACAGCATTCAATCGGCGATAATCGACGCAAAATCTCCAGGATCCGTCTTTCTTTTTAACGAGAATTACTGGAGCTGCCCATGGACTTACCGACTCTTGAATGATACCGTTTTCAATCATTTCGTTCACCTGCTCATTAATAATCCGCCGCTCGGATGGCGAAACACGGTATGGCTTTTGTCTAATCGGATTGGCCAAACCCGTGTTGATAGTGTGACATGTCCGAGAAGCAAGGATTAGGGGCGCTTTGTCTTTCTGCGCAAAGTCGAATGCAGAGACGTGCTTCGAAAGTACATTGACCAATGTTCGGCGTTCACTTGTGCTCAGCGACTTATTCACCATTGACAGAAGAGCCGTTTCGAAACTGTGACTACGATGCTCTTCCGGCGCATCTCTAAGCTCGGTCACCAGTAAGGCCTCGTGTTGTCCCCTCACGACGGCTAACTTTAGACCATCTGGTAACATCACGGGTTATGTAGAGCAATTGACAGCCCATAAACCAGCGCGTCCACGTCTGATCGACACCACACAATGTGGGATCAACACATTCTTTTTCATGCAGTTGGTTTACACAGGTTCTACGTTGGCATCAAAGTTGGCGGAATAGCTATCGCTGCAACCAACAGGTACACGAACGGTTGATAACGGTGGTATGATAGTGTCGCCACAGACACACAATGCCGTCTCACCATCCACAGGGTTTTCCAAGAGTGCTGGCGGAACGTGATCACTCAAGACTATTGTCCCTGTGCGGCAGTCGACAGTCGCACCACACTCCCTCAAAAAGTCCATACCCAAAATAACATCATGTGTCGCCTGCGGAATAATCACGAACTCCGTTGGGATAACGCGGCCTCCGAGAAATACGTTAGCTTGACACACACCAACAGGATGCAGTGCCTCACCACTCACTCCGCAAAACTTCGCAGCTTGATTCCACCTAAATAATACCTTCCGCCCCAAGTTTTCTTTAAAACACACACTCATGACCGAAATGGTTGCCCCCGTATCCACCAAAGCCATCACAGGCACACCGTCAACAAAAACACGTACTTTGTTCTTGAGCATCAACACAGGAGGTATTTCTGATATTAGCACGTCTCCGGCGACCTCACCTCCATCGGCCGCGCTTGCTAGTTTTCCTGTGGCAAAGGAGACGTGTTGCGGCGCCGTGGTGAAGGGGAACGGGGAACACGAGGCGGTGGAGGCGTCAAGCTCCTGTCAGATGTAGGGGAGTGGTTCCGGAAGCTGCGTGTCCAGTAGTCGTCGCGAGGCAGCAAGTGTGTTGCATTAGGGTCGTCGTACGGTCGATCAGACGATCGTGTGAAGTGTTGTGATGGGCCATAGTACGTTGCTCGCGGGTCATCGCGAAGTCGTTCGGAAGGCCGTGCAAAGTGTGGTGGGTAGCCATACCGTGGGGCTACACGTCGATGGTTGCAAAATCGCGAAATATGTCCTGGTACACCACAGGAGTAGCAAGCTGCGAGAGGTCGAAACTCTCTTTGTTCATCGATGAATCGAACATCGTCTTCTCTGGCGGAGTGGGTCGGTTCGTTCCGTATATCATAGGTATAGACCGGGCGTCGCGAAGAAGGCGGACGCTGGGGGCGTCGGTCATGGCGAGGAGCTGGCAACCGTGGTGCTCTCCTTGGCTGTGGGGGTGCGCTGTACTCAACAGCTGCTGCACTAACCATCGATTGCCAAGGGGTCGTAGAAGGCGGCGGCGCAGTCACAGCCTCACGTGGCACATATACCGAATGTTGGTCGTTTACAGACTGGTGATCAACTGCTGAATGCGTCTATTCTCTATAGCGAAAAAGTTCTTCGCGAACAATCTCTCGAATCGTCGAGGACAGGTCTGGACAGGTGCTCGTGTCGATGCTGGCAACCGTTGTAACATTTGTGAGCCGGCCGAACTTTGGAGCGATCCTGCGCATTTCCAGCTGTTCGAAAGTTCGGCAATGCCGAATCACGTCGGACACCGAGCTCAGGTGCTCTTTTCCGATTAGAAAATTATATACATCTTCGGCTATGCCTTTCAGCAAATGCCCTACTTTGTCATCTTCTGACATCTGATCATTGACCACCTTGCAGAGCTTCAGCACATCCTCTATATACGTGGTACATGTCTCACCTGGAAGCTGCGCGCGTTGAGACAATGTCTGCTCTGCCCGCTTCCTTTTGACGATCGAGTCGCCGAAACACGCTTTCAGCTCTGCAACAAAAACGTCCCACGTCGTCAGTGTGTCCTCGTGGTTTTCGTACTACACGAGCGCAGTATCCGTAAGGCAAAAGACCGCATTGCTGAGCTGAGCGGCGGCATATCAGCCGTTGGACTTGCTGACTCGCTTGTACTGGACGAGCCACGCGTCGACATCCTCTCCCGATTTTCCTCCAAAGGTTGGCGGGACTCGGTAGTAGGGCACGGAACCCATTGGAGTTGGCCTTGAAACGTTAGATGGCTGATCTTGGGCCATTACGATCGGCGCAGGCGGGAGTCCAGCAAGGCGGCGGCTGCGGCGTAGTCCAGGTAGTGAAGCTCCCGTCGTTGGGCTTGTCCTACCCAGCACGCTTCCACCAATCTGTTACGCACAGGGAGAACCAGGACGTATACGGCTGAAGGGGGCCGTTTATTTTGGTCGCGAAGAGAAGCGCCGGAGCGGCCAACAGGTTGATGATCGCAGTCTCGTCGTCTTCTTTCTTCCTCCAGCTTGGGGCCGCCAGCATGTTCACCCATCTTCGTTTTCTTCTAAGGCATGCGTAACAATATATACAATCGAAAATTCTTGTAAACTGGCGTTTTAGGCAGTATTGAGACTGGTGATAAGACGAGCCGATGTCGACCCGTGTAAGGAGGCGCGTAGCCAGAGGTTTTTTTTTTTTTGGAGGGGGGGGGGGGAGCACCACCTTGATTTCGGGAGGACCACTCTCTTGAAATGGCCATTATTCGCTTTCTATGCCATGGCGGAAAAAAATCTCAGCATATACACGAGGTGAACGATGACGAGTAGAGCGAAGCGGATGGACGCGCGGATGAACGGACGGAGAGGTCGACGCACTAAAGCACAGACGGACTGATGGACGCTTCGCCCCACTCGTCATTCATTGATTTATATGTGGAATTTAACGTCCCAAAACCACCATATGGCTATGATAGACGCCGTAGCGGAGGGCTCCGAAAGCACTCTTCACTTACTCCGTGGATATGAAGTGACACCGTTTTTATTGACATGCAATGCAATGCAACTTGCCACTACTACTACGACGACGACACGTACGACTTACGGTGTAAGGAGCTTCGCCCCTAAAATAATTTCGGAGGGGGGGGGGGAGGGGGGAAGGGCCCAGTGTGCCAACCCCTGGCTACGCCCCTGCGTGTAAGTTCTTAAAGTTGACTCGGCCTTACTTTGTTTCTTGCTTTCTTAGTGCTACAGTACTCATTGCCTTGGCCGCTCTCGCCTCCCGAATGAATGGAAAATGGCTTAATTAACAGTTGTGCTCAAACTCGGTGGTGATAATTATATACTTATATACAAGCCTATTGCACTTTTAGGAATCGCATGTAAAATATCCAAATGCATCGCCTCTACTCGCACTTCATTAACCATCGATTGCTCCTTGTCAGTCCTGCGCCACTTTCGGTACACGTTAAGCGTGAGTAAATCATTTATTTGCAATCATGATCCGATGTTTCTTCATCAGCGCGTGAATTTCGCTTCGCGATAGTTTTTCGACGATTTCCTAAAGACTTTGGGTAAGTGGTATCTTAACGCTTATAGTGATCTGCAACTTTTATTTCGATAAAAGGGCTACAACTCTTTAAACTACGAACGCCGAAGCGTCCTCGGCTCAGCTCAGCCAGGCGGTCACTTTTCAGCTCTTGTTCAGTTATGTAAGGACGCCACGAGGCATGGGGCTCAGCAACCTTGATTTTCTTTTTCCGATTGACATGATGGCATATGTGACTTCACTCACGGGCGTCGGCAGGTGGTTGCAAAAGGGGCACTTGCCCCACTCGTATCATACCACCAATTGTCCCCTTCCCGAGCTACATCAGCGACACCTCCCCCTCCCGCCCCAGCTGCGATGCAACACATTCTGCCGACGTAGGTTTGACTTGAACATTCAACCGCGCAAGACCTTCATCAAACTACGCTATTGGTGAACGCAATGGTCACTAAAATAACTATTTGCTGGAAAACTGTAAATAACCTCCAAGAAATGCGACAAGCAACTGGAAAATTCGACAAAAGACTAGGCAAAAATACAAACCCAAATACGCATATTATAAGTGGAAATGGCAACTCTGCACTAAATGAGAGTCCTGGTCTGGTTTGCGCTGAATTTTCCAAGTACGTTTGGTTCAATCTCAAATGACATGGCACCCTTAAGAATAAAACGTACGCGTTGACAGTGTCTTCGAAATGTATACATTCAATTCCTACCTATAGTTTAATAATCATAGAGGACTCACTAAAACAAGATTTTTATAAAAATCTTCCCTTCTAAGGCTGCAAAATTCTTATAAAGAAGAATATACTGCACAGGTATTTTCCCAAGCCGTATAACTAGCAGCATAACTAAACGAATATGCATTATACGTGCAGCAATTCATGTAATAAATACCGTGGAGAAACTATTCCATTGCAAAATGAAGTACACGGAACCTATTCACTTCAAGTTATTTATAAAGAGTAAGTATTCAAGTCGATGTTCTCAAGTGGTTTCGTTTTCTCTAGAAAACTTACATTTGATTCGGAAATATGATTACCCTAACATTTCTGTATGAGCGACGCATTAAAGATGCACTGATGTCACGCCGGGAAATGTTTACTCAAGGATACCTCGCCAACTTTCAGTTTGTTTTCTTTTTCGCAGCAGTCAGCTATATGGATCGGTGCGCATACCTGTTGCACAAAGGGCACTAGGCACAGGTTACGCGATGCTCCATAGAGAATAAAACGGAAGTGGCGCGACATGTAGAAGTATGTATACAGAAGCTCCTGCTACACAATATACCGCTGTGCCTTGCACACGCGCGAATGTTTCGTCAGTGGCGACGCAAAACGCCGGCCTTCTTTCTTTCTCTCTTTCTTCCCTTTCTTCTTTCTCTCTCTCTCTTTGTCAGACCTAACGGAACCCTCCTCGCCACATGTATTCGCATTCTCTCCACAAACGAGACCCACGTATATTTTCGGCGCCCATTACATTTTCCCGTCGTACCTCCTCGCCGATAGCAGTACTAGCACCTGACCTTCAACGAGCTGGACGGTGTCTCTTCCTTCTATTTTTTTTTTCACTTCCTCGTCTCACCTGTTGTTGCCTGGCGAGGGAATCGACCGTGCACGCCCTATACCGGTTCACTCGTCGCTGGGACACGCGGCAACACAGTTTCCGAGCGGTGAGTGGCTTGCTCATGTTCATATCGGTTCGCATTCGCCAAAAAAGCGCCCTAATTGTTGTCGTGTTACGTCGGAAAACGATCATGTGATCGCTTTACATCGTTTTGGATGCTGCCGGAAATTTGACCGCCTTGACGTCTTTGGTGAGCACCTAAACACACGGGCCTCTACAGCATTTCAATATTCATTGGAGTGCGGTCACCGCGGTCGGAATTCGAGCCCTCGACCTTAGCAATCAGCAGTGTAAGCACCGAAACCACTATGCCGCCACAGCGGGTCCACACAAAAAGCGTCCTTGCGATAAAGTTTTTCGTAAGAAAATAGTTCAATCCGATCGCGATGCCGGAATATTAGTGAAGCCGGGGAACCAATGGGAAAACGCATTTACGAAAGAGATTTTGAGAGCTTGGCACAACCAATCGAAATAACGAAGCTTCACTTTCGGGAGTTTTCAGTGTCACTGGCCAGCTGCGTTCCCTAGTGTTGTGACCATTACCGGGATTTGCTGGAATTATGTCTAGTGGTGATGTAAGCGTTTCCTTTTTTGTTTGTTGGTTGGTTGGTTTCTTACGCGCGAATATGTGGGCCCTAATTGTCAACGAAAGATGACGACATCCATCTATTCTCAAGAGTGGTGACATCACAGCTCGTGTTAAGAACATTTTAAGAACCCTGACGTTACAAACTGTTTGTCGATCTACATTTAATTATGTATGTGCGTAACAACTGGTAGTAGGAAGAAATTTTGGCTTACTTACGAATTCGGTTTAGGTTTCATACACACTAACAAACACCGGGAAAATTCGATAGTTTGTCTGGCTCTTTTTTTAAGTTTTACGTTATTATATTGTATGTTTGAGAAAGCTCTTATTGTACTTTATGTTTAAGAAAGCTCTTAAGTACTTGTTTTCAATGCGTAAAAAGCAAGCTTGTCTGCGATCTGGAACCCTACTGCCCATAAAAAACACGCAAGAACACGTATACACACGCACACACATCCACACGCAGAGCTAGAAAGAGAGAGGCAGACAAATATGGCGATAGAGAGAGGCAGATAATTATGGCTGTAGGGCATTAGAGCATTGCAGCTCAAAAATATCAGTGCGTACTGAGAGGGAATCGCTCTATTGCCTTGTGTCACCAGTGACGAAGGTCAGCTGGCAACTAAATTTGCAGATAAATATATCTCAATAAATGCGTCGTATGTTTCTGGTTGATGAAAGAAGAAATCCATTGTAGCCTTATAACCAGCCTGCGATACGACTGCACGCCGGGAGCTTGTAGTACACATAAATTTGTTTTCCTCTTGGATTTAGCAGCCCTCGGTAAAGTTTTTCCGACCCAGCACTTCATGTGTTACATTACAGTCTCTTTGCAAGATTTTTTTTGTGAGGTAAAATTATTAGATTTACCAATTTCACCATGGTCGACAAGCAATGGGCAGAAACAGTTTCATAAGCGATGAATTAGTGCGTAAGGCACAACGAGTTGCTGGTAAGCCTCAGAAGGCGGCTACAATTTCCGGCCGACCGCATTTTCGTGGAGGCGAAATGCCGAAACACGTGCTTGCACTTAGGTTCAAGCGTGAATTAAAGATGCCCAGGTAGCGGAAGTTACTTCGTACACCTTCTACACTATGCATAGTTATTATATCACAGTATGCCGCGTAAGATAAGATAGTTATTGTTTTTAATTTTGCACTAGAGAAGAGAACAATAAACATCTGCTATACCACGTGAATCCGCAACTTATACTTTAAGGACTAAAACTGGTCGTTACATAGGGCAGTCTTATCTTCCTCGAAGTATACTTACCATTGTTGGGCGAGCTGTACACATGTAAGCAGAGAGACATGTGGTAGACAGCGTAGCGTCAGTGGCAGATTTACGACGGCAAGCGAAGGTTATTGGACCATGAACAATCAAAGGATCTGAGAATGACCATGAGTTGTTACAATGCCTAGCTTCCGGGAATTCTTGCTACTTTGTTATGACTCATTTTGCATAAGCTATACTATCAAATAAATAGTGGAGGTAGCACATTTCACTGTCGGGTTTGTATCTTGCTCTGAGTTGTAAAAAAAAAAGGAAAGCCTGCTTTTGCTATTTCGATTTCATATCTAAATTCGCCAACCAATTCAGCTCGTGTAGATGTCCACAAACTCATACAGTCCTGTCAGGCTACCCGTTAACGGACAGGATTATTGGGTTAAATTCTGGGATGACACGATTCCCTTCTTTTTTTTTTTCTCTCGTCGTCCGTGAATTCACCGGCATTCACGGATGCCAACTTTCAGGAACACGCTTTCTATGGAGCATGGCATGGAGGCTCGTATTGCCAGTATACTTGCACAGAAGCTAATAGAAGCTAGTCATTGATTCTTCATATAGGCTGCGGCACGTCGTCACAGTATACGTTTGGGAAGAAGGTGTGCGCAACTGGTCAAACATTGTCCGCGAAATGGCTCCATCAATTTGCCGCGGTACACGAGCATTCTTTGCTCGAAGGCAGGTGGTATGATAAAAGACCCACTGCAAAGGCACATAAAACCTCGCTGCGGAATAATGAAAGGTTTCTCGTCGCGAGCGAGGATCGGTTCGTCATAAAAGGGCGCGGCAATAACTTGAATACGGTGGTAAACAAAGGCGCAAGGTCGAAGGTTTGTGTTTGCAAGCGACCGGCCCTGCAGCAGATTACGATTCTCTATCATGGTAATCTTCCTACAGACGCTCGTCTGAACGACCTTGTGCCTAAAAGCTATTCACAAATGCCCGTGGCTGTCAAACATTAGCGGACGCTTTGCGTCGTAAATAATAACGTTTGCGTTCCTCAATGGCCAGTGCGACACTCCTGATTTGTCCCGTTGCCCCAAGGCCGACCATTCTTTCGTGGAAGGAAAACCACCATAACGACCGTGTACCGTGATTGCCGCTCTACAACTAACCTCGCTCTGCTGCCATCTAACAAGGTACACGTTACGGGAAACCAGTATGCAGATAATTAAAGTATATACAGAATTGCCGAGGATGGCCTTCGAGTTCCGGGGATGTCTTTCCCGCATACCGGTTACATCTGTCGCCCTGTGGTATTCACTCGGCCCATTGTTGAGTGCTCGTGTCCCTATACCCCATCCCACCGAGATTATGTCGTGTGAGATTGTATTCAATGGTACGTAGACGTAGTACATGCTGTGAATGTTGCGTATACGCATGTCGCGTGCTGCCTGCTGTATACCATTGGCATGTACTGTTCGTACGCTTCGCTGACCCGAGACGGGGCGTTTGGGTCAGATAAAAGACCATCGGCAAGGCCGTCGTTGTAGCGTGTACGTGACTGTGGAGAAGAAGTGGCATTCGTCTGCTCCGCGTGCCGAATGGACCAGACAAACGAGGAAGTTGCCCACTGAGGCAGTAGAATGGCAACGTCGCATTGAATACCGTAATGTGGTTATGACGGCGAATTATACGCCTAACACAAGCTGACAAAGATGAAAACTCTTTAATAGGCTAGCGTGTGCCCACGTGAAGGATAAAGCTCTAAAGTGTGTTAATACTCGCTGTACGTGAGAGCGAAGAGATTGAAGTCGAAGGGTTGACTCTGCTCATCTGTGAAAGTCTGTCACTTTCAAAGATTCCACAATAAACTATAGGCTTCTTGTGTCGAGCGCCAAGTCTGATCAGGCACTCTCAATAAATCGAAAGGGTTCCAGTGCGGCTTGCACCGATTGGTTGTCACAAGAGTAACAAAAAGAAAGCATGTGTGAATACACCTATGCATCATACGGTGCATACAAGTCCGATGTGAGCTTTCTAAGACAGGAGAAAACTTTTGATCGATGGCTTTGGCCGAATCTAGTTGTCACTATAGCAGCGATTCAGCTTAGCATTGGCGGAAGAGCTTACAAGTTCTAGACTGTCTACGCATTCTGAGTAAATGGATGACGTTGCACGAGGCTCCAACACACGTGAATATGCGGCTGCGACGTCCACTTACCTCAGAAAACGTCTCGTTGGGCCATGAAGGCTTAACTGATCATTGCTCAGTGTTTAGTGGGTGATGTTTGCAAGGAAGATGTTTGCAATGAATCACTTGCGGTAACTCGTAGGTTGTTGCGAGTCCTTCGCCCTGCGGCACAAATTAAAATTAAGTTCACATTCACGCTGTCGTTCACATGTCTAGTAAAACGAGTTAGTTTAAGGTCTGTATGGTGAACCTTTAACCACTTGAAAATGGTACCCACACATTGAAAATTGGCTTGCGCAACTGTTACGATGGCGATGGTCATCAATCAGTTGTTGCATATGGCGTGTACCACGCATCAACTGTAAAGTGAGAAAACATTAGAATAAACAGAGTTTTTATCAATAGAATCAACAGTCTTCACAGCATAGATAAAAAACCCATCACGGAGACAAAGATATGCGGAAAATATCATGGAACGCGTGACCGGAACCTCAGTATATGCTCACGCGCACGACGCCACAAATTCCGTGAACGTAACACATACGGTCGTATAACGAAAATTGTTGGGGCTCTAAACCCCAGAAACATTATGTGATTATGAAAGACGCCTATAGTGGAGGCTCCTGGAATCTCCGCCACCTGGGGCTGTTTAACGTTCACCTAAACTTACCTACACCTGCAGCCTCAAGCATTTTTCCTCGATCTAAAATACGGTCACCACGGCCACGATCCCATCCTGCGACCTGCAGGTCAGCAGTCAAGAAGCATAACTGCTGATCCCCTACGTCAGGCATGCAGACGCTCCTTGACTGTCAGCAACTGTTATGTGCGTCTGTCTGTTGTTTTTTTCTGTATTTTGTTTTATTCATTTCAGTACTCCCCTTCTCTCCCCAACTAGACGTTCCAACCGATTGCAAAAGCTTCTTTTTGATCACCTATTAGCTGTGGCGCATACCCACTCCAGGCGAAATTCCTCATCGTCGTAAGCTACTGCATGAACGATTGGCATGAAATTCCTTGCAAGTGTTTGGCGTATACAACGCTTCTCAGAAGAATAACAAAAATAGCACAGCGAATGCTGATCTACTACCCAGAAATCATTATTAATACCATAGTAGGTACCCAGCAAGTGTACTTGCAGCAGTTACCCGATGAGTGTTTAGAAAAGACTCTGAAAGGCCGCCCTTCTAGCTTTCGCTGTGACTGTGCTGTGCCTTCCGCGCAGACCTGGCGTGTTTTATTCTTTCGCTTATTATATTTGTTTTAGGGGCGAAGCTCCTTAGGCCATGGGTCGTTCCCTTCTCTGCTGTAGTAGTAGTAGTAGTAATAGTAGTAGTAGTATGTAGCCACTTCTAGTTTATAAGTTACTAGCCACCGCCCGATCTAAAGGGCACAGCCATATCTATCCATCCATCCATCCTTGGGAATGATATAACTAGATGGCATTAGTGGTTTTCACAGCATATTTACGGAGTGAAAGATGATGAGTGGGGCGAATCTTCCGTCCGTCCATCCTTGTGTCCATACGTCCGTTCGTTCGCCCGTACATCCACCCATCCATCCGTACTTCAACGCGTCCGTCCGTTCGTGCTTCTGTTGGTCAGTCCGTGCGTGAGTCCATCCTTCAGTCCGTGCGTCCGTTCGTCTGTCCGTCCGAGCTTCCATCGCTCCATCCGTGCCTCTGTCCATCCGTCCATCTGGTCGCACAGACGAACAGACGAACGCATACACGGATGGATGGAAGCACGGACGGACTGATGGACGCTTCGCCCCACCCATCATCATTCACTCCGTGGATATGCTCTGATTTTTTAACTAACAGTGCTCTCTAATTCTACTTTCTTCAGCGTTGGTAAACAGTGCAATGGCGCCAACGTACGGATACTGGGACCTGCGTGGCCTTGGCCAGCCGATCCGCAACCTGCTCGTCTACAAGGGCGTGCAGTTCGACGACAAGCGTTACAAGTTCGGCGCCGCGCCCGACTACGACCGTGAAGAGTGGCTCAAGGAGAAGTTCACGCTGGGACTCCAATTCCCCAACCTGCCTTACTACATCGACGGCGACGTGAAGATGACGCAGAGCATGGCCATCATCCGTTACCTGGCCAGAAAACACGACCTCGCGGGAAGGTAGGACGCACCGAAACGAGCGCAAAAAAATGCAGCTCGTATCAAGCCGCTCAAGGCACTACAAAGTTGGTGGACCCTTAGTTGGTCCTGGGTTGGCTAGGCTTTTACCTTCCCACCTGTCTTTTTCCCACCCAGTATGCATGGATATGCCTGATCTTTTTTTTTTCGTCTGTTTCTTTTTATTTATTCATCTTTCTCTCTGTGTGTAGTCGTTCTCCCACGTTCTATCTTTGCCTTTCTTTTTCTCAATTTCTTTCTTTCTCTTTATTTACATCTTTTTTTTCCGTCTCTCTCCTGTGCATGTTCTCCTGTCCCTCTCTCAGTCACTTCCAGTTTCCACCTCTTTGCTGTACGACTACATTTAGGGCGCCATGTTTTTGGATAAATCCGAAAAGTCCGATATTCACTGGACGGCAAAAAAAAAACTGACAATTCGGATTGTCATTTCGGACACGGGAATCTTACTTAGCTCCATCGTTGAAATAATCAACAGCGTTTGGACGCGCTACTTAGAGGCTTATTGTCTTTGAAGCTCGGTGCACGAAGTATTCGTGTGCTTCATATTTCAAGCCTCTCACGTGACACTGTACTTCACTAATGTACAAGTTCTCCCGCAGGAACGAGAAAGAGACCCAAGAGCTGGACATGCTCGAACAGCAGGCGCGCGACCTCGCCTGGAACCTGGTGATGGCCGTACTTTCGCCAACCTACCCCGAGTCTCGTCGCAAGTACGAGGAGAACATGGAGAACGCGCTGCGACCCTGGGACGAACTGCTGCAGGGCAAACTGTGGGTGCTTGGAGACCGGCTCACGTACGTCGACTTCCTGGCGTACGAGGCGCTCGACTGGAACTACGAGCTGAACGCCAGCGTGTTCCAAGGTTTCCCCATACTGGTCGCGTACCTGAAGCGCTTCGAGGAGCTGCCCAACATACGGCAGTACTTCTCGTCCGGAAAGTACAGCAAGTACCCAATGCTGGGGCCCATGGTCAAGTGGGGATTCAAGAAACACTAGCTGTGCCACGCAGTTCCAGCTATGCATGCACTCTCGGCATCCACAGCTTGTACAGTACAGTTCACTGTTAAAGAGAACACTCGAGTGAGCACCCTTCATAGTGCCCGCCCCAGCGGCAAGTTGACGTGAGAACATTCTTGGTACAAGACATTATTCTGTTAAAGAGAGTCATAACTGTCAATCATCAGTTGTCTTATGCTAATCTAAGCCACTGTGCTTGTGCAAGAGAGCAATACCGGGACATGCCTTGCACACAAGTGCTCCCTTTAACGGTGAACCCATCTGTACACCTTGGCACACTGAAGAAGGGCATAAAGCGAACCTTCAAGAGAACCGCTACCCGACATGAACAACTACCGAAGTACTGCCGTCCATGGAACAGGCACAACGAAAGTGAAAATGTCCCCCAACTTCGCTCACCTTCGACGTTCTGCAGGAAAGTCGAAATAATGATACGGAAATCGTCATCACTTTTTTTATCCTCTAATGTATATCAACTCACCTGGCTCGGGCTTTGCGTCTACATTATTTGTATTCATGAGTAATGTTCAAAATAAAGTTATACATTTTAAGTACAAAAAAGGGGGCTATATCAGCCCTCAGAACGCAGTAGCAAGGAAAGCGGCAGCTTATGGGACCATTTTCTTTTGCTGCAGGAGAATATACAGTGGCTGCACCAATCTAACACGTCCAGAGCATGCGACAAGCCAAAGATGACGCACTTCGCCGCAAAGAGCCAGACGAATTTGCAGGGTGCGTGATCGGCTATATATATATATTGTGGTGTACACGTATCCCGAAGGAGTACGGCCACCAGCGTGGGTCCGGTCTTAGCGAGCCGCAGGGCACGCGTTAACCGTCGCCGTGGCGGGAAACACGATACTGCTCAAGTCGCAACACTTTATTGTGGCAACACCAAACGCAGTACAGCCCGTTGCAAAAAGGCGCGGCGGGAAAGCAAGTAGGCTTATCCACGCCACGGGCACAAAGTACTACACAGGGTGCCACGAGCACGTCTCCGCGGTAAAGGTGATCCACGGAGACACCGGGGCAAAGGGCCCGGTTGCTCGAGCGAGGGCAAAGGCGCTCGCGTTGGCTTCGGAGGGAGACGGGTCGGCGTAGCTAGGCCACGCACTAGGACACCGTACTGCCCTTCGGCCGTGAGTACGCAGCGGGGCAACAAAAGGTGAGCGTTCGCATCGGGCGCGAGGCGCCGTCAGCGAAGTCCGACGAGCCCCGAGCGACGGGACTCGACGGACGGAAAAGAATGCGTGGCTGACCGTTTGAAGTCCCGGACTGTACTCACCGCTCCCGACGCAGCGCGCGAAAACCTCTCGGGAGGCTCCCCGCGCGCGGCGCCACAGTCAACATCCGCTACCGGGTGAGGGAGTTAAACGTCACTCCGCCCTTCCCAGCGCGGCTGACGACAAAGGAGGGCAGACATGTCGGGACATGAGAATGGCAGAAAAGGCGGGAAAGCCCGCGCAAAGGCAGCGGGCCAGCCTCAATTCCCACATCCCTCCCTCCTAAATTTGCCCTTTACCGGTCTGCAAAAGGCAGCCGGGCGTCACCCATGCAGTTAAAATGACACTGCTATGAGCGACAGCTAACCTCAGTCCAGCCCTGCTACTGCTGCTAAAAAAATGATTACAAAGGAGAAACATAAACATAAATAACAAAATAAACACATAACACTATAAAACAGTTGCGAAAGGGAGCACAGAAAAGTGGGATTAGTGTTCGTGGTGCTGAAGCGGGAATAGCGTCCACTGCGCGGAGGGGCGGAAAAGGGCGTAACAGTGTCCGCTGGGTGCGATGCCCGAGTGCGAGGTCAGAGGTACGGGAGGAGGCTCACTGATGGCTCGTTGCGGGTTTTGATAAGCAGCGAGTCCGACGAACGCTGCGTCGGCTGTGCTTCGGAGGCCCCGCATTTCTGGCTCGATGATGGAGCTGGGACGTTGCACGAAGCCGGGCCTCTCCAGTGGTCAGGGAGGCCGAACCACAAGTGGCTGCGAGGCGCCCTGGCGTTGGCCGGCAGCATATAGCTGCTTTCAGCTGGCCTCGCGCAGGAGCCATGGTGGGAAAAGGCAGCGTGGCTTCTCCGGCGACGGCCGAGAGCAGAGCACCGCCAGACGGTCTGACGTCAGTGGGTCAATGACCCCCCAGCACCTCCAGCGTCCTCATTGATGGGGGAAGCCATCACGCACTCTTCGCGGGCTCGCACTGAAGCGTCACGCACTTACACACGCACGGAAGCACGCACGCACACACACCGCCGACAGCTGCGCGAGCGTAGGCGCAAAGCGTCCTTCGTCTCTCTCTCTCTCCCGGCAAGCACCGACACTCAAGGTCACACACAGCTCCCTTCGCGGTAGACGAAACGAACGCGAGAAAAAAAGTAAAAACAGAGCAAAATGACACTCAAGATCTGGCAAAAAAAAACACAAAACACAGATAACACTCAATATTAGAAAAAGAAACAAAATACACATGAACACTTGAAAAAAAAAAACACTGGCAGCAGACACGGCGGGGTCAACTTCTTTACGAGAAAAGGCCGTAAAGAAGCTAACCTATACTGAGGCTAGACAGTAATCTGAGGGCCTTCGGTTGCGGAGAAGTCCGCCGTCCGGCGCGAAATCACAAAGGTGACCGCTTCCTCAGATTATACCGGCGTGGGGTCCGAATGCGGTCCGTCGCTCCGGGTGTGCCCGTTGCTTGCGCGAAGTGCCGCAGGGCACTGGCGCGAGCTCGTCAGACCGTGACAAAGGGCTTCAGGTCTGCGATGTGGGCACGGCTGAGTTTTCCCAAAGGGGATCTTTCAGCTAGTACGCGCCACGGACGCTCACTGACAATCGGTTCATAAGACCGGGCGGCTTTCCAACCCTTGGCTCAACCGTTTGTCAGACGTGGCAGGCACGGAATAGCGATAAAAGCCACGCTTCGTGCCGGGCCAGGTCACAACATTGCTCAGTTTGCAAAAACTTTCCAGCCACTCAGGTGACCGGCCATGGATTCGTCGTGAGAGGATCGCAACAGTGCGGCTCTCAGACTTTTGGGCATAACCACCTTAAACGGGTCTATGGACTCGTCGTCAGTGGCTATATACTTCAGCAGGAGCCCGTCATGGTCCAGCAAAATGAATCCGCCGGGGACTCAGCGACACACGCTGTTTCAGCCCCCTAATCGCGCCCGCCGCAGAACAAGCAGCGTAACGGCGCTCCGCGCCTCGTCAAGACGGTTTAACGGCGCCCGCCGCAAAGCAAGCAGCGTATACGGCGCTCCGTCCCTCCGAGACTCGAAACGGATCACTCTGCTGAGCCTTCAGTAGCTCTTCGCTGCCGAAAGCAATTCCCATTCTCCCAAATGGGGGAGTCTGGTATCGCGCCCACTCAGGACCGCAGCAACCGCCGCGCGAGTCGGCGTTACGGGTTCGCTCTCGGCCTCGTGGCCTTCGGAAAGCTCCCCCGCTTCGCGGAGCGCCGCTTACCTGGTTAGCAGCCAAGGTTTGTCCGCATGGGGACTCACCCTTCTCGCCGAATGGCGGCGAAGCTGCTGTTTCGCCCCCGACGCTTGCATGTGCTAAGGCACCGCGAGCGGCCGTCGCACCGAAATCCAGGTTCTCGGCAGACAACAAGGGGCACGAGATAGCGCGTCAGCTACCACGTAGGAGTGTATTCACCACAAAAAAGGGTGACGACACAGGCGAGCGCCGAAGGGCGCCCGTCGATAGAGGCGGTGGCCTCTTGGTGCAACGCGGCATGCCACGAAGCAGACATAACGTTCGGGTAGGGCAAGAGGCCCATTCCGAAGCGACGCGCCATCTCCAAAGGGAGCGGCTAGGCGCCTCGTGTCGTCACCGCAATAGGGGGTGCCGACACGGACGGGTGCAGAAGGGTTCCCGTTCATAGAGGCAATGGCCTCCGTGTGCAACGCGGCATCCGCTAAAAGGGACAGCGGACAAAAGTCCCGCGAAGCAGCCATGTTGCGACGAGCCCGAATCGCGCAGGCGAACTGACTCGCTAAGAGCAGTCAAAAGCTAGAGCTTTTGATACCGCGTTGGGCGCCAGTGTGGTGTACACGTATCCCGAAGGAGTACGGCCACCAGCGTGGGTCCGGTCTTAGCGAGCCGCAGGGCACGCGTCAACCGTCGCCGTGGCGGGAAACACGATACTGCTCAAGTCGCAACACTTTATTGTGGCAACACCAAACGCAGTACAGCCCGTTGCAAAAAAGGCGCGGCGGGAAAGCAAGTAGGCTTATCCACGCCACGGGCACAAAGTACTACACAGGGTGCCACGAGCACGTCTCCGCGGTAAAGGTGATCCACGGAGACACCGGGGCAAAGGGCCCGGTTGCTCGAGCGAGGGCAAAGGCGCTCGCGTTGGCTTCGGAGGGAGACGGGTCGGCGTAGCTAGGCCACGCACTAGGACACCGTACTGCCCTTCAGCCGTGAGTACGCAGCGGGGCAACAAAGGTGAGCGTTCGCATCGGGCGCGAGGCGCCGTCAGCGAAGTCCGACGAGCCCCGAGCGACGGGACTCGACGGACGGAAAAGAATGCGTGGCTGACCGTTTGAAGTCCCGGACTGTACTCACCGCTCCCGACGCAGCGCGCGAAAACCTCTCGGGAGGCTCCCCGCGCGCGGCGCCACAGTCAACATCCGCTACCGGGTGAGGGAGTTAAACGTCACTCCGCCCTTCCCAGCGCGGCTGACGGCAAAGGAGGGCAGACATGTCGGGACATGAGAATGGCAGAAAAGGCGGGAAAGCCCGCGCAAAGGCAGCGGGCCAGCCTCAATTCCCACAATATATATATATATATATATATATATATATATATATATATATATATATATATATATATATATATATATATATATATATATATATATATATATATATATATATATATATATATATATATATATATATATATATATATATATATATATATATATATATATATATATATATATACTGCAGTGTATACGCTTAGGGACGTTGCTAAAAACGATGATAGTTGAGGAGCTAATTCATACTTTGAAGGGGAATGACCAGTGGAGCAGTTTCAGTACACGTCACCGAAGTGGAACAGCATCTCGAACGTATATATATATATATATATATATATATATATATATATATATATATATAAATTAGCTCTTCAACTATCATCGTTTTTACCAACGTCCCTAAGCGTATACACTCGTGTAGAAAGAGCCGCATGACATAAATACCTTATTTCTAGTTATGACGCGCGCCAGAACCGTGACCGATGGCGACAGATGATTGATTTAACGTCCAAAAACCACCATATAATTATGAGAAACGCCGTATAGGAGGGCTCCGGAAATTTCGACCACCTGGGGTTCTTTAACGTGCACTCAAATCTGAGTACACGGGCCTACAACATTCCCGCCTCCATCGAAAATGCAGCCGCCACAACCGGGATTTGATCCCGCGACCTGCATGCGGGTCAGCAGCCGAGTACCTTAGCCACTAGACCACCGTATCGTGTAGTGCATGCATACATTCATTTCCTTTTGGTGTGGTCGGGTTTCACCGGCAAAGACTGTTAGCAACGTTCGGCGCAGACCACGTGCCAGTGTTTTCGAAGCTTCGCGATTCCTTGAAATTATTTGGTTAGCCCTTTAATTCCCACAGGAAATATGCGCAGCGTCCTCAACCTAAAATGATTTCACGGCACTTATTGTTCAAACTAGCGCCCATAAAAAAAAAACTTACGTCACTACGCGCACATTTGATACGTATATATTTTATTACTGCCACATTTGATGCAACAGTAATGAGACGTTGAACAGTTGAAAAGAGGAAGCCACACATAGAATTCTTGAAACTGTACAAGATACATGAAAAAATATAAAAGCATTTCACTTTTTTCCGTGTCAACGCACAGGTAATTAAACTGAACAATTCTAGCATAAAAATCGCCTTCAAGGTGCATGACTGCCACTTGAATTTTTTTTTATAGCTATTGCCACTGGCCAGTAGCCAACCTTGTCATAACTAATACCAAGATACTACACTATGGGCTCGTTCCATTGACTTCGCCTTAAGGGGTATAAGCATTTATAACTGGATATTACAAGCAATAGGCCAGGAGAAGCATGAACAAGTCAGGAACTCACCATGCACGCTGCTTGCCTGCCGCACATGTTCATGTTATCAATGAAAGAAACGCCCCCATGGGCAACCCATAGTGCCATCTACCAAGCGTAAGTGGTAGATGCCCGTAGTGCCATCTTCTTCTCCTCAGATTTTCACTAAGAATTTTTGAGGGGACAAATTTTGAACAACACTGATGCAAATATGCAAACGCATGTAACAATGGCTGGCCGAAATATTACCAGTAGTTTTACGATCGATTGCCGATTTGAGAGCTCGTAGGATGATGACTCAAAGTTGGATTGCATTGGCTGGTGATGGCAATAATAATCATAAAATTGATGGTGAAGCTTGACTATATCGAACTTGTGTAAATCGCATTATCCTTTACATCAAACAATCTTCGAACACGACAACGCTTGCCATGCATTGACGTGAACGTTAATGCATGTCAAATTTTGTGGGTATATCAGGCAAAAAGAAAAAGAATGAACATTCGGAACCATGCATGCTCTCTGTTTTTCTTTTTTTTTATTCACCTAGACGTGGTTATCGCTTACAAAAGCTGCTACGTAACCAATATCAATCCAGTTCCTCACCACTCATACAAAAGTTTAGCCTGTTCTCGTTTCCTGGCGTCTGTATTGGTGCAGTGAATCGAGTCTTGTCGGTAGCATTCCTGTCAGCTCTAGAGTTCTTCTATCCCGGTGAGGATTTTTTTCTTTCTTTTTTTTTTTTTTGCTGCGTGTGAAGCTTACGTTGACGCGACAGCTTCGCCCGCAGGTGCCTTGCAGTCAGCCTTGTGATTGCATGCCTCTCGCGACTCCTCGAGTCAATTACATGTTTCTTTTCTTTTTACTTGATCAATAAATAAGTGAACGAATGAATAGTGACGATGACTTAAATTCTACAGTAAAAAAGTAGATAGAAAAAATGACGTTACGGACGTTGAGAGCTATAGTAGATATGCAATAAGCTTCTTTACAAACCGATTCGCACTTGACTATAGTTACATGAAGCACAAAACACAGCAGGAGAGAGAGAATGGCGCAGACATAACATGAGCCCTGCCTGAACGTCTCTCTCTCTCTCAATCTTTCACACTCTGCGCTGCACGTTACTAATTCAGTAAGAACATCCAACGAGAATTTGTCGAGTTTACGAATCACTGAACGACCCCTATCATCACCATTCGTACTACTGCTTAACCGTCGCTTGCTCTCTCCGCAAGACTAGAGTACCATTATATAGCTTTTTTTAAGGTATCACATACGATAGGAACAGTGGAGAGAGAAAGAGCGGAGATTCGTGAAAATTAGATTCTGTTTCAAATACTTGTACGTTAACGTGATCTTAGCGCGTGAAGAAAAGGTGGCGGCGCGGTGGTAAGGCGTTGCACACGAGAGGCGCGGGCGACTCTAGCTTGTCGAGATGAACGGGACAGGCAGGTGGCCTTGGTCTCCCAGGGCGCGCAGGGTGACCCGTCCAGTGGGCGCGATCTTCACCACGGAGATGCTGCAGTTACCGAGACTCATGCGGGACCAGGCTTCGGGGTGAATCTGCAGAGCCCTGCGACAAAGCGTTTGCGTTTTAGAACGAGAGATTAAGAACTTCGAGTACCTTATGTACTCCTCTATCGGAGAGCAGGCGATGCCTCCCGGTACCATGGTAACATAGTACGTAGGTAATACAAGGAAGCTAATGGGGTGCACCAATGCATGTAGTACCTGAGACGACTGGAAGGTGAAAGGCATCTTCTTGTTCCCAGTCGATATACAAAGAATCCCCCCGCCTCCCTCCGAGAAACACTCAGACCTCTTTATAACCACAATGAAATACATATTCGGGTTGCGAGAGAAAACACGGACGAAAGAGAGTACACAGTACTAAAGTGCGCTGTTTTTCGTTTTGTTGAGAGTACTCGGGACGGTCGCAAACTTCAACTGTGAAACGGAAGGACAAAGTGCCCGAATATGAATGGACATCAGCCTAACACGTGCTTATACATCAAAACAAACAAATAAAGAACCATACCGCACGTATAAAAAAACTACACTGAAAGCGCCAAACAAACAGTAGATAGTGGTATAAAATCAACAAAGATCGGCAAGGACATGCGCACTGACGTGCACGACGTGTGTCAGTGTGCATGTCCTGCACTGACACACAAAACGACTGGGTAGTACAATAAAAAAGAGTCAAAGTTTCATTTATTTGGTGTGCACAGAAAGCTAAGGCATGCACCGCGCAATCGGGATGTCAATGAAGATGCTGTAAGTGGCACCAACGAGCTCGCAAGTTTTCCCAGCCATCAGCGGGACTGCATGGCCTAAATGAGGTGCGCGAAAGGTGGACGGCGTGGCGTACGTACCTGCAAATGCAGTATCGGATGACGTTGGCGTGGCAGACGATGATCTCGTGGGAGTCCTGCTTCTGGTCCGGTAGAGCGCGGTGGAAGAACTTCCGGAAGCCAGCCTCTATGCGGTATCCATCGGTCAGGAACTGCAACGAAGACCGATGCGCACCTTCGAGTTCGTTGATCTCGTGCGCTCTCGATTTTACCCGTAAGGTTACGGGATAAACAAGAAAAAAAAAGAGAAAAGGCCGTTTATTCTGAGACACTTGCAGGCGAAAGCTTGCTTCAGACTTGGTTATGGATCGAGTAGTACGACCAGCAGACAGAAGAGTCTTGCAAGCCATTACGAGCGGTGTTGTGAGAGACGCATTAATCTTTGTCGACATGCTCAACCAATCACATATTCCCACGTGAAGTCATGGCATGACGTCACAAACTTCGTAGTGTTTGTCTGTCCAAAACCGTACAAGCCTCGTTCTTTTTCTTTTGCTGCTTCTTTGTTCCTACCAACGTTGGTAAACAGGACACGAAAACAATCTCGAAGTGTAAGTTGGTATACTATACCGATTACACTTCGAGTATGCCTTCATACTGGTCACTATTTAGCTGTATGCACTCAAGCCACTATATATCGAACACGGATATAACAAAATACTGGTTATAACGAAGTAAACGAAAAATAGTCTTACAATAGATAGTGTTAAGAATAACTTTTACAACACATTTTCTGGTATAACGAACTTATTTTCTTGAAGTATTCGACATTTGGTATAATGTGGTTTGAGTGTATAGCGAAGTAGTGACCAGCGGTGATATAGAGGTGGATCAAAACGTCAACACATCCTCGCACACTCGTGGACTGTTGCTCGTAGTGTAATATGGGTATAAGGTATATACGCATACCTTGGCTTGCGGCTTCCAAATTCCATACGGTGGCTCAGGAGGAATGGGTTCTCCTTCCCGGATGAGTTCGCACTGGTAGACCGGTACATGGGGCATGTACTGGTGGATGATGTCGGCCGTCTCGACTGCACGCGTCATGTTCGAGTGAGTGATCTGGCAGAAAGGGATGCCCAGCTGCTGCAGCCGTGCGCCAGTGAGGTTGGCCTGTCTGCGTCCTGCACACATTCGAACACAAACCAGCTGTAAAACAACCTTCTTCGACCCGTCCTTGAACCGCGTTGATCGACAGCGTATACGGATGGGCAAATATTCGGGCGCTTCGAGTATTCGAACGAATATTAAAGAATTCGAATTCACTAGGACACCGAACTTCGACTATTCGAAATTTAGAAGTATTCGAAATGACATTGACCTTGTGTAACCGCTTGGAAAGGTGGTTTCACTGCAGCAATAAACAACCTTGTTCGACCTGTCCTGAACCACGTTATTCGACAGAGTATGAATGGCCAAGTCTTCGGGCGCTTCGAATAATCGAATGATTATTACAGTGTTCGAATTGCATTCGACACCGAACTTACATTATTCGAAATTTCGAAGTATTCTAAACGATATTCACCTTGTGTAACTATCCGAGAAGGTGGTTTCACGTCAGCATATAACTATTATGCAATGAAACACGTTTTCAAACAACAAAAACAAATTACAAATTCGCACTACCGCGTAGTCACAGTGTAGAGAGAGAGAAACGAGAAAAAAGGAAGGCAAGGAGGTTAAACAAATGCTAGTATCCGGTATGCTACACTGGGGTTGGGGAATAGGGGGTTGAAAGAGAAAGGGAGAGTTAAAAAATAAATAAGAGAATGTTACAAGCTGCCACTCTAGCGTCGCCAGCGCGATGTCGGCGACGGGAATGACAGCAGGTTGGTTCGTTCCGTACGCAAGCAGAGACAGTGAAGAGATCAGAGACGTGAGAAAACAAAACAACTTTACTGTAGTGATATTGCCGCAACACCGGATCTAATACAACACTTCAATACAACTAACAAAATACATCGACACTTGGTACAACTAAAGAAATATATAACAGAAACAATAAATCAGCTTACGAGAGAGAACTATTACAAACTACACAAACTAACTAAAATAGAACGACGGAGGAGAAAGTTCGAAGATATAAACAGGTGAAGGCACACGTGTGATGACCGGCAGCGTTGTGTCCCCGACGATCGGATGCGAGAAGTCGAAGAGAGTTCTGGCACGACTGCGATGTCGGCGGTGTTGCAACGCTGGTGGCTCCGGGAGGTTAGTGCTTGCAGGTGACTTCGAGCAGGTTGAGCTAACTCGAGGCGAAGTCCCGATGTCTACGTTGCAGACGTTAATATCGCGTCACAACTAGACGAACGGCTAAGTTTAGGTGGCCAGCCGATACAGAGCCACACTAAAAACTTCTAGAAGAGATGCTTGTTGATCTGTTTCTACACCATCTTGGTCAGCGACTAGTCTGCCTAGCAGGGCAAAATCCTGCGCTTAAATCCCCCTCGTGTCTCCTCGCTCTCTTCCTTGGGGACAAGAGACCTCTACCTGGGTCCAATCATGCGCGTTTAATTGAGGGGAAACTCCGCCCCAAAAATATTTTGACCCCACCCCTTTTAATAGGGAGAGGGCCCGCACTAGCGAGAGTGACAACCTGTCGGGTTGTTGTCATACGGCTTGGCCACCAGAGCGTTTCCCACGCTTTTCTCCGTGGGAACGGTCAACCACTTAGCTCTCAGCCGGGCGTCTTGTAGTCTAATCCTTGTACGGGGTATACCGCGGCCTTCTACGACCTTGCAGACGTCGCCACGGTTACAAAAGGATTAACTGTCGGCGGCGGCGTTCTAAGGAGAGCACCCCATTTTGCACTTATCGGTTCCCTTTCATGTGCCGCCGTTTCTCACGGTCAGTCGGGGAGTACGGCGCCCGTTAATTGCCGTGACGCGGTGTCGCCAAAAATAGCCGTCCGAGACAGAGAAAAACACCGACACACACGCACACACAAAATCAGTCCACTCAGAGGCGTTCCGACAGGCCAGTAGTTCGTAAGAAGCCCAGTAGCGCTTGCACGGCTTTCTTCTGTGACGATGAGTCATGACGATGGCGCAGTATACTTTCTTCTGACAGCGGCTGGTCATCTAACCTGTTTAGTTTATTAGAAAGGTGTTGTCTTTCCAGGTTGTATTTCGGGCAGTCACACAGGATATGTCGAATTGTTTCTTCATCTCCGCAGTGTGCACAGTCGGCGGTGTCGGCCATACCTATGCGGAACGCGTACGCACGGGTGAACGCGACTCCCAACCATAGTCTGAACAGAGCAGTAGCGTCGCCTCGTCGAATTTTTGTTGGAAGCTGCATGCTTAACGTTGGATCAAGGGATCGTAATCTTGCATGCGTAAAGAGAGGCTCATTCCAAAGAGCCATGGAGCGTTGGCGAGCAAGAATGCCGAGCCTCCTAGCAGCGTCCGTCCTTGAGAGAGGTATTGACTGGTCGTTGTCTTCTGTATGGGATGAACGGGCAGCTTGATCAGCTCGTTCGTTACCGATAATTCCACAGTGGCTTGGCAACCACTGAAATATAACGTGGTGTCCTTTATCTGTTATATGGTGTAGCATTTCTGCTGTTTCAAATACCAACTGCTCGTGTGGTGTAAATTTTCATGGAAGGGAACACGGCGACGCGTGGCCTGCGCGCTCCGGCGGCTGCTGGCAGCGCGTTGAAGCGGAAGCGAGAGCAACCACAGTCTCTTTTCGCGTCATCTCGCGACGAGCAAAACATGTCAGTGCTGATGTGGAACTGCTGGCAAGGTTGCGACCCCCTCCCCTTTAAGGTGATTACGCGAGAGCCGGTAATCGCCTTGAAGGGGGAGGGGTTGCAATCTAGCCGTTCTATATCAGCAACGAATCGTTGTTTTGCTCACCACAAAATGACGCGTAAAGAGAATGTGGTTGCTCTCGCTTCCGCTTGAACGCGCTGCCAGCAGCCGCCGGAGCGCGCAGGCCACGCGTCGCCGTGTTCCCTTCCATGAAAATTGAGACTGTACATATTGCCTGCACATCGATTCATTTTTATTTTATCCTCTTTTAGTGAAAAGCGCGTCAAGAGGACTACATGCGCTAAGCGTGCTGAATTTTAGAACTCGATACCCTTTACTGCGGGTAACTTGGACCCTGTCACTATTCAAATCCAACCTTTATGAAAGTAGACTTCGAATCCCACCAAATCAAATACCACCTTCTATTCGAATCCCACCACTATTCAAAAAGCTGCCTCCAAGCCGAGTGGATGCTGTGCATGGAGGCAGCTGTCCAGCTGCTGTACCAGTTGTCACGTGATCATAGAGGGCGGGGGCGAGCTGGGCTTACGTAAAGGGCGCGGAATTTTTCAAAGCATTGGAGTTTAGAGACAATGAAGGCAAAACATACCTTAAACGAGTAGAGGTAATCCGGAGGAAGCTCGCTGATTGGTGGCAACAATCAAGGCGCGAGCGGAATTCAATCTTCTAACCCATAGTGGTAGTACTTAAGTTTACGGCTTGGTGACGTGCGCCGTCGCCCGATCTAAAGGGCACAGCCGGATACATCCATCCATCCTACGCCCCGCGACGTCGCTACAAGCACCTCTGTATGTCAACGGCATCTACCGGGTGTTCTGGGATCTACCCCCGTATACAAACACGGAATAGGTCTGTATAAAATCACGAGATCCACCGGCTTCGCTGCGTTCTGGCCTTGCGTAATCTAGCAGAAACTTGCGCATTTTAATTTTGTTTTTTTTTCTGTTTCACGGTGGTAAAAAAACACGACTTACAGCAGCGTTGCGGTACGAACAACTTACCAAGCGCTGTGAGCTTGCGTTCGCTGTCCTCGGGCTCGTACAGGTTGAAATCTCCGTGACGAATGAGGTAGAGATAGCGCGTTGCGGTAGACTTCGCCGTCTGTACGTCTTCCAAGAAACGACGCCTCTCTTCTTCAGACGAATCCAGCGGAGGCCTCGTACCGCTCTGAGGCTCCATTCTGGGCAAAAAACGCACAAAGATCGCCACCATGAGACGCCTCCTGTAAAACGTGAAAGTATATTTTTATTCGACTTCACACTTGGTAATGCATTTAAAGGCACCTAAACAACCCAGAGGTGGTGATGCTGAAGGTGTGGGAGCGGGATGGCTAGCATTCCATAATGTTATAGCTGAATCGCAAAAAAGGTGGACGGCGCACAAAAGAGACAACGAGGATAAGCGCTTGTCCTCATTGTCCCCTTTGTCCACTGTCTTCCCTTTTTGCGCTTTGGGTGTAATAAATTGGTGCTAAAGTTGGGCACGAGACCTCGACAAACACGCAGCAGCGAGAATTTTTCGAAACAGTGCTGAGTTACACGTTCTTGGTAATTCAAAAGCGGTCCCAGTCCACTTCGTCCTTTTCTTGGGGTCTTCGGTTGAGCTTTGGTAGAGACCAAGAAAACAGGTATACATACATATGCAAAAAACGAATGCCTCCTAGGTCAAGATGCATGCGTCATGGCATCGTGAAGACAAGATGAAGTGATGAAGTGCTCAATTGACGCCACTGATCTCTCGGAGAAGGTCACGGCCGTTGTTAAATGTAGCTATTTTCTCCTCAAGTTTATTCTAGTTACGTTGTAAAAAACCAACGGCATGTTGAACGGACAAGCCACTTTTTTTAGGCTGTGTGTCACATTGTGCATGTACGGGACCACAGCTGGCCTCCACCAGGAACTTAGCGGGAACTCTTGAGTCGACATGCTTCATGTTCTTGAGAAGTGTCTCAGCAACAGACCCGATGACCGACCCAGGGAAACCAGCACAAGCCTCTCTAATTTCAGATCATAATGATCTGAAATTCATAATGATCATAATGATCTGACCGCCGCCGGTCAGGGCGAGACCGGCGGCGGTCTCGCCCTGACCGCCGCCGAGTCCCAAGGGATTCCGGCCGATGGTTAAGGGGATGATTGGGGGCAGAGGCCGAAGCCTCCTCCCCCGTCATTCTAGACGGGTGCAATAAACGTTATTTCTCTCTCTCTCACCAACCTAACTGTTTTCATGCGCGTGCGTCTACCTTTTTGATGTTAAAATCGGTATGCAAGGCACAAAGGTTACCCGTCCGTGAAATAGTCTAAATCGATGAGACAGGAGCGCCAGAACACACAGCCTAGTGAGCAGAAGCAGCAAAATGGCGTCGGGCAGCGTGTTGTTTGAAAGGTTATTTGCAACAACCCATAGTGCACCACACCTATAGGGAGTTTTCATTGAAAAGATGGTGCATAGAAGGAACACACTTAAGTGCAACTATATGTGTTCCACGGTGAACGTCTGATATTCCCGCTATCCCCGGCGGCTGATACCAGTGACACTGATAAGTTGAAATAAGAGCTCCGCGGCGCACCACTTGGACAACCGGCCCCGACCTGACGATTATGGACGGTATATTACATATTTATGCACACACTTAACTCTCCAGGCGGCTTCAGCGAGTACTGTCTGCGTCAAATGAAACCCGAACAGTGGCAAGCATTCACGATGGTATATAGGACTGGCTCGCTGGATTCGGTGCTGACTGGTTGTGCCCTCGTGATCTCCGACGATAGTGCAGCTCTGGCCGACTGTCCTGACGCCGGTCCCCGACGACGACGACGACAGCGTAGCTCTGGCCGACTGGATTAGCCCTACGCCATCTCCTGTTGCCAACAAGCGCTCTCGCCAGTGGTGCCCTGTCCTCGGAACTCCTGCGACCGTGTTCACTTTTCCTATCTTAACTTCCGTCGCTCCCAGTCCCTGCGCCTCTCTCTCTTTCTATATATATATATATATATATTGTTACGGGGAGAAGGCGTCTGAAAAATGCCTTTACTTTCGGTAAACAGGCAGGCATACAATATGGAGCCCGGTCTGCACGCGCTCGCGCTAAACATCGTCCTCTTTTCTAGAATGTTCATTTGTGGCGCCCCGTAGCATCACCCCCGGCGGCGAAGGCACCGTCTCGGTGCTTGGTTGGTCTGAGTTAAATCGTTTCAGCCGAGTGACGTGAACAATGTCAGAACACGATCGCGCGCTGGTGGCGTTAAGAGGTTCAATTTCATATGTCACGTCGGTGACTTGGCGCACCACACGGTACGGACCCGAGTACGGTGAAGTCAGCTTTTCGCACAGGCCAACTCGCCGCGACGGCGTCCAGAGAAGGACTGTGTCACCTTGACTGAAGTGGACATCACGATGGCACGCGTTGTAGACCTGTCGTTGTCGTTCCTGCGAATCGCTCAGACGCCGGCGAGCAATCTCACGTGCCTCTAGAGCTCTAGAAATCACATCGCGGGCATATTCAGACGTGTGGCCAACGGCAGGAAGGAGCGTGTCGAAAGGCAACGTAGGTTCTCGTCCGTACAGGAGGAAAAATGGCGAGAAACCTGCAGTGTCATGCCGAGACGTATTATAGGCAAAAGTTACAAATGGAAGGGCGAAGTCCCAGTCACGATGGTCGGAAGAAACGTACATGGCGAGCATGTCCGTGATGGTTCTATTTAGCCGCTCCGTGAGCCCGTTGGTTTGAGGATGATACGCTGTTGTGAACTTGTGCTTTGTAGCGCAAGAGTGCAATATGTCTTGGATAACTTGTGATAAAAAGTAGCGACCCCGATCGGTAAGCAGTTGCCGAGGAGCGCCGTGGTGTAATATGACGTCTTCTAGAAGAAAGTCAGCGACGTCGGTCGCACAACTGGTAGGAAGGGCCCGTGTGATTGCATACCGAGTGGTGTAATCCGTGGCGACTGCTATCCACTTGTTTCCGCTCGCCGATAAAGGAAACGGTCCTAGTAAGTCAACACCTACCCTATAAAATGGTTCGGATGGGATCTGAATGGGTTGAAGGCGTCCCGCTTTAAGGGTTGCTGGTTTTTTGCGGTGTTGACAGGATTTGCATGAGGCGACGTAACGGCAGACGGATCGGTAAATACCGGGCCAAAAGAAGCGACGTCGAACGCGGTCATAAGTTCTTGAAACTCCCAGGTGACCAGCTGTCGGAATATCATGCAACTGTGCAAGGACAGTCTGACGCATATGTTGTGGTATGACCAACAGCAGCTCAGGTCCGTCAGGATGCATGCTGTAGCGATATAAGACGCCATCTTGGAGCAGGAACATACGGAGAGAAGGAGGAGTTGTGGGACCACTAAGCCGAAGGATTATATCTCTGAGGTGAGGATCACGGCGTTGCTGATCTCCGATGTTGCTAAAAGCGGAAAGTGCCAAAACGCAAGTAGACTCATCGCTCTCAGAAAGGTCTGCTGGGTCTACTGGATGACGCGACAAGCAATCAGCATCCTCATGGTGGCGACCTGATTTGTAGACAACCGTGTAGGAATATTCCTGTAGCCGTAGAGCCCACCGGCCGAGACGTCCACTAGGATCTTTTAAGGACGACAACCAGCATAAGGCGTGGTGATCAGTGACAACCATGAACGGGCGTCCATACAAATAAGGCCGAAATTTAGCCACTGCCCAGACGAGTGCGAGGCATTCGCGTTCTGTGATGGAGTAATTTCGCTCTGCTGGCGATAAAAGACGGCTAGCGTATGCAATAACGCGCTCGCAGCCATGCTGTCGTTGTGCCAAAACGGCTCCGATGCCGTGGCCGCTGGCGTCGGTACGCACTTCCGTTGGAGCGCATATATCAAAGTGGCCGAGAATCGGTGGCGTCGTAAGTCTACTCGTCAGTTCAACGAATGCTCTGGTTTGTTCAGGTCCCCACACAAAAGTCACATTTTTTTTAGTAGTTCCGTGAGTGGTCGTGCGACGTCAGCAAAATTCCGCACAAATCTACGAAAGTAAGAACAAAGGCCCACAAAGCTTCGAACATCGTTCGCAGAGGTCGACACAGGGAAATCTTTGACGGCTCGGATTTTCTCAGGATCGGGACGAACACCAGAAGAATCGATAAGGTGTCCAAGGACAGTAAGCTGCCGGCGGCCGAAGTGACATTTCGACGAGTTTAGTTGGAGCCCTGCTTTGCGGAAAACCGAAAGAATTATTGAGAGACGCTCGAGGTGTGTTTCGAAAGTTGGCGAAAAAACAATGACGTCATCAAGGTAGCATAAGCAGATTGACCACTTGAAACCGTGAAGAAGAGCGTCCATCATTCGTTCGAATGTAGCCGGGGCATTGCATAAACCGAACGGCATTACTTTGAACTGATAGAGCCCGTCGGGAGTTATAAATGCCGTCTTTTCACGGTCCAGGTCATCAACTGATATCTGCCAGTATCCGGAACGAAGGTCGATGGAAGAGAAATAATTTGCGCCACTAAGGCAGTCAAGAGCGTCGTCTATCCGCGGCAGAGGATACACGTCTTTTTTCGTAACCTTGTTAAGATTTCTGTAGTCGACACAGAAGCGCCAGCTGTTATCCTTCTTTCTCACAAGCACAACGGGCGAAGCCCAAGGACTTGAAGAAGGTTCAATGATGTCTCGGGCAAGCATCTTGTCGACTTCTTGCTGGATCACGTGGCGCTCGGTGGAGGAAACTCGATAGGGTCGCCGGTGTACTGGATTTGCATCACCGGTGTTTATCCTATGTTTTACGACGGTCGTTTGACCTAGGGGTCGGTCGCAGAGATCAAATACGTCTTCATACGACGCAAGAAGGCCACGAAGCGCAGACACATGCTCGGCCGGGAGATCAGAGGCAATCATTCCAGTTATGCAGTCTAATGTACTGCGCGACTGAATACTTGTAGATGGCGGTGTATCCTCTGTTAAGGCCGATATGTGGAAATCGCCGGCCGTGGCAAGGGTTGCAAGGGATATGCCTCGTGGCAGCACTTCAGAGCAAAGTCCAAAATTCACAATAGGGAGACATGCCACGTTGTTCTTCATTGTGATGATGGTGTGAGGGAACGCAACATTGAGCGAACAGAGTAGTGTAGGATTAGGTGAAATGACATAATCGCCGTCAGCCACAGGTGGATCAGAAGAGACGTCGATATACGTCACAGCTCGACAAGATAGGCGAACAAAGTCGGCGGAGCATAGCTTTGGCGGCGCAGGATCAGGAGGGTCAACGGCGTGTGGTAGGACGAGCTGAACAACACCAGCAGAACAGTCAATTAGGGCGGAATGTTCCGACAGAAAATCGAGTCCCAATATGATGTCATGTGGGCAGTGGTCCAGTACGTAAAACAGAACAGTGGTGTGACGTCCAGCAACAGTGACACGGGCGGCACACATCCCGGTGACCGCTGGTGTTGCACCATCAGCTACTCGGACAAGAGTGATCGGAGCAGGAGTGAGCACTTTCTTGAGTCGAGCACAAAGGCTGGAGTTCATGACTGAGATGTGAGCGCCGGTGTCAATGAGTGCTGCCACAGAAGTACCGTCAACATTTACTTTAATCAAGTTGTTGTGTCCGGGTATCGTGTGTAGAGGAATTTTGGGTCGGGTCGTCGAAGCAGGCTCACCTCTAGGAGCTGCGCCCGTCAGTTTTCCGAGGACTGGTGGTAGGAGGGCGAGGGGGAGCGACGTCGGTTAGTTGAGCGGGACATGCGTCCAGAGGGCGACGGAGAGCGGCTTGGTTGGGCGGGCCTGGATGGCGAAGCATCATCTTGTGCCGTGTAGATCGGCATCCGAGAGCCAGCAAGTGGGCGTCGGGTGTTGGCATAATGCGACCATGGCTGCCAACCCCAGGAAGTGCGGCAATGACGTGAAATATGGCCCACTCGTCCACAGTTGAAGCAGATCGGTCTGTCGTCGGAAGTTCGCCATTCTGCCGGGTTCCGGTAACGTGGGCGGTTGTTCGGTCCGCGGGACATATTAGGTGTACTGGGCAGTCGGTAGTCAGGTCGGTTAACGGGGCATAGCGTCTGAAGTCCGGCGTTGGCTAGTTCCTGGCGTACGACACTCTTGATTAAGGAAATCGTGGCGCGAGAGTCGTCAGGGGCCTGGACTTGGTCAGACAGAGGAGATGCTGCTTCGATTTCGTGGCGCACGATGCGCACGATATTGTCGGATGCAGCATGGGCTTGTGCCAAACAGGCGTCCTCGCAGGTTGATGTTGCAGCCGTGTTGGGAAGACGCGAAAAGTGCGGAGTGATGCGGCGACTTTTCGCGTCTTCGAAGCGTCGGCATTCATTAATAACGTCCTCTACGGTCGATGAGTTTCGATATACGAGGAGATTGAAAGCGTCATCGGCGATTCCTTTGAGGATGTGCGCGACTTTTTCAGATTCCGGCATCTTGTCATCAACCTTCCGGCAGAGGGCGAGCACATGCTGTATGTATGTGACGTACGACTCGGTGCCGGACTGGAGTCGGGACGCTAGTTCTTTCTGCGCAGCACGACGACGCCCGATGGGCTTGCCGAAGAGATCGATGAGTTTTTGCTTACAGATGTCCCAACTCGTGATATCTTCCTCGTGGTTGGAAAACCAAAGTTTAGCTGTACCATCAAGGTACAAAATAATATTGGCCAACATGAGCGTCGGATCCCAGTTGTAAAGAGCGCTCACCCTTTCGTACAGCTGAAGCCATTCCTCCACGTCAGTACTGTCACTGCCCGAAAATGTGCCTGGGTCACGCGGTTGAGTCAGGACGATGGTGCGGTTAGTTGCAGCTGGATGCGGTGCTGTTGGTGGCTGCGTAGTTGGACGAAGCACGCTTGGGGTAGTCTCCGAAGAATCCTCGTGTTCGTCTTGATCAGGCATCGCACAGGCAGCCAAGGAACGTCCGCTGCGTAGAATCGTCGTGGTGTTGACTGTGGGAAGACCCGCACTCTTCACCAAAATGTTACGGGGAGAAGGCGTCTGAAAAATGCCTTTACTTTCGGTAAACAGGCAGGCATACAATATGGAGCCCGGTCCTGCACGAGCTCGCGCTAAACATCGTCCTCTTTTCTAGAATGTTCATTTGTGGCGCCCCGTAGCAATATATATATATATATATATATATATATATATATATATTATATATATATATATATATATATATATATATATATATATATATATATATATATATATATATATATATATATATATATAATAAGGGAAAGAAGTGTATACCTAAGGGCTCGTTTTTCCGTGTTTTTAACACAATAATAATGAGATATAACAGACAGTAATGCCAAGGAATGTACAGGGGAAGTTATTAACATTAATGGAATGTAAATAAGAAGAAAGAAAAGTGGATGAAAAATTTACCAACTGTAAGCAGGAATCGAACCTACGACCTTCGAATTACGCGTTCGATATATATATATATATATATATATATATCATATCCTTTTAATCCCTCCTTACCCCCATCCCTTCTGAGCTACTGTTGAGGTGTCGCACCAGATGCAGACAGTTACGGGGCTCACTTTTTTCTTCTTTTCCCTTTTATAATCACATAAAAATATAGCGCGCGTCCGGGCGTCCAGCTATCACTGTTCACAGGCACTCGCATCCTGTTCGGCAGCTCTGCGCATACACACCTGTCTGTCAATGGCGATAAGCGGACGGCGCACACCACATCATCGCCAAGTCTTGCCGCTGTTCGGGTTTCATCCGGATGCAGATGGTACGTACAGCCAGCCACCATATCAGTGGTCGTTCAGCGATACGGCGTACGACAGTTTTACGTCACGCCTCCTGTATCAAAAAATACTCTTTTCTGCGCGATCCTGCCGAGCAGTGGCGTTGGACTGTTTTAGAAGGAGCATTTCGTACCGTGCATTCAAGTGGCCTACTCGGTACATCTTGAAAGGCCGGTTTTCCGAGTGACGAGGGACGACAAGAACACAAGACAGACACACAGGACACATGGGCGCTACTCACAATAATACTGTCACGGGAGTGAGAATATCCAAAACAAACAAGAAAAAGTATTACAGAATGTATACGGGGCGTCCTTCAGTCAAGGTGATTGGTTGATTGCCCCTTTTATTCTGGCGCAACCCACCATGGCAAACCGGACATGAAACGAGTGGTACCTTGCTAAATGAAAGGATTTGTTTATTATCTCAAAATGTCAAGCAATAAGTAGTTTTGAAATCATTAGTAAGATTATGTTACATTTGTTAAAAAACAAATAATTTTGTAGAATATGCTTGACTTTGATAACCTTAGAGATCAAATCATGTTGATAAATAAAAAAAAGTCAATGGAGCGGAACACCAACAACAGCGCGAGCCCTATCACAGTCATCGTCTTCATCGCCTCTATGAAGTATTCCTTCATGTTTGTCGCGACTTGTAAAAATAAGCCTAAATGTTTGACGTATGAAACAAATGTATACATTGCACAGCACGTCACAAAACGTGTGATTTTGCCACTTTGGGCTACCGTAGTACAAGATAAGCCCGAGCTTTAAAAAATAATAATATTAATAATGAAAGTGGAGGGGGGATGCGAACAGAATTCCCCACTGGTTCAAACAGAGTAAAGAAGACTTAATAACACATTTGTCAAAATCAATGAGCTTAACTTCCGGGCTATACCAGACTTACCGGTCCCAGTTGAAGTCCCACTGCGAGGAGGGCTGGAGGTCGGCCGTCCAAAAGGAGCGCACCTGGTTCCTCTTGGCTTTCTCGCGGTACACCATGAGACCAGCCACGCTGCCGCAGAGCATGCCCGCTGCTTTGGCGATGTTTTCCACCATCTCGGCCTCTCGCACGCGCGCGCAGGCGGGTCGAGACAGCTTGCCGACGACCAAGTCGCCACCAAGGGTCGCGGCTCTCTGCTGGTGCTGCGGACGTCTCGCGACGACACGACGGCTAGAAGCGTCAATTCTTCTTCTTTCTGCAGTTGACAGATTTGCAGACATGTTCCTGCTCAAGAACGAGCTCGCACATTTTTTTTTTTTTTTCAAACAGATGTCCTCGTCCCCATCAAAGAACCAGGCTTCTTGTCAACGAAGGCTCCCCGAGTGCTGCCATAATCCTCTCTAACGTGTTAGCACGCTTGACCCCCCCCCCCCCCCCCCCCGAAAATGTACTGCAGAGGCTGTGCCAGCCCCTAACAGCAGCCCAGTGAGGCTACCATCCTCTCCACAGCCTTTCTTTTTGTTCGTTGCCCCCTTTTTTTTCTATCCACTCGGCAGGTGCCTTCAGGGAGTATCATCGCAGTAATTTTTCGGACAGCTCTTGCAATGCTCGTACAACTGCGGAGTGCAGGTATGCGCGAGCACCTTCTTAGAACGGCATTCCGTGAACTAGAGCTTTCTCTCGCAGGAAAAACACGTTTCGGCGAACCGTTCATGAACTTTTGGCGAAAATCTGCAAAACAACTTTCGTTATTTTTTGTTTGTTATTGTTGTTGATTGAACCAAGCACTCCCAATTCACACTGCCTCCCTCCGTCTTGCTTACGTTCGTGCGCAGGCTGAGAGGTAAGAGTGGTGTGTGCACACTTTTTTAAGCATTTGTGGTATTTCCACACCTTCACTGGAATCGAGGGTGAGCGAGAAAAGCAGTACATGTACGAACGAGGGTGCTTGCTGCCGGACTGCTGTTGACTGCTGTTCGTGTTGAAGATGACTGTGCCACTGCTTACTCAATCCTTTTCTCTTCTTTCCACTTTTCTCCCATTTCCGGCCCTTCCCCGCAGGCACTGCGCCGTGCTCCCTACCGGGCTGCAGAAATTAGGTGTTTTTTACCTCTTCTAACCACCACCACCACCACGGCCACTGGACGAAAAAGCGCACTTTTTTATCCAGCGGCCGTGGCTTGACTAAAAAAAAAAGAGAGAGAGATAGATAGAGAAAAGAAGTAAAATGGTATCGTTGTTTTTTTTTTCAAACCATTCATTTCAGAAACCCATGTTGAAATAGCTGATTTATGGATCCCTTTAACGCTTCTTTTTATTAATTTTTTATTCTTTTACGGGACCGTCTCACTTGCAGCTCGAACTGTGGAACATGCTGTATAGAGGCCCGTGTGCTCAGATTTGGGTGCACGTTAATGTACCCCAGACGGTCCGAATTTTCGGAGCCCTCCACAACAGCGTCTCTCGTAATCATATGGAGGTTTTGTAGGACATTAAACCTCACATATCAAGCAATCACTCACTTTCAGCTGCCAGGTTGCTTCCTAGACATGATACACAAAAAAAATGCACCGCCAATGCTCCAGCCTTTACACTCCCTCGTACATAGACGCTGCGCCATGCTCCCCAACGGGCTGCAGAAATTAGGCGTCTTTTCTTTCCTCTAATCACAATCACCACCACCAACACCCTCGCACAGCCCAATGTAGCGGCGTGATTTTCTCTCCTGTGAAAAGGTCTGTATTATCTCTGTGCGTGTATGAATGAACAGCAACTGGCTTTAACAAGAACAACGGCATCACGCACACCGCATCAGTGCATTTTTTGTGATACGCATGTCGTGATAACGGCGGCTACATATTATCAACACTTCTCTGCCGTAATGCGGAAACTTACGTGGTAGAAACACCGCACGTCTTCCGCGACTACCACGTGTTTCATCCTGAACGCCGTTTTCTTTTAAACCCGAGAAGGTGAACGATCGAGTGAGTCGGAGCAAACTTGTCATGTTCATTTAGGGCACACACAGGAACCGAGATGGCGTTAATAGATAACGTGGATCATACCCAACGCTAAAAAACGTGTCCCTTATTGAGATGGGATAACCTCTTTTTTTATCTTGAACATTTTGAAAAGATAACAGCAGCAGGATCCATTATCAAATGTTCATGAACAAAAAATACAAGAGGAAGGTTACTAAAACGAATGAGAAATCGCAGTAACTGAAAAAAAAATGATGAAAGTAGTGTCCTATTCGGATAGACCAAAGTCGGTATTATTAAATAATTGGAATTTTGATCTCTTTGAAATAAACTTTGAAAAGAATTGCGAACAAAATTTCGCTAAGCAGATAAACATTTTACTGACTTAACTGGTACGTGCGTCCACTGCTAAGCGAACTTCGCGAAATAGAATCTGCGGATTGTACATTACTTGCTGGGAAGTTGTAGTCACGTAGATGAAGGACATAATAGCAGAGAAACAAAAAAAAAAAAAGACACTCACGTGCAATTTTCAAGGCCACGGCTTTCAGCTGCGGTAAGGATGACATCGCACGCGCGATGCTTCAACTGAGTGGGCTAAACGCTGATCAAACACAACACGACACCGTCCTCGCAAACAGTCGAACTACACTATCTGCAGAGTTCAGGCAAAAAAAAAAACCGGGGGAGGGGGTGAGTGACGTCATCGTCACGTGTTCGCGTTTGGGAGGAAAGGGAAAGGCAGAATAGGCACGAGAAGAATGAGACGGTCGGGGTACCAGAAAAAAAAAAAAAAACTCACGACGGCCATGGTTCGTCGAAAATTATCGCCAAAGATGGCCTTTCAAGCTTTGAGACGTCATGGCGATAGGGAAATGACAACACTAATGCCCCGTTTTTTTTTTGTATACTGACTCATAGGCTGTTAAGGCTCGAGCAGTAGAATTGGTGACCATTGTATGATGAGAGCATATGTCAATTTCGTTAACTATACCAAGCTCGACAATATTTCTTGGTGGAGCAGGGATGTGCATGGTGCGCACAGCGATAACAAGTAACAGGAGAAAAAAAATCTTTTGCGATAGCCATAGTCGTTGTATGAATGTTCTCTCGTTATGTGTACCGTCTTTATATGCAGCCTTTTCAGAGTTGTTTTGTTTGACATTACAGAAGCTAACCTATTTTTTTATTTTTGTATCTATTACAATGTTTTCGATAACACATTTGAGAACTATATTGTTCGAACGCATCTATATTGTTTTTGGTTGCAATTAAGCAATGGTTGCTCATGTGTGGTTCGAAGCTGCTGTATCAAAATAATAATGTGTGGTGTTCTACGTCCCAAAACAACCAAATGTGATCGAGAGAAGCCGTGGGGCACGGAGGGCTCCGGAAAATTTTTGACCTTCTGGTGTCCTTCAACGTGCACTCACACCACACAGTACACGAGCCTCTACCATTTGGCCTCCATAAAAGTGAGACCGCTGCAGCCATGACCGAACGCGCGACCCTTTGGGTCAGCGGCAGAGCATCCTAGCTACTGATCCACCGAGGCTGACAGATGCTGCTTCTATTCAGTCTGCTAAAATATCCGGGCCGTCGCAAATGCACCGTGACGCGACTCTTCACCCTCTACGCGAGTCGATGCATGAGTTCATTCATCGAGTCACGTGGCGGCGTCATTCCTTCCGTCTTGCAGGTGCAGTGCATGGTCTGCAGGTGCCACAGCCGTCGCTGCATGGTCCACGTCGCACAAAAAAGATTTCCCTCTCCTTTGTCAGTGATCGACACGCTGAAAACGTGCGACGTCCTACAAGCGCTTTTGCAACTGTTGCAAGCCGGGCAAGCAGTGTGGAATGCCGGATGACACGTGCATGTGCCACACTTTACGGCTGCTGAAACGAAACGACAACTCGGCACCAAGGAGTACTTTACTACAATATAACATCCCCTACCCTCTGAGAGGGTAGGGGATGTTACATTGAAATTGACTTGGTTGTCTGTTAGTTCTTATTAATTTTGGGTATAGCAAAGAAAAAGGAGCCCTTAAAATTTATTCCTGCATTCATGAATGGAGAACCGTGGCACAGTGCACGAGTACAATGCACAAGCATTAAAAAGCATTAGTCCATTCTAGCCGCAATACAGCCAATTGACGGTTACTTGCTGTGGCAGCTATTTATTGCGCAGAGCTCTGCAAAGACATTCGAGATTCGATCCATTTGGTGTATGTTCAAGAACAATGAGTACCGACGCCTTTTAAAACTTCCAAGGGTGTGCTCGGCGGCTAGCGCGGCAGGTTATGTGATGCACCAGAGCAGGACATGCTTAGAGCCGAAATCTCTCATTATTTCGCTTTTTTTTTCACGATAGCTTGTGACAGAATCAATGAACACTTATAGGTGTTTGTCGATGCGGACATCAAAGTGTACATGAGCTCAAGAGTAGGAACACCAGCGACGTGCCCATACAAATCGCCAAGTGCAGCTGCTGTAACGTATATCTGGCGCTCGTACCAATGAACATATGTGTGCGCAGTTTTTTCTAAGAGGAGGCCCTTTAGTTCATGAACCATGATATTTGATGACTAGGTGCACAACAGGACACAATCGCGCAAACATATTAAAATGACATACATCATCATCATCGTCATCAGCCTGACTACGTCCACTGCAGGACAAAGGCCTCTCCCATGTTCCGCCAGTTAACCCGGTCCTGTGCTTGCTGCTGCCAATTTATACCAGCAAACTTCTTAATCTCATCTGCCCACCTAACCTTCTGTCTCCCCCTAACCCGCTTTCCTTCTCTGGGAATCCAGTTAGTTACCCTTAACGACCAGCGGTTATCCTGTCTACGCGCTACATGCCCGGCCCATGTCCATTTCTTCTTCTTGATTTCAACTATGATATCCTTAACCCTCGTTTGTTCCCTAATCCACTCTGCTCTCTTCTTGTCTCTTAAGGTTACACCTACCTTTTTTCTTTCCATTGCTCGCTGCGTCGTCCTCAATTTAAGCTGAACCCTCTTTGTAAGTCTCCAGGTTTCTGCTCGGTAGCTAAGTACCGGCAAGATACAGCTGTTATATACCTTTCTCTTGAGGGATAGTGGCAATTTACCTGTCATAATTTGAGAGAACTTGCCAAATGTGCTCCACCCCATTCTTATTCTTCTAGTTACTTCAATCTCGTGGTTCGGCTCCGCGTTTATTACCTGCCCTAAGTAGACATAGTCTTTTACAACTTGAAGTGCACTATTACCTATCTCGAAGCGCTGCTCTTTTCCGAGGTTGTTGTACACTAATTTCGTTTTCTGCAGATTCATTTTAAGACCTACCTTTCTGCTCTCCTTGTCTAACTCCGTAATCATGAGTTGCAATTCGTCCCCTGAGTTACTCGGCAATGCAATGTCATCGGCGAAGCGCAGGTTACTAAGGTACTCTCCATTAACTCTTATCCCTAACTGTTCCCATTCTAGGCTTCTGAAAACCTCCTGTAAGCACGCGGTAAATAGCATTGGGGAGATTGTGTCCCCCTGCCTTACACCCTTCTTGATTGGTATTCTGTTGCTTTTTTTTTATCAAGCACTATGCATTATAACACAATGCACGGTGTGTGGGTTTTGTACTGCTGCTTCATCAAAAATGTTGTTAGAGTGCGAATAAAACAAGCTCCGCAATTGAAGCAAAAATGAAAAGCTCACTCGAAGAAATCGCATTTACTCTACGCTATGAAGTCAAGTCTTTTTTTATGAGTGAGTCATTCATCTGGTTTGTGGTCATGATTGGGACGCCTGCTTTCACGGTCTGGCGATGGACGCTGTCACCATCTAGCTCTGCCACGCGTTCTATGTTTCTCGTGCCTGGTCTATCCTCAATTCCCATACGGTCCCCTGACCATCGACACGTTTCGCCATGGCGTTTCACAGGACGATCCGAAGCTCAAGCCCCAATCGTTCCATTTCCCTTCCATGAGCTGCGGCTTCCTCTTTACGCCTGGCGGTCTCTCTCTCTCAAACGCAAGCCGCTCTCATTCTTCGGCTTCCTTACGCCTGGCCTGTACGAGCTCACAACAATCGCTAAGTCTCTTCTTATCCACGCCAGTCTTTAATCGCCTGTATGAAATTCGGCTTTCTATATGTATCATCGCCACCTCAACACCCAGCTCCTCACGCAAAAGCACTGAATCCGCTTTCCTCAACCTGGTCAAATCCATGGTCACCCAGTGCAGACTTTCGTGGCTCTGACTGCTTTGAAGGTATCTCTAATAAACACTGCCTTCACAAACCAGTACCAATTTACCCCTTTGGATAAACATCACCATCTACCCAAAACACGTGGTGGAATATTTCTACAGAAAGTGAGCACTCAACAGCATCGGTACCAGGAAAGAACTCGAACCAGATCCCACCGAATCCCGCCGCTATCAACCAGTTGATGTGACCGAGAAGCGGGGCACAGGCGGCAAGCCAGGCGCCGGGGAAGAAGGAACTCTTGCGGGGCATCTTTACTCATGCAAGAACACACGATTTATTAACATAGTTACAAGACTGAAAAACAAGGCGAGCAGACGTGACGAGAGGGCCAACGAAGGTCAGAAAGAGGGCCCCGACCGCACATGCCACGCGCTTTTCATATTCTCCATCCGTGCACGTGCATCTCCTCAAACGTGCGCTGTGTGTCCAAGCCACACTGTGGTCCCAGCCACGTCCCAGCGACGATGATGCGCGTTTCGTGCAGCGCATACAGACACCTCCTGCATTCCTGCAGGACGAGGACAGCGTTTGAACGGGACGCCGATGAGCGTCCCTTGAAGGCCATGTCCTTGCTCATTTTGCAAGGCTGCAAGAGGTCCCTCATACACACTCGTGCGTCTGCATGGATTTCTGCATTTTCTGTTCTCTGACCACTCACACGTTTTGCCTCTGCGATCTGCAACTCAAGCCTTAATTTTTCAAGGTCCCTTTTTTGGCTTAGTGATTCTTCTTTACGCCTGACAGTCTCTATTTGCTCGTCTTCTCGTGCCTTTTCCATCCTTTCTTGAATTAGCACCCAACACTCGGAAAGTTCCAATGTTGAATCCAGAATATCCGAACCAATGCAAGAACTATCAACAATCGCCAGTAGGACACGTCATATACTTGACTCCATTACGTCGTTATGACGGCGCCGATAGTTTTCTTACAGAACTTGAGTACCAAAAAAGACTGAAGTTCAGAGGCACAGAGAGGCTTGAAGCGATCAGAATTTTTTCAAGAACGTCGCTGGGAGAAATGTTTCCACTAGTTGACTTGCTTTTGTCAGGGCAACAGCATTGCCTTGATGAAGAAAAGTTCACTAGTCAAAACGCTGGCTCCATCAACATTCTCCATAGTAATTTTTAGAAGCATTTAGTCCACCACGTGTACTTTAGTTGAACTATTAAAAGTTAAGACTCACAAGTTTTTTGAAAACACGGCTACAAGAATTTCATGAGCGGGAGGATGCCTATAATTACTTGGTATCATTTGAGCTACACACCAAAAGTAAAAGAAACTGAAACTATGTAGCCGAGCCAACTCGAATTCATGTCATTTTCCCGCAACGCATTTTCCCAACAGGAGCTTGACTGCCGTCTTCACTAATTAGTCAAGCTACATTGAACTCCTGTCAGGCCAGTCAGGCTGGCAGAGAACAGGGTTTACTCACATGTACTCATGCAAAATCAATACCTGCTCAAATAGTGGTTCTAAACTCCTGTGCTCACCCGTTGCCTTTAGGAAGCGCTGAAAAACCATCGCGGAACTAGAAATCTCGCGGTTAGCACATCGCAGAGCTGCGGAATACAGTTGTTGGCCAATTAAGACATCTTTGAGGATTGTGTGGCTGACTTGTTCGGCGTTGCTCACTGCGGTTTATGTTCTCTCCCTGGCCGCCACAATTTGCGGTATTTATCTTTCCTGAAGTCCCATTGGTTGACACCAAGGATGATTAAAAAAATCGCTGCAGTGGAAACGATTGCACAGCAGTGAAAACGTGCCTATGGGAAGAATGCGACGGCGGCGGCCATCTTATTAGGGGCGTGCTAAGGTATCGCCGTTCATCGATTAAGAAAGGGAAGTTTATTGTACACGTAGAACAGAGCGTTTTCTTGGCACGCCCAACGAGTTTAATGTGAAAATTTTTTCGGGTCACATAGTGCTCCAAGGGCTTTTTAGTGTTATTAATTTTCCTTAGTAAGGAGGCAAAGTTCTTTGGAGATTCAGTCACCCATACTCGTGTCTGTGCGATATTTCGTCGGGAACAACTGTCTTTTAATATAGCACTAACGTAGCATTTACATTAACATATGAAAGCCACTTGATCTTTAAGTGGCCATGCACTACCAGAAAAGTGCATGTATCCGCAATCTTGGCAATGGCAAAAGCAGGCTTCCCTTCTGCTGGCAAGGCATTGCGGGAGCTTCCATTCCAGCATATATATTTTTTAAATCCTCCTTGGGTGACACGCAAACCGAGCGAGGCAACTGAGCACGATCCAACTTCTAATGTCGTTGAGCGAGGGGAGAGAAGGAGTGGAGGCAAGCGGTACCAACCTAGTTCTAAAAACGTTGAGCGGTACGAACGCAAGTTTATTACTTTCCGCGCTTCCCCTTATTTAAGATTCACGAAATAACGCTTAAGAAAATACATATTAACAAAAAATTACAAAGTTTTCTATTTTTTAATTGCAAAAATTTATGAAAGCCAATAAATACGATCATGAACATCAACCTCACTCTGTTCCAACGTTTTTACACTGTCTAGAAACGTTGCTCTGCTGTTCAACCGCTTCATATACGCCCGGCAATCGAAGCAGCAACCGCTACGAGCGTGCATGTTCTTTGAAACCGAAACTGGCAATGAGTTTACGGGGCCTGGCGAAAGCTGAATAATAATGATACCATAAAACGCCGTGATCACCTTGATACTTTTAGCAACTTTATGACCCGGACGCATTGTCTATAAACCCTGGAAAACGTGCGGAACGTGTTTGTTTCAGGATGCGGATCGGACGTCGCACAGTGCCTTCGAATAAAAAGAAAGACGATCTAAGCAAAAACGTAACTAGATACATTTTTATGGTTATAATTAATAATGAGAGGTATCCATATGTTTTATTTGAACTTAATAACGTGTGAACGGTAGCAAATGTTCACAACATTTTATTCAAGCGATTAGGTCCAATACACATCGCTATCAATATCAACTTCAATAAGCGCGCTTTCTAATGCGGTCTGCTGGTTCGTGTTTGCGGATAATCGAGACTAGACTGCCGATTACTTTGAGCTCAATCGGTGTGTTCGCGATGGTATCGCGTTATTCTGCGGAAGGTATCGCACATTAGATTGCACTTTGATGTGCAGACATGAACGTGGCCGAATCGTTCGCGAGAAGCGACGAAATCGAGGCGCAGTGCTTGGCGTTCAAGTTGCAGCTGATGAACACCGGCGAGTTTGGTAGCGAGAACTTCTCCCTAGACGCTGTCCGGAAACTTCATCGTCAAGTACAGTACGCTAGAGCGTCCGGCGTGTGAGTGTCATTACGAATTCGCGTTCAGTTTGTACTACGCGGAATAATCAGTCGTCCTTTGCTATGCCATGACGCAACTTCCGCACCTCAAGAGCTTGCAGTGATATGAATATGCACGCGTGAACTGGCTGGTTACCTGATATACCGTAACCTGTATTTGTTTGTGTGTGCGTGCATTCCAGTCACACCTATGTCACGCTGTAAACTTCCTAATCGCGCAGGCCTACGTCTTTGAAGATCGATTTGATGTATTAACCCATCTCTGACCTTGATGCCCTTTTGATGGTATAGCCGCAGCGGAGCGGCATTAAGCTGTTACAGTAACATACTCTACCGCTAGTGCATGTTTCATAGAGGCACCTTAGCCTGGGAATAAACGTGATCAAAGTTAGTATTACACGATCTCGTTTATCACCAAAAATGCTGTTTTAAAAGATGAGATGACGAACATTGTTCCCCTTTAGTACCTCAAACTTCCAAAGAGAGATATTTCAAACAAATTAATGCTATGTAAGTCGGTGGTGCAATGTGCGTTTTAAGAAGAGAGAGAGAGAGAATGAATGTTTTTGCTTATGGCACTTTACATGCTAGTCACAAGATTTTATAGCTTGGTACTCAAAAATACATGCCACTATCTTTTTTTTTGTCAAATAATGTGCTTTGCATGGTATAGCATTACTAATATTTCCCTACACAGCACTGTTCTGGACATACTGAATACGCGTGTAGAAATAACCTGATGGCAGCTACTTTCCTAGCATAATCAGTACCAAAGAAGAAGATGCAAAGTATTTGTACAACTACAGAACCTGGTTTCTAATTTATCAAGCATGTTCTATCTTACAGAATTTCTGAACCTTGTGAAAGCTTGCTGTTGAATCATTTTGCTGAAAGAGGAAACAGGCACGTGGATAGTTTGGATGGTAAGGCCCGGTTTTTTGAGTTTACGAGAAATGCGATGCCGATACTTGGCCGTCAGTGCCTGATGCGTAGTCCTTTTACTCGTAGGCCTCAACAACTTTTCAAGTGCTGTTACCCACTCTGCACAGACTTCAAAAAACTGCAAGTATTATTCCATTATTGCTATTCTCTGGCTTGCTTTTTTTTCTTTAATGATGGGCTACAGTTCATTAGGCCAAAAAGAAAATTTGTCTGGTATTAACAATCAGAGTAGCTTAGGCATTAACAATCAGAGTAGCTTAGGCGGGAGCTAGTTGGTATGGCATCATTGTAGGTTGTATGGTTCCACCGCAGATAACTGCATTTGGACAGAATAGTTTACTCGACCACCCAAAATGAACAAGGCTCTTGCGTGCACACTTTTAATGTGACGCATACACAAACTACAAGCAGTGACAAGCATTGGTAGTAACCACAGAGCTTTGAAAAATTTTGATTAAGGTCAGATGGCCAGTATTTATGAACCGGTGATGCAGTTATCATAAGCAGGTCATAACTCAACTAATCAATCAACAGCTGCCGGTTATACTCTTACGGGTCATGCCAACTTCACTCTCTCGATCGTATAATGTTGAAATTAAGGAAATAAGTTGCAATTCACAGGAACATTTAAACATGATTTGAAATGAGTAACATCGGCCAGCGTTGAATTCATGCAAAATTACAGAACTCATTTTTATACTATGAAAACACACACATTTTTTTAGAAATAAAATTGCTGAATGACACTGTGCCTTAATATTAATGCATGGAAGCACATGCCTCCCGTCATTGCGATATATATGTATATTTTTTTGAATGGTATATATATATATATATATATATATATATATATATATATATATATATATATATATATATATATATATATATATATATATATATATATATATATATATATATCTGCTCACGGCTGGTTATTTTTTCATCCGCTTTTCTTTCTTCTTATTTACATTCCATTGGTTCTAATAGCTTCTCCTGTACATTCCTTGGCATTACTGTCTGTTAAATCTCATATATATATATATATATATATATATATATATATATATATATATATATATATATATCGCAATGGTGGGAGGCATGTGCTTCCATGCATTAATATTAAGGCACAGTGTCATTCAGCAATTTTGTTTCTAAAAAAATGTGTTTTCATAGTATAAAAAACGAGTTCTGTAATTTTGCATAAATTCAATGCTGGCCGATGTTAATGGTATACATTAAAATAGTTTATTTACTTGCAAGCACTTCAATTACATAAAGAATACTAGTACATCACTGTTAAACTTTAGTTGAGTGAGTGTTGCAACACGTTCTTCTGATTCTTAAAACTTGGAGTGCGAAGAAATCTTTTTTACTTCCTCTTCATCTGCCATTCATTGCTTTTTGTGCGGCATCTTTTAAATTAGTACTCTTTCCTGAAACGTGATGGTTATATTTAGTATTCATACATAGTGAGATTTTTTTAATACGTTACAGATGCTGACCAGTGGCGATCACAACTTGTGAAACTGAGTGATGAGGAGCTTTTAAAATTCCTGCCTGAAGGTACCAGGAATGGCCAGCCTGTGAGACTCACCATCAATGCTCCTTGCATCGTCCTTTCTAGAAGAGTTGCGCATTATCAAACGTCAGAGGTGGCAGGCCGCAAAGGCTTTGTGGATGCGTCCAAGGGTTATTTACTTTATATACCGTTTCTTTATAACAATGGCAGAAAAATGGGCCAGTTTGTTAATCATGGTTGTCGAACAGTGGCACATAAGCAAGTGATGAACAGATAAGCACTTGTACGTCTCTTTCGTCTTCATCTCTTGTTTATGACGTGTTCTTAGACGATTATGTTTTGTGATATCCTGGCATCCTACTTCTTTATTTTGTCATGCAGTTCTTCGAATTAAGCACTAAAATAAAAAAAAATGTAGCCCTAAAAAAGAGGCTTTCATAACTGAGAAACTGCTGCGATTTCTCACTGCCGGCGCTTTCAATATTTCAGGGAATGGATGATGCCACAGACGAGTACGAAGTCCTCGTCGAAATTATGAAACGAAAGCCTCTTGTTCCGAAAAAGTCGGGCAGCTTGCCGGACAGGAGCGAGCTCTCTCAATCTTTGAGGGAAGTCGAAGCAGCTGGTGTAGCAGAGTTGCCTCTGAGGAACACTCCAACGAATGGGGCGGCCCCGCCGTCCAAATATTTCGCTGATAACTCCAGACGAACCACCAGTGAACGATTTAAAAATGGTGTTCATCAGAAGGGAAGACCAAACTCATCAGGTGTGTGTGCGCAGATATGCTGCTATTAGAATTTTCCTAATAAGGAAAACATGTACAGCAAGGCTTGCCAAGTTTTACAAAAGAAAATATTTGTGGTACTACCACTACACCAACTTATGTAACATGATCTGGCCATCTGATTTTTTCTGTGCTCGCAGAGTGTGATGGTAGACATTGCAAAACAATTGATAGTTCCTCACACGAAAATTAACATTGGATTGCCACATTTTTCATGAACCAGCAGGTTCCTGTTTGCATTTTTTCTGCTTGCTAACCTCTCTTAAATCGCTTTTAAAACATTACTTCCCCAGATGTGCATTTTTTTTGTCACCACAATTGCTGTTACTGTCTATTTTAAGGCTGGAACAGCCAGATGATGTATTGATGCATATCTTCACTGCCTTATTTGCTTATTCAAATACATATAAGAGCAATACTAGTAACACCTTCAATGCTTCTGTTTATAATTGTATCAGTAAAATTGCTGTGTTCCTTAATGGAATGGCTTTGCGCCTTCTACAATACAGAAACAGCTGAAACAAGACTTTCTTTGGCACAAGATCTGTCGTGTAGAACCTTTTTATCTTCATTTGTCTATTACTATTTGTGTGTCTTTCTCACAGATCGAACTTATTCCTTCTCAGATGCAATTCGGACCAAATTACAGCTGTCGTCAGACAAGGTCTATGCCTCCGTGCACTGGGAGAAGTGAAATTGTTGAGAGAAATTATCAGACAGGAAGCTCTTTCCTGTGCAGTCATTGTTCTTTATGTTCTCTAATTTTCTCAGCAGTGGAAGCATGAATCACTTGTAGCCGGACCTTGTATAGCCCGTGGTCCTGAAATTAGAATTTGTAACTTGCATGTTGCCTTATCTAGCATTACTTCATTGACTTCCCGGTTTTCTTTATAGAAAGTGTGCCATCTGGTGCCCCCACCTTTCTTACTGCCAGGGAACAATTGGTAAGCACTGCACAGTTTATGAAGCACCCTGGCAAAAAGACAAACGTTATAATGCATTGTTGCCTTTCTTTCTTGAACACAAAACAAATAGATTGCTTAAGATAAACCCTGCTGTTATTTTTGTTTTTTGTATTCATGCACATTTGATTCCTAGTACAAACTGTTCTGCAGTCTCTGTGAAAATTTTGTTATCTTGCAGCAATTCGAGCAGCAAAAGAACAATGGAGGACAGGGTCGCACGAAAACCTTAGGAGGAAAGTAAGTCAACTTGTTCGTGAATCATTCTTGAGTTAGCGGTGTGTCTGTTTTTCTTGCTTTTGTACTAAGTCTTTTTCCCATTGCTTGCCCCGAGAACAGAATGCCAACTTAAATAGTGCTGCTGTAAAACCACGTTTGCTATTTTAAACTTGTTAAAGGCACCGGACTGCCAGTGTGTACATATGTCTGCATTCCTTCTCACAAACACTTTCTCCAAACGTGCTTTTTTGTAACTTTTTTTTCAGGAGAACCCTGACCAGCCAATTTGTTCAGCCTTTACTTCGATCAAATGAAAACAATTCTGGTAGCCCTTCCATCGGGTCCACTGTGGCTAACTGCAACAGCGGTGTGGAGGAGTGCGAGGCCTTGAAGAACATAGATGCTAAGCTCATTGAACTTGTCAAAAGTGAGGTGAGCAGACATTCAGATCATGGTCATGCAGATTGCAGCCTTAAGAACTGTTGCGATTTCCTTCATGAAATTGTTAAGTTCGCTTATGTTTTGGTGTATATGGTAATGTGTTTGAGCAGATCTGCATGTAGCACAGAAATAAAACAGCATATTGCCTGTACACCCTCCAGAACTTATGAGGTTCTTATTACTTTGGATGCATGAAACCTAATATGCTCTTCTTACTGCTCATTTTCGTTATGCTGTTCATACAGTGATCTCCACTGTTAACTAAGGTAACATAAACATTTGCCGTACCAAATTGAGAACGCTAATCACGACCTAGCATTAAGCTGCACTGCATGAAGTAGGGGGACAGGGCGATGGGGTTGAGGCATGCGGTCATGAAATTTATGATCGCCATAAATTTAATGACCGAGTTCTTCTTCCTGCACAGAAAACTTCTAAATGAGTGTGCATCTATTAAAACAATAAAAACTTAATCTGACGTGGGCTAGATGGGGTATAGTTGATGGTAGCGATCGTAGGCGTGTGCAGAGTTCCCTTGGAAGGGGGGGGGGGAAGTTTTATTGCAATGGCCCCCTTTCTTATTGAGTATGTGGCAGGCGCTGTGCCCTCCCTCAAATGACTGGGGAGGCGGCCCCCCTGCACCCCCCGCTCTTGTATGCTAAGCTATGATAGTGTCTGAAAAGTTAGGGAAAAGGAGTTTTCTTTTGCTCTCGCATTGATGATTACTATCATCAATAGCAGGGAGGTCGCTGGTGTTCGTGTGTAATATGGGAAGTTTTCAAATAAAGAGGATACGTGTGATGTGGTGAGTAATGCAGGCGAGGTGTCGTACAAGGCAGTTTATAATTAGCATAAATGTGCGCAGTCTATGTCTTCTCTAGAGAATTCATATCCCACATAATTCTGACTATAGGCTTAAAATATTCGTCCCAAACTACTCCAGATAATGGACAATGGCCCGGGCGTTCATTGGGACGATATAGCGGGCCTGGAGTTCGCTAAACAGAGTGTCAAGGAAATGGTGGTTTGGCCAATGTTAAGACCGTGAGTACAACCTCCCTTTCTCTTTCTCCACAGCACTGATATGCCAAAAGATATGACAGCATGTTAAAATTGCATCTACGAGAAATTATTGTAGAATAAGTTGTAAAGGAAAAGAAACGAGGCTTGGCTAAGAAAAGCGATTGTCTATGATTTGAAGCCTTGATAAGTTCAAGTGCAGGAAAACATTGTAAACATTTACAGTATGTTTAAATAAGACATGGCTGAAAAAACAAGCAAATTATTCTAACAAAAGCTGAAAACGCTCTTAACTGTTGGTCTGTGTTCTTCAGCGACATCTTTACAGGTCTGAGACAGCCGCCCAAGGGACTTCTCCTGTTTGGCCCTCCAGGAACAGGCAAGACACTGATAGGTATACCTCATAGGTTTATGACTCATCACATGAGGCTGTTGGCCTGCGTTACATGGATGTTGGTCTTGTACTGCGTTACATGGCACGTACTGTTGTTCTGCTTCCAGGCAAATGCATCGCTTCCCAAGCCGGTGCAACGTTCTTCTGCATCAGTGCATCTTCCCTGACATCAAAATGGGTACATTTTTACAATTTATCATACTGCATCATTTTCGCTACAGCTCACGCCTACTGTGAAATTATCTATATAACAGAGGGCTCCGTTAGTCTTGGCCCAATTTTCATTTTTTACAAATGTTTTGGCTGTTTCAACCAGTGAATGCCACTATGCACAAGATTGCTTTTCGCGCCGAGTGCATTAGGCGCCCTTGTTGAATCAGTGCGACAGAGATGGCTGTCGAACAGGAACAATGTGCCTCAAAAGACTGGCAGTTTCAGTAGAGGCACCTATCTTTGTCAAAGGCACCTTCATCATCCTTGGCGTATTTGTTTCGAAATGGTTAGCCACTAGCATCACATCACGCTGTTCCCTTCAGTACTTAGCGATTAATTTAGTAACACTCAAGGACTACCTGAAAAACTGTTGAGAGTATATAAATGCATTTCTTCCATTATGGAACCAGTGTGGCCAGTGTATACGCATACGGACGAGAAAGACAAAGAGCTGTGCTGTGATTGAGTGTGAACCCGCGCTACTGACAGTCTTTGCAGTGCCTTGCCAGGCCTTGAACTTCCGTCAATCACAACCTATCTTGCCACACGTCATGGTTGAGACGGGGATCATGTTTTACTTTACTTAATTTCTAGCCGTTTTATTCTGCTGGTATAACTGCAGGATGACAGCGTTTATCTGCATTTAGGAGCAGTCTAGTAGAACGTATAATGATTTTCACGTGCGAGCTGTCAGGACTTAAAATGAAGTACTATTTGTCCAAACAACTGTCTGCTATGCTGTCAAAAAAATTTACGAAAGTGCTTAAAGGTAAAAGTTCAACCCAGGATTTAGATTGCTTATCAAAGCCTACCATGTGACATACATTGGTATGTACCGTGACATGTTGTGCAACAGAGTACCAGAGGAATGAGCAGTGAAAGCCCTCTGCAAAGTTTTAGAATGATCGGTCTTTTCTTTTTTAGTTAGTTAATAAATCACATTTGAGGTGGGCAGCACAAAATGAACTAAAGAAGAAGAGCGAAACAGACGCACCACCGGCAAACGATATACATAACATTGATGTACGCAGATGTCAGAACCGTGGTTTTTTTTTTGCATTTCTTTGTGTAACTTTCTTTGCCTTGTTCACTGGAGAGAAAATTTAAAGTTTTTCGGTTTTTATTCTGTCCATCTGTGCAGGTTGGTGAAGGGGAGAAGATGGTGAGAGCACTGTTTGCTGTAGCAAGGAGCTGCCAGCCCGCCGTGGTATTCATAGACGAGATAGACTCCCTTCTCTCGCAACGCTGTGAAAGCGAGCACGAGTCCTCGCGACGCATCAAGACAGAGTTCCTTGTGCAGCTGGTGAGATTTCTTGCATTGATGTTATGGTCATGTAGCAAGAAAAAGTAGAGGTAGTCCGAATATTACTCTACGGCGCAACCGTATGCTCCTATGTTCTCATCTCCATCTTTACCACAGGATGGAGCCAGTACAAAAGGGGACGAGCGACTTCTCATTGTGGGTGCCACAAATAGGTAATCATCTCTTTTATCTTAAAGGGGTCCTGCACTGCTTCTCCAACCAGTGTTAAATGGTCCCAGTATCAGTGTTAATTGGCACACGAACCGGTTGCCGCAAAAATTTTTAGAATTCGTCAACAATGAGCGGAGTTACAGCGATGTACCGGGCTTTAAGCGTATCTCTGTTCTATCATCATGACGAGCATGCTAGAAGCTACACAAGAAGGAATAGCCCGGAAAAAAGAAGTTGCTTCACTTTATCATTCCTTGAGGTATTCGCATGTGCGAGGCAGAACTTAGATGATAGCGCCACCCGGAAATCACTGAAGTGGGGCGTAAAATCTGCCTCGTACGTTTACCTCCAGTCAGTGTATTAAGGGAAGAGTTATGGCCTCACAGGTTTGACAAAAATGACAGCTAAAAACCTCTTATGCTGCCTGTGAAGAATTGTTCATTCCTGGAAAGCCAGCAACCAAAGGCTGGCCACTGCGACAATCACGACATCACTTCATTTTCGTATTTTTAATCCACTGCAAAGCATGTTGTCTTTCGGACTCAACCAATGGTAAGGGGAGACAGGGATGAAAACTTTGCACCACCACTTCTTCTTAGTCGGGAACCCTGTACTCGTATATCGTCATTCCATATGCTACACTGCTGTGCACCAAAGGAAAATGCACGCCTTTCTCATTGTCGATCACATGAGAGTGCAGTAAATTAATGGCACGGGCTTGTGTAACCTTGCGCACAGGCCCAAAGAGCTCGACGAGGCCGCTCGGAGACGTCTGGCAAAGCGTCTGTACATCCCTCTGCCCGAAAAAGCAGCCCGTCGGCAGATGGTTTGCCGTCTGCTGGCTCAGGTGAAGCACTGCCTCAGCGAGGAGGACATTGACAGCGTGGCATCGCTGACCCAGGGTTACTCGGGCGCAGACATGGCCCAGTTGTGCAAAGAGGCTGCCTTAGGACCCATCCGGAGCCTCAGCTTTGAGACACTTCAGCACATCACAGCACAGCAGGCAAGGACTCTCCTCCCCTTAGTACTACACTCAAACAGGCTTATGATACCCATAGATTGAGGGAATTGCAGAGTATATTTGACAAAAGAAAATGTTCTTTTAGTTCTGCACTGTAGAAACTTACGAACAGCTGTACGTCTACAAGTGTATGTTATTGGCTGCCCGATTAACTCTGGTAGGGGTAGCTCAGCACGCACCTCGTGTCAAGCGATTTCTAGCAAGATCTCTTGACCTGCCGGCTCCGGCAGTGGTCTTTCAGTGAAATGCTCCCCATCACGCGATTTGCAACCCCGCAGCCGGAATCCTGCCAAGTGTGCATTGACAATTGTACAGTGCTGCATGCTGCACTTGTACAACTGGGAAGACAAGAGCATCTCGCACCTGCAACACAAGGAAAGCAAAGCGTAAAGCTCTTGCAATAATGTACGCTACATATTTCACTGAAGAAAGCATTGTCTTGCCCTGATAAAGACAAGTGATTTTTGGGAGCGTTTTACACCACAGTTGATCAGTTTGAGCCTCTATCTTTTTGACTCTTGAGTTATAGAAGTTAGCCAGCACTGTTAACGACACATGCTCAGAGTTTTTTTATTATTAATCTGTTTCTAGGTTCGCCCAGTAGCATTCAAAGACTTTGAAGAAGCATTGTGCCAAGTGCGGGCTAGCGTTTCGCAAGACGACCTCCATGGCTACGTTGAGTGGAACTCTATGTACGGCAGCACACCAGCAGTCCAAGCGAATGACTAGACTGTCTGCACTAGGACATAAGTTAGAAAGAGCTTTTGCCTGTACATATATATACATATGTACAAATAAAGATGGAAATTTCTTGTATCAAGGCTGGCCAAAAGCATGGGCTACCACCTGTGATTTGGGTGGCAGCATTGAAATCTTTCGTAGGCACTGCTTGGAAAGTGGTGTAGAAGACTGGGTGTAATAACGAACAAGCAGTTGGTGTACTCCACTTTAATCATTAATGCCATCGTACACATCGAAAAAAAGAGGGGGCATCAGAAAACGTAAAATGCGGACATCGCAACCAAAATAGGAAAAAAGAAATGCGACTGTGGTGACACATTCACCATTTTAGCCTTGGTACGCATAAAAAATGACCACTCTACTGTCACAAGACTGATTAAGTGCCATCTAGCAAAAAACAGGGAGAGATCAGCACATATTTAATATTGGACCAATACAACTCGTACAGAGGTACCAAGTCTCACTGGTCTAAAACTCAGATCTCTGCTGCTTAAAACTAAGCACAACCAGGCAAATTAATACCAAAGTGCATTTGCAACGCAACCCAGGGTATTTTAGTACACTTAGGTCCATAAAAAAAAAAAAGAGAAATTGACACACATTTACTACTGGACCAGAACAACTCTAGCAGGTGGAAAGTTCGCAATGGTTTAACTCAGATCTATACGCACAACCAGACAAATTAATTCTAAATGCATTTGAAAAGCAACCCAGCGCACTTCAGTGCACTTGGGTTAATATCTCCATGTAAATATAATATTGCACACACTGGGAAAACCATGCACGATGCACTTGACACTGCAGAAGTGCTGTCCTATAAATGAAAACAAGATGGCAACATAAATAATGTTGCGTCATGTTTGTAAACTTGCCCCATCAAACCAAACTAAATCATCATTGAGATAAAGCCAGTCTGCATAGAAATTGACTACAGTTTCAAACATTCTATGCTGTTATTAACATATCGCTGTAAAAGAACAACATGTCAGATCTGAGAAGTGAAAATGCCGAGGAACTCCCAGATCTGGATAACAACAAACATGGACAATAGTATGGAGAAAAGATGGACTAGAGGAGATTGCAGTGTAATACGAGACACTAGTGAAGAAAGGTGATGGAAAGAACTTAACTGTGATAACACTTCAACATGTTAGGTGCTCATGATGTTAAAAACTAAGTGCTCTTGCAATTCGTGGCACACAAATATAAATACAGTTCAACCGTGCACACATTCCTCCGTAACAGTCTTGCCCCAGAATGATGTAACAAAAAATATTTCACAGCGACGGGTAAGGCACAGCATCAGTTGCAATTCTCGAGAAACCGTCGTGCGAGGTAATCGAAAACTGTGCAACCAGGGTATGAAAAAGCAAAAGGGCTAGTTTGCAACTTCGCTACATCCCTCATCAGACGTCAGCTAATTCTATATGTTGAAATGTCAATTTTAATGCATTTGCTGGAGCTTCTGGGTTGTCACAACAGACAGCAATTGAAAAAATTTGTCCTCTTTTGTACGAGTTCTGCAATCGCAGATGTTGGCTTTTGGTGACCGAACACTTAAAGATGTTTGAGATACAACAACTATATCAATTGTTACACGCTTCAACACTTAGCGTTTGTGAAAAGTCTTCGATGAAGATGCTGCTGTTGAAGAACCAGTCACGTGACCGCAGCAAACACTTACAAGGTTGCAGTGCAGCTTTGACTGGAAATGTTGCTAAATGCAGGCAGTGCACTTTTATAAATGTAATTATCTCCATTACCTGCATTGCTGTGTCATTATCTTGGTGCATATGCAATCACAGACAAAGTGCCAAAAGAAGGAATTGAACAATCTTCGTCCAATCTTGCAGCTGCAACTTTCTACACCAGAGCTAAAAATACCAGAGACAGATTTGGCAGGTGGAGTGCACTGAACTCTCTTTTTTCACCGGCCGGGCACAGATGCGAACTTTGCTCGACTGAGCAGTCTGTGCACAACGTTCATATCCAACATTCCCATAACCCGAATCAGCCCCTCGAAAAGACTTTGCAGTTATGTAAACCCTCGTGACCAATGCCGTCTCTAGAAGTCTTTTGAGATCGCCAACGGGGCTCCAAGCACCACATTCAGAGCCAGTCACCATTCTAACAGAACGTAAAGTTAAGTACCTGGTTACATAGGAGAAAATGCGTCGACTTGCACAACACAACACTTAGCCCTTCCCAGACTTCGAGCTCAAGACTAACCACGGGGTCTAGCGTGCAGTGCCAATAACTAACCGCTTCATCACAGCTCCTTGTCAGTGGTCCAAACCAGAAACAGGAAAACAGTAGTACACAATGCAAGGTTTCACGCAGTGAGAAAAGCGACAAATAAAAGGCTCATGTTTCACAAAATGCCACAAAAACGTGACAAACGCAGGCATATTGGCCTGCAATGTTTCCCCAGCACAGTCGTGGTTGCACAACGTGCAGGGTAAACAAGAAATCACCACATACATGATCAGCTTAACTACGGAGCCTGTACACAGGCATGCAGAAGACAAATGCCCGGGCCACATAACACAGAATCAACACTACAGTGTGCCTTTTATGCAGGATTAGCTATACACGCAGCTCACCTCTATATGGGGTTGCACAAGGCATCGAAACACTGGCAATAACATGAAACGGCGGTAACATGCCTGGTAAACTGCCACAAGAAGCCTCCAAGCAGGCAAACTAACAACCCTGGACTAATAACACTGATTTACTAAGTGGTTAGAGAGACAGAAAAAAAAAGTGCAACAAAGTGCCATTTTCCGGGAATAAAGATTCATGGTTAAATGAGGCATACGTAAACGACTGTGTACATTAAGGTCACATTTAAAATGTAACAATTTCACTGCAAGTGCACATGGAAGAATTCATCCACCCACGAACCCAGGCCTGGCTAGGCCTAAATAATTGGTTAATTAAACATGCTACCTTCTGTCCCATCTGGAATAACAATAACGAAAGTAGAAATAACTTTAAAAGAGTGTCGAAACCAACAGGTGGCATTAAAATGCACCAGAAAATAAAGTAAGCTCGCTTGCTCTCCCAGGACAGCTTTGCAGATGTGCCTACTATGAGGCCAATCCAGTTATATTATATCACGCATGATTGCAGTGAGTTCAAAGTATATGCAACAAACACTACCAATTGCGGTAGGAGTCAGAGTGAACTAAGGGATGCAAGCAAATAAGCTCGCAGAGTACTGCACGAAATTCAAATCTTGCGATTAAAATCGTTAAGCGACAAAATATCTCGTATAACTGCGGGTGACCATCACTGAATGGCAAAACAACATGGAGACCAACGCTAGCAGTCCATGCAATGCACGGAATTCCACGAGTGCCCAGAATGCCGGTAACAGGGCACACGTGAGAGCAGCGTGGGCAGGGGCCACACTACAAATAAACAATAAAAGTTACGAGTTTCACCTACTAAAATATTACTTAGCTGAAGCGCACGCAGATTCTCACATGCTGCGCAATAAGTTTTCATGAATTCTAACACACGGCTGTCTGAACAGCTATAGCGCCACATTACAATGCTATTAACACTTTTTGTTAAACGCCACCTTTAGAATAATTGCTAATCGAAATCTTACGAAACGTGCGGCAGCTCTCAAGTGCCTTTGTACAGCGAACGGCCTCACTAGCAGGGGCTCGTGTTTGTCTGTCATCTGTCAAGTGCGGATGTGGAGTACGACGACGCACAAAATGAGATATTGCACGCCTCTACGTAGATTTGACGCTGCTCTTGCTCAGCTTGCTTGAGTCGAGGTGGTTGGAGGTGTCGTCGGGTACAAGCGCAGCGGTGACAGGAGCCCGGTGACCATTGGTGATGCAGTTGAAGATGGGTGTCGGCGGCTTGTCCCCCTTGTATGAGAGGCAGAACATGGAGAAGTTGGGGTCGCTCGTCACGTCCTTGCGGATGTCAAGGAACGGAGGCAGCAGCTGCGGAAGGTCCTCGGGTCTGTGTGTCGTGTACGTCTCGAGCAGGATCAGACCATTGCACCTATGACAAGAAAGAAAAGATAGTTCTTGTGTATGTCTTGGTGTAGTTCTAAATCCTGTGCTTAAAAAAATCTTGCGCTAACATCATTCTTGTGTAGGTCTTGGAATAGTTTCAAGTACTGCACATAATGCAGCTCCATTACGGTAAACATGAGGAAGTGCGTCGCACAATAAACCCAGAAATTCTCTTGAAAACTGCATGCTTGTTGAGGCAGTGGCTCTTGCTTTCACAGTGCAGAACTCCGCCTGATGATGTTTCAGGAGCATTTTTAGGCATATCACTGCCATTAATTCTTGATTATTTCTGTAATTTATATTATTTTAGACATTGTCAGTGATGTGACTGGCTGAAGCCAATTTGGAGCACATTTTTGCAGTAGCCAAAAGCAAAGTTTTCGAGCAGAAAAAAAAAAAAGGCTTTTGCAGGAGTTAAAAGGTTCCAGAGAAGCCTTTGCTCAGGCCGCTGGCAGTGCTTGCCGTGTGCACACTCCACACCAAGCGTAGAGTCACTTTTTGACCGTCAGTTGCGAATGGTCGTGCAACCAGTAACAAATGTGAACAAGCTTTAAAGCACTCTTAGGTTTCTGTTTTAAATGCTCCAACTTCAACACACTAGCATACCTAGAGTGGCAGGGCTTCTTGTAGATGTCCAGCTGGAAGTACATGTGGTTCCAGAGGAAGCAACGACGCACCTTGTACACTGTGTAGTGGCTGTCATCCCGCTGGGCCAGCATGTTCTGCAAAGGACAATTAAAACCAATTCGTGACGTTCCACATCCCTTGACCGCAAGATGTTCCAAACTGACGTAAAATATTCATTAGGGGCAACTCTTGCAATTTGTCAATGGACGCTGACCTCAGTATGACTTTGAGCGCGTAAGCCCTTCTGTGATGACTCAACAAGAAAACTGTCTGCTTGTCCCTCCGTCATGCAAGACAATCATCCCCATAAAGAAATAAAGGGATAAAACAATAAATGTACACTCCAGTGTTGGGTACCCGAGCCTCCCTGCTCTAAAGGCCTATTGGGTTAGACACCCATGCTTGCAGAATATAAATATAAGAGATTGTATAGTGAATTTCAGGTTCAAAAAGACTAGTGATTAGGTCGAATAATTTTGAATCAACTAGTTTGAATAGTACGTATCACTTATAATTTAGAAAAATGAGCAATTTTGTCATGACCGAATTAACTTGCAAAATATTATTAAAAATTGGAACTAGGCCTGCTTGAACGCCACTTTCTTGGTTCAAAGTGAAGTGGAAGCAAGTTTCAATAGTAGCAAGACTTGCATAGTAATAGAGTGCCATTAATAACAGGTACAATAGCTCGTGCTTTAAAAGTTACTACTACACATGGCAGGCCCGTCGCTGGCGAGGGGGCTAGGGGCCCGTGTTTCCCTGAAAAAAAAATCGCGCGCCTTCCGCGATTTTTTTCAAGGTGCGGGAAGTGGGTGCTTTACGCTGAATAGAGGAGGGGGCGCCTTACGCTAATGCGCGTCTTACATAAGCCCGTAAGACGCGCTTTAACCTTGAAGTGTGGCTTCGCCGCAGCGCAGATTTTACCAAGAAAGTTGTTTTACGGCATAGCCCCATACACCGCAGTAAAATTACCTTTATAGAGAGACTATATGTGCAAACAAAATAATCTGAATTTGTGTCAAAGCATACTTTAATACCGTAGTATTCATTTAAATATTCAAAGCGCACGAATATTCGCTTATGCTTAGAATATATCTGACCTATGTGAATGCGTTGTACCCGCAGTGAAAAACAACTGCGCAGAGGAGATGGAAAGCAACGGGCCCTGACCTTGGTGGTGATGGAAAAATGCTAGAGTGGCCCTTGATTGTATTACGGATGATTCTATAGGGGCTGTATTACCATCCAGGCTGCAACCCCTTGAAAAGCAATGCGAAAGAGCATGGCGCGTAACAGCGGCACTGCTCTTGTTTCTTTCCATTGCGATAGTACAAACGGAACACTTCCTATGATGACTTCATTGAAATTTTCCAGTATTGGAACAAAAGCCCTATGCAGGAAAAGATGCAAAGCCGACTAAGCGTACTTTAGTCCATATGTAACCCTTCGAAAGGTGGTTTCATTGCAGCAAAGGGGTGCTATGCCATCAAATTACCTATCCAGGTGTTTATCAGTTCGCATGTAACACACCATATAGGCATCGCTGCAGTAAAGCGGTGATAAGCCATGAAAATGTCTATGCAAGGGAAACCCGAACTGCCGCGAAGCACCACTTCAAGGTTAAATGAACATGTTGCCTGTTCGTGCATCTGTCTGTATGTCTAGTGAACAAACACTCCGAGTACTACGCATATCCACGGACTGAATAATGAGTGGGATGAAGCATCCATCAGTCCATTCGTGCATCCGTCCAACTGTGGATCGATCTGTCCGTCTATCCAGTGAACACTCCAAGTACCACCACCTCGCATCTTTTCAACATATATCGATTACATACAAGTACAGCCATCTAGCAGACATTCCAAGAACGAAACTCTCCTGTGGCACATACCCGAGAGAGGTGGTTACTACAGAGGATGATCGGGTGACGCCTTAAGGAGCTTTGCCCCTAAAATGCAAGGGTTGTGCTTTAATACTCCAGGCAAAAAAAAAAAAAAAAACAGCACTGCAGCGCAGAGCGATCATGTGAATGCTGATCCTTGGGGCATGCTGCAGCAGCTCTCATGGAAAGCTGAAGGGGCCTACCAATGCAAAACGCAAGAGAACATACACAAGGGGCACTCACAATATAGTCTCTGTGAGTGATCTGACGCTTGAGCTCGATGGTCTGGCTGTTGATGTCGCACCTTCGTATTGTGTGCATATAGCTCCAGCAATCTGAAGAGAAAAGAAGGCGAACACTGGTCCACACAAAATTCAAAGCAAGACTCCCAAGCGGATGTTATTAGACTCTATTCTATGCTCCGTATTTGGCAGGCAACACTACAAAAGGTATGCAAGAAGCACGATCAAAGAAGAGACACTGCTATAAATTCAAAGTTTAGTCATTTTCTGCCCTTAATGTTCTCTACAGGACAATTACATCACATTATACAACAACCACCAGACATAAGTAACCCTGCATTGTTTTCAAACCTTTAAGCTTATAGTATTTGACATAGTATGCCTGTTGTGTGTGCTGACCATTGGTCAGAAATTCAGTCGCAGAACTTTGTCAGATGTAGTGTATGGTTCCAGATCTGACATTTCTTCTACGCAAGAGTTATGCTGCATTGTCTTGATACATACCTAATTGTTTATCTGGTGTTTATTTTTTTTTCTTCTTTTTTTTTCTCTCGTGCGAATGCAAGCAGCGTGAGAAATTCTTATAAGAACTACTTGGCATGCATGAAGCGGGGTGAAGCTATGAACAATCCCAATTGTGAAACACAGCTGAATTATTCAATGCAACTCATCTCTTAGATGAGTTGTCTGTGCAGGATTTGGTAGTATAGTTAGATAAATGAACTAATTTAGTGTCACAAGTTATTCGAATAGCAGGAAAGTATAGTAAAGGTAGGCCAATATGCAAATGCTTGAAAGGCAAGCAGGCACTCACTGTGTTGACCCCTCTTACGAAGTCTGGACTGCGCCTTAGGATTGGAAGTGATGAGGTAGTCATGGACAACATCGAAGTCTTGATAGGAGGGAAATGCCTGAAAAACAGAAACGGTACACAATTTGCAGGATCTGACGTATTCAAATTATGCACTGAAATATGAAAATGCCTTCACTAGTCTGAACATTTCTACGTATGGTGGCTTTCACATTATAACTATAAGCCCTACTTACAACTGTCATGAGTAAAATCTACATTTCTTTCTTTTCATGTGCCTTAGACTATAGCAGCCTAGCTGCAGGTATCCATAAAGAACAGCTCCCTGTATTTGTCTAACAAGTAAAAGCAGGCAACTGTGCTTGAAATGCAAATAGCATACCAAAGTTATGAGAAAGTGAATGATATACGTCAGTACTATCTCATTCAGAGTCAATGTCATATATAGTTGTAATGTTCCAACAAATTTCTTTTTGCGCTTCAAATCAATGACAACTTATACGGCAAAAGTTTCTGCCTAAAACTTACGCTGTCTGGTGGCATCGAGCCAACAAGGAACTTGGCTTTATGACTGTTGGTCGCTAGCCGATCACCAATATCAATACCGATCCGGCGACAAACACACTGCAAGAGAAACGATCACGATTAGTATACTAAAGACAGGGCTACAGGATGAAGGGCTACCAATGCTCCCAGATTACTGCACGAGTCTCTGCAAACATTTTTCACTGCCGCCTGCACACACGTTACAGGGCATTCGAGACCACGTGCCTGCTCCCGTTATCTTTAAGGTGTAGCTGCATGTCATGTTGGTAGGCGCAGTCAGATCTTACAGGTTGTACGTGCTCATCAAAGAGACTATGTTATATATGCTGAAGTGTGCCCTAATGGCCGCAGTTTGCCAGTAGGCATGGCTGGCAGTGGAAAGGCGTTGGTATGTTCTTGCTCTTGCCTCAGGGACAATCTGAAGAAAGCTAGCATTAAGTTGTTAGCGCTAATTAGTGAACAACAAGTGCTGAAGATAAATGCTTCACCTCTATCAGCCGACGCACTTTGGTATTGAAGTCTGTGGAATTGTCGATGACATCCATATAGGGGTGACCAATCCACGCCTGAAACGAACACGGCATTGTCAAAAATCAGAACATTCCAATGGCTAGGATATAGCCATGCTCTCTATAAAAAAAAGAAATTAAGATAAATCTACCTTTTCCTATCACCAACTTTTATTTTATAATTAAAAGACTAAGGAGTTACTGTACATAACACTGGACAAAGGAAGGAACGAAGCGCTGCTTTGCAAGTTGGATGAACATGTTATCGGCAGAGATTGTGGTTGACCAAAAAGGAAACATTGTGAAGTATTACACTGCAAAGCAATGACACTGAAAGCCTGTGCAACATTGTATGCAGGATGGCCTTCCATAGCCTTTCACTGTACCAGAAACAGCCAACATTTACGTTAATACGTAACCATCTAAAAGTCTGTAATGTCAAAATGGCATCATTCTTCTAGCTGTTTATTTCTCTTTCCTTCATTCCAAATACAAATAATTTTTTCTGTCACAACCAAACTTTTTATGAGAATCAAGAATATAGGGTACTGCCTAGCTAGAAGCAAGAATGCTTCAACTTGTTCGAAAGTCCACAAAGTCCAAAAGATCAAAAGTTAGAGCCAGCAGATAAATATTTGTGTGTATGTGCTTTCTTTCTCCAACAAGAACCGCACGCTCATCGTCGTTTGATCAAAAGTCAGCTGCAGTGGAGTAAGCTAATCATGGCTGCTCACAAACTCACCTGAGCTGCCAGCTTGTCTCGCTCCCGTGCCAGCTCGATGCCTTCTGTACGACAGCTGTTGTCTTCGGTGTTGTAAAACTCCTCTGCTCCATTGGCAGCTGAAACCTGGAAAGTTGATTGTAGTGCGGTTGCACATCGGTGCATATGAAAAAACAACAACCTCACTTTGCCAGAATTACTCGCAGCTGCTTCGACTCAATGCAATACCCCAAACATTATTTCTGGCCACGCGGCACGCGCTTGCAAATTCAAAATCAGCTGAAAATTGCTTTTCCTTATCTCGACAAACCATGCTACAAGCTCAAAAATCGCTCATCACAGCCATTGTATCAGCGATTGGCTGATTTGAGCATGGCGCATTGGTCGTTACTGGGGCTGCGACTTTTCCATGCCAGCGTATTCGATCGCACTGAAAAGCCACACATTCGAAAGAAAAAAAGAGAGAAAATGTGCTCAAGGTCATGAGGCATGCGTGAGGTATTTTCATACCCTATACCATCCCTCCTTTCTTAGCTTCTGGCGCTTTCCTCAGGACAAGAGAAGGGAGAATGCAATCGCAACATGCGGCAATACTTTCTAACTCTGCTTATACCAGACAGATTCTAAAAATCTTTACAGCGGTGAATTCGTGAAGCAGTGAATTCGTGAAGCGGTGAATTCGTGAATTCGGTGAATTCGTGAATTCGGTGCTGTCATCAAACTAAAAACAATGTCGATAACGTTATCCACAGAAGAAGCACTACCGCCGCGCACGCCGTCAGGACACCATGCCTTGAATGTGCTGGAAGAACAAGTCACCATTCCGCCTCGCTCAAGCGTCATTATTTCAGTCGGCGCTCCTAAATCACCTGACTTGGAAGGCGTCGTTGAGGGCAGTCAGCATCTGTTGGTCACCCGAAATATTTGCGTCGCAAGAGGAATTGCAGAGCTGCGGGGAGGCAAAGCAACGGTTATGCTCACGAATTTCAGCAATGAGTACAAACATGTGAACAAAGGAACAACGGTCGCATACATCGAAGAAATTGTCGAAGCTACCAGTGCTTTCGCCCTCGCCGATTCTGCGGAACTTGCTCAGAGGAACCAAGCCCCTCCCATAGCTTTCGACGTCAATTCCAGACTTTCGAATGATAAGCAAGAACAGCTCAAGGCCCTGCTCCTGCAATACGAAGATTGCTTTTCGTCGTCATCGAAAATTCAGCAGACCCCAACAACGAAACATCGCATCATAACCGAAGAAAATGTCAGACCACTCCGTCAGAGTCCGTACAGGGTTTCGACGCGAGAACGTGAGGCCATGAAAAAACAAGTTGATGAAATGCTGCGGGATGACATTATCCAGCCGTCCAAGAGCCCATGGGCATCCCAAGTGGTGTTAGTGAAGAAAAAGGACGGGACCCTGCGTTTCTGCGTCGATTATCGCCGCCTGAACAAAATCACAAAAAAGGACGTGTATCCTCTCCCACGAATAGACGGCGCACTTGATTGGCTCCATAACGCCAAGTACTTTTCGTCAATGGACCTCAAGACTGGCTATTGGCAAATCGAAGTCGATGAAAGAGACCGAGAGAAGACGGCGTTTATAACATCGGACGGCCTCTTCGAGTTTAAGGTGATGCCCTTCGGCCTTTGCTCAGCGCCTGCAACTTTTCAACGCGTTATGGATACAGCACTGGCAGGATTGAAGTGGCAGACTTGCCTTGTGTACTTGGACGACGTCGTCGTGTTTTCCTCGAGTTTCGACGAGCATCTTCGGCGCCTTGAAGCTGTACTTCAAGCCATCAAGACATCCGGACTCACACTGAAGCCAGAAAAGTGCAGATTTGCAGCATATCTGGAGTTCGTCCCGATCCACGGAAAACAGCCGCCATCGCCGATTTCCCGCCGCCCACTGACAAGAAGGCCGTGCGCCGATTTCTGGGCCTGTGCGCCTATTATAGGCGGTTCGTGAAAAACTTCGCCCGCATCGCCGATCCTCTCACTAACCTTACCAAGGCCGACGTGGAATTCAAGTGGGAAACGCCACAGGAACACGCTTTCCAGGAGCTTAAACATCGCCTCCAGACGCCTCCGTTACTTGCCCATTTCGACGAATTCGCCGAGACAGAAGTACATACTGACGCAAGCAGCGTAGGTCTTGGCGCCGTTCTTGTGCAGAGGGCTGACGGACTCGAAAGGGTTATTAGTTACGCCAGCCGATCGCTATCCAAAGCAGAAGCAAATTATTCCACAACAGAAAAGGAGTGCCTCGCCATCATCTGGGCTACGTCGAAATTTCGCCCCTAACTCTACGGCAGGCCCTTCAAAGTTGTGAGCGACCACCACGCCTTGTGTTGGCTAGCCACCTTGAAGGACCCTTCAGGTCGCCTCGCAAGATGGAGCCTGAGACTTCAAGAATATGACATTACTGTCATTTACAAGTCCGGCAAAAAACACTCCGACGCCGACTGTCTCTCTCGTGCGCCTGTCGACCAACCACTACCAGACGACCCGGATGACGACTACTTCTTGGAAACGATAACTACAGAAGACTTCGCTGAACGACAGCGGGCCGACCCGGAACTTAAGACCCTAATAGAATACCTCGAAGGCAGGACCGCCGAAGTCCCGAAGGTATTCAAGCGCGCACTTGCGTCGTTCTTCCTACGAAACGGTCTTCTACAAAAGAAAAACTTTTCACCGCTTCGAACTAAGTACCTCCTTGTGGTGCCTTCAGCTCTGCGACCAGAACTCCTGCAGGCCCTGCACGACGATCCGACGGCAGGGCACCTCGGTGTTTCTCGCACGCTCGCGAGGATACAAGAAAGGTACTACTGGCCACGTCTTACCACCGACGTCACTTGTTATGTGAGGACATGCCGGGACTGTCAGCGACGCAAGACACCGCCGACAAGGCCAGCGGGACTTCTGCAGCCAATTGATCCACCTTGCCGACCTTTCCAGCAGATTGGTATGGACCTACTAGGGCCGTTCCCGACGTCGGCTTTTGGAAACAAGTGGATCGTGGTAGCTACCGACTACCTCACCCGCTACGCCGAGACAAAAGCCCTGCCAAAAGGCAGTGCATCCGAGGTAGCTAAGTTCTTCGTCGAAAATATCGTCCTACGTCACGGCGCCCCGGAGGTCCTTATCACCGACAGAGGAACGGCATTCACTGCCGACTTAACTCAAGCGATCTTGGCATACAGCCAAACAAACCACCGCCGAACGACAGCGTACCACCCACAGACCAACGGCCTCACCGAGCGGCTTAACAAGACGATCGCCGACATGCTGTCAATGTACGTCGATGTCGAACACAAGACGTGGGACGCCATTCTTCCGTATGTGACCTTCGCATACAACACGGCGGTGCAGGAGACGACGCAGATATCTCCATACAAATTGGTCTACGGAAGGAGCCCGGCAACGACCCTCGATGCCATGTTACCCAACGTCACCGACGAAGAAAGCCTCGATGTGAGAGAGTACCTTCAACGTGCCGAAGAAGCCCGACAACTTGCGCGTCTCCGTATCAAGAATCAACAGACGACAGACAGCCACCGTTACAACCTTCGACGACGCTTCGTGGAATACCAGCCCGGTGAACGCGTTTGGGTGTGGACGCCGATACGCCGACGTGGACTAAGTGAAAAGCTTCTGCGACGCTACTTCGGACCGTACAGGGTGGTTCGACGTCTCGGCCCACTTGATTACGAGGTTGTCCCCGACGGCATCACGAACTCTCAAAGACGCCGATCGCGACCTGAAGTCGTGCATGTCGCGCCCCTCAAGCCGTTTCATGCGCGTTAACAAACTGAAACAGTGGTTTTTTTGTATTATTGTTTAATCGTAATTTATTCATTGTACTTTCTTGCATTTTTATTGTACCTTCATCTTTAGTTAAAGCATCGGGACGATGCCTTTTTTTTCAGAGGGGGGCAATGCCACGTTCCATTTCCCAAGTTTTCGTTATCGTCCCAAAACACCACACGATTCTCAGCGCAAACCGTGCCTGCAGTTTTCGAGAATGTTCCGGACTGTAGTAGATCATTTCGATAAGATCACGCCCACTGTGCGAACAGTGCAGATTGTTCTGGAACCTACGCCACCACCAGCGATAACGCTAGAACGTTCGACGGCAAGAGTATAAATGCCGACGCGCTTCGCCGCTTGTCAGTTGTTGTTGATCGAAGGCCGACGCTCCGTTCGCCGCTATCAGTCCGAGAGTGCTATCTGTCAAGACTGCTGCTGTAATTAGACTTTCCGTTTACTGGGCACAGGTTCGCCCAAATAAACAGTTAAATCCCAACACGAAGTTTCCTGTCTTCGGCCACGTCACGCCCCCGTGACAATATTAACCATACATCGATTAATCATCTTTTTTTAAAGTTTAAAAGCTTCTACCGCCAGCTTATATGCTCTATGTATAATAAATTTTAAATGTAACATATTTTACCGGTTATCACTTGCAATCTATGGAAAGCCAAATCCTGCTACTACTTAAAGCTGTTTAGACTTTCTTTAAACAAAGAAAAACGGCATTCATACAGAGGCCTTATTTTAATTAAAAATATATATATTGCGCAGGTTAGTTAGGTCATGATAAATATGACTAGTTTCTTATATATGTCATATAGACTATTCGAATTCGATTTCAAATTATTCGACCATAATTCCTATTCCCTTTGAATGCACTTCGAACCTAAAATTCACTATTCACACAAGCCTAATAATAACGCTATTATGGCAAATTGTATGTACTGTGTCAAAAGGACCCTGAAATGGTTTTGACAATTTTGTAAAAACACAACGGGCCGGAATGCCAAGTTTTAAGGGTCATTCACAGACCGATTTGAGCTATCGGCATGACCCGTGTAATTTATAACAATGCTTTAAAGCTGCAAATCACTGCAGATCGCTGTGACTCAGCCATGCGCATTTTGAACCGCCCATTCACAGAAAAACATGCTCTGGTAACGCAACATCACCAAGGCTCCTGATCTGACTGGTTGTGAAATGGGTGGAAGTAAGATCAGCTGGCAGGGTGGCGGCACCTGTCGAAGCAGACAACAACCACTCCGCGATGTTTGTCTCTGTTGCCAGACGATGTGCTTGCTGCCAGGCGCACTGGGTGATGACCTCCGGGATAGTGCGCAACCTGTCGGCATACAATATCGGAGGTCTAGACTGGGTGAAGTTCAAATCGCCGAGTGCGCTGAGGAGAACTCTGCAATCGCCAGGGATTCCAGCATGTTTCATGAGTTGAGGAGGCAAGACAGGGGTAAGGAGGAGGGTATGATATAATTGTCCATAGCGGCCTTCAAATACGGCATGTCACTAAATTTGTGGTGCGAATGGTTTGATGGCGTCCTAGCTTAAATGCTGACAAAACTTTGAAAAATCGTTCCAGGGTTCCTTGACTCGCTTACACACAAACTTACCAGGTGAACAATCTGGTTGTAGCGGTTATCTCTGAGGTCCACCGTATGCCAGTTGTGAGCTTTGACAATCTTTTCCCAAATCTCCTTGCTAACAACTGGGAAAAAGAAAAAAAAATTTGATATAACATTTAGGCCTCAGTAGCTAGCAAACAACTTTATCCTATGTTTAGGTAATATAGTCTATGTATTTGGCACATAAGTAAATATAAAATCATGTGTGTGTGTCCCTTGTTCCTTTGAAGTTTCAGCGTGACTAAGAAAAACGAACTTGCCCAGTATTCAGTACTTCAAAGTAAAAAATGTGGGTGTTTACAGGAACTAGAGCTATTAATTCTGTGCAACGGTCAAGAACCAAGCCATTCAACACCTCCCTTAAAGCACACAACTTCCAGAAGAAGGATGCAAATGTGCATAAACCTGACACAAGCAAACATTTGCCATTGTGTTCATGACCTAAAAAGCCCCTGTTTCATTAGCAAGAAAAGGACAAAAAAAAAGGTAATATGAAGGATAATACAAATTTTCTTAAAACTCAGCCTTGTGGAATTATACAGATGGATTTCAGCAAAATTAAACCGCTACAGTGTACTGGCACTACTTCTGGCACAGGTTCGTTATTACGGGAAAGCTGGATGTCCCAGAGCTTTGAAAAACAGAACAATTTGGGCCCAATAGGATGCTTTGCTTGTCGAGTTGGTTCGTAGTTGAAAAAAGGACCCTGGAAAAGGGCAAAATGGGAAACATGAAGCCAGGACTACATGCTCAGTGCGGGGTGCCTGTGCATACAACAGGTGAATCCAGTTCATAAGGCCTGCTACAGATTTTGATAAAGCAGCTCAAACTCACTTCCCATAAACACACTGACGTGTGACTGACACAATCTACGGCCTTTTTTTTTTTTTTTTTTATGGGCACAGATTGCATCAGCCAAATGCCAGTGTGTTTGCAGTGGGTTGAGTTCGAACTGTTTTACCATAATGCGCAGCAGACCTTCTGAGTGGATTCAACTGTAGACGTGCACACGGTCACGCCATGAAGTGTATAGGGACTGTATATTTTCCTCAATTTTTTATAACAAACCATTTGGTAGCGAGCGCTTGTCCCGTCTGCTCTTTTATTACAAGAATCCTAAACTCCTATAAAGTGGCCACTATTTGGTAAGAGTGCACAATTCACAATTTTAAGCGGTGTAACCCACAGCCTTTCACCACAGTGCACTGGCTGCGCTTATGACAAAAACACTGTTTGGAGCCTCCAAGCAATTTAAAATCCTGACCTAATCCTGATGTAACCTAAAGACTTATAGGATGCAGGCCTTAGGTAAAAACTTTTGGCAGAGAACATCTCACAATGAATGCTTGGTTAATGCAAATGGCAATGAAGCAATGTGGCGACACACATTATCACCATTAGAGATCACCTTGTATGAGGCATTCATGCTGCCGTGCTCCTCTCTCACTGCCTGGAAATGTTGTGCCGTCAAGCAGCACCACCATATGATAGGCACATATCAAATGAGCGTCCTAATATGCGCAACATGGCTTTCCATTCAGCATGAGAGAAATATGAAGGATTTTTTTTTTGTCGTTGAAGAACAGCACATATCCAGGGCAATATGCTTGATGACTGAAGTTGGTCCGAAGGCTAGTCTCGAACCTCATCCCCTCAGCCCAGCTGCCCGATTCCCTACCCAATAGACCGGGGGAAAAAAATATTTAAAAAATCAGAGACATAGAATGGCAAGGACAGATGCACAAGAAAGTGTCTAAAGTATACTCAGAACGATAATCCATGAAAAAAAGATTCCATCCCAGCCGTTTCTTTCCTTTCTTTTTTTTTTTTTGCTGCACATAAAACATAGCACAGCAATATGTTAATCACTAGTACATGCCACAGAGATTTACAAAATAAAAAAAAATGAAAGAAAAAAAAAATGAGGGGGGAGGGTTACAATAAGATGTTCAGCAATGTGAGGACAGTACTGACATGCAGAGGCATCCATGGTCCCACGGTCGCAGATAATGAGGCAGTTCTTGTCACTGGTCCTGGCCAACTCAAAGTATGTGTCCTCCATCGACATCATGGTCTTGAGGAGATTCTCCTGGAACCTTTCGACTGTCAAAAGGAGCAAAGAACAGTGCGGCTTTGCGGCAACGATAACACCTGTGAAGCACACTTCAGCTACATACTACTCCTATACACAACGGAACTACAATAATGCAGACACCTTTACTCTTATCAAGGTAGAGCAATGAAACATCCTGTGAAGGTAGTGGCTCTTAAATGTAAAATCTCAAGCAAGTAGGTACATAAAATGAAGAACGACAGTAGCTTACCTTCAGCAGGTGTCAGATCAGGAAATCGCACGCCGCCACTAAAAAGGAAAAGCGAAGAAATATGTTCACGCAAGTCCTAAATAAGCAAAATAAAAAATAAAAATAATAAAAACATCAAATTGAAAGAATATTTAAAAGGTGCCAAAATATATACATGTACATGAGTTAAAAAATGACTGCAGCCTTCTACTATGTAGGCAGACAAGTGACTGGAACTTTAGCTGCTAGGTTCGTTAATTAAAGCAGCATGTAGCAAGGAATATCCCAACAAAGCAGGCATAAAATTTGAGCTCATTGAAGTATGAAACACCTCATTGAGCTCATTAAAGTAAGAGCCCCAACAGCTGTCAGAGCTTGAATCATAAATGGCGGCCAGTAGACAACTACATAATCATGCTATCATAAAGTATAGAAAAGAACATTCCATGAGGACTTTGGTTTTACCTGAGCAACACAGTGGCGGCCTCAGGCACACGATACACCTGTTAATAGAAAAAAGAAACAATATAAGCAACCACACAGCTGCACTTCAACGGCACACGGAATGTTCATGAATGTAAGTTACGGCGCTCACGAGAGATATACTGTGATTTTTGCACAGCAGCTATGGGTTTGCATTATCACAATGCTACAGATCATCATCATCATCATGATATCCATGATCGCCTGCCTTCCTAGGCATACTGAAAGGGAAGGGCCCCTCCTATGTTTGTCTAATTTAATTAGCCCTTTCCAAACAGCAAATTAACTATCCTTTAAGCGATACCATAATACTGATTCAGCTAACAGAGTTTCCTGATTACACAGAGATCCAAACTAAATTTTACAGATTGTTCGATTCAATAGGTTGCCGTTCTCCAATCTTTTCATTTTCCGACACTTTCACCCGAGATGAAGCCTTTTCTTAGCCATAAAGCTACTTTTACCATGAAGCAACTCGTGGATCTTGATAGCAATACAGTATCTTGTTTTAATGAATACATACCAGTAGACTAGTAATTAGGGTTAGTCTGCATGGTTCTACATTGCAGACTAACTAACCCACCAACTAGCCCAACTTTCAGTCTTGCTCTACATTGCCCTTAAAATCTCTGTATTGTGTACATATATATTAAACATTGAGGAACACTTACAGGAACATAGATACCTGAAGGGGAACTTACGATTTAATAAAAAAAAAGGGGGCTACTACCCGACTTTATCATATGCTTATTTTCAATTTCTCCAACACGTAACATTCCAGATTTCTGTTCAAGTAGGTTAGACTGTTCACATCGGGTGAAATGATAGTCATACATGACCAGAGAGAAAAGAATAATGAAGGAAAATTTGGCAAAACAGCACACCTTCCAGCCATAATTCTCGAAAAATGTTGACAGTCTTGCTTGGCCCGTCGTCTTCCCACTACAGGGCCCTGGAGAGAAGGAACGGTTTCTAGGCATATCAAGTCATTAACGTGCACACATATCTACCATTCATGCCGAAGCACGCACGCAAAGAAGTACACCGCCATTGTACAACACTGGAAGAGCAACACAGCAGTAGCCAATACACGTGCATTATTTAGGTCTTTTTTGTGTGTGTGTGCACTAATTGAAATTTGTTTAAAAACCAGAGATGCCAAGGCTTTACAGCAGTTATGGATATTGAGCGCATTCAAGTTCAAGGAGACAGTTGCCGACATTTTTAAATGCCAAGGTTCGTAGTCGTGGGATAATCAGGGTGAACAGTGCAAGTGCCTCAGACAGGCTGGCCGACGTTTCGATAGGAGGACCTATCTTTGTCAAAGCACCTTGTCATCCTTGGTGTGTTAGTTTCAAGGGGGTTAGTAGTGACATCATCTGCCAGTGGTGGCGCGTGTCCCCCTTAAAACTAACACGCCAAGGATAACAAGGCGCCTTTTGACAAAAACAGGTCCTCCTATCGAAATGTCGGCCAGCCTCTCTGAGGCACTTCCACTGTTCACCCTGATTATCCCCCTACGTGTTTCGTCGGCTCCCATCTTGATATATAGGATCGTAGTCGATACACAGACCAGCATCGCCCTGTTTATCTAATCACGTTTCGCACACAGGTGTAAAGCAATTTTCACAATCTCTGAGTCACAAAGACAGTTAAAACAAATTGCATGAATTGAGCAGCTGCAAACAGGGCATATATACGAAAATGTAAAATTCCGTTAACTTTTTTTTTTACCATGAACTAAAGGCTGAGAAGAAGGAAACTTCTTGGCAACTTCTGCACAAGTCTCACCAACCTCTCCAGAATTGATTGATTGATTGATATGTGGGGTTTAACGTCCCAAAACCACCATATGATTATGAGAGACGCCGTAATGGAGGGCTCCGAAAATTTCGACCACCTGGGGTTCTTCAACGTGCAACCTCTCCAGAAGAGCAGTGACATATCACAAAATGGACAACACAATTACAAAAGAACTTATAAAAGCTGATCTAAGTGTTTTTTTATTGATATGATATATAAGGAGATGTTGGTGCACAATTATGGTGCTGGCTACTCCTTAGCCCTTGAATGAAACTTGAACACTTATCTTAAAGTAAAACATCAGTGCATGGAAAATAGAACATTCGGGCACAGATATGCAAAGACACACTTATACGCACCTATCACAACAAAATGATAAGAAATGTGATAAAGAAATGTTCGAAAGTCAACGAATGAAGTCTCTGATAATGTCCCTCGTTAATATTCGGTCCAACCAGCACAAAACAGCAGAGCACACGTCTGGTCCTTATGAAGATGTATTCGCTCGTGTGTACATAATAGTCGACACATCATTCACTTCAGTACGCACATATGATGGGTGTTACATGATACTGCACGTAATAAGTACATGTTTATATAAATGAAAGTTCGTTAATTCTTAGTACTTGTCACCAATTACGCTGTCTTGTAATTGAAGCTAACTTTACAAAACCTTGCAGAGGGACAGAGATGTGTGAATGCTAAACTATAAGGGTGTTGAACCATTTAAAAAACATGTACACCATGTAAAAACTCATTTATGCTAGATCCCGGCAGGACAAAAGAGTTGCATTTACGTATTTCACATGGAGTGTGGCAAGGCAATCACTTTGCCACACAAAATATGTCTCACCGGCGTGCAAAGAACTTTGCTTTGTTTAGATAGAGCCACATAATAATAATAATAATAATAATAATAATAATAATAATAATAATAATAATAATAATAATAAAAAACTGGCAACTGTGAAGGAGATCAGAGAGATAGCTAGGTCAGAACTAGATTTACAATGTTATTATGAACAAAAATAATAACGAAAATACTGCATTGAAGATTTCTACCACATGACTTCAAAGTAAACACTGAAAGCATGCTGCCCCGTGATGAGCAAGTTAACCTTCCAAACATTCTACCGAACATTTTTTGGGCATAGCATCTTAGGAACAATTATAATGTGAACATATGAAACAGTAAAGGTAACGAGAAGAAGAAAAAAAGAGAAAGGTGCGAGAATAGCCAGCTTTCTAAAATCAAATTACAGATAAGGCTATTGTAAGTAAGCCTCTATAAGCACCTTCTAAGTAGGTAGACTCAAACGGCCTATCAGCGGTATGCTTAGCGTGATGGTGCATTCATACTACGCACAAGCAATATACGCCTTGTGTGCTACTGATAACATTCTCTATCAACAAACACTTGCACAGTTCAAAAGTGAAATAAATATTGCAGTCACATTTTATGAAAACTGTAGCCTTCCAAGCTTAAAATGCTGCTTGTTGGCGAGCACAAAGATATGCACATATGCTCCGCTACTGAAGGGCCATTGCACTAATGGCATTGTTAATATGCTGCTTAACTATAAGGGTGCCCAGGGTCTATAACAAAACAAATTCCTAAAACTTTCACGCATGCTATATAATTCATAATGAACTACTAACATGACGCACAAGATACAAAAACAGTGAACGAAACATGCTGTGCCCCGCCCAGTCTTTCTTTCACATACTGCACTGCACACTATTCTACCTGGGTGTGCTCTCGAAAAAACCTACAAAAAGCCTGTCCCGAGTGGCACTAAGCACAAATTTTAGGCAAAACAAAAAGCCTATTTGGCATGAAAAACCTTTGCAGGCAGAGCCACTCCTATAAGGAACGTCAAGGTGGCTCCAACATCCCCTAGAATTATCACTGGAGTGTATTTCACAGCATAGCTAGTGTATGCCATTGTGTGTTGATAGATATATACTTAGTATAATACGTGTCTGCGAGTGCAAAAGTGATGCAAAACATGCAAAAGTGAACAGGAATCTTAAAAATGGCTATTGCTGTACAGACAGGTAAGCTTTGGCGGTTTGGGCCTTATTCTGACAAGATCACTTTCAGCGACAGTTTCGCTTTGTGCAACATGAAATCGTGCGTGTCCAATGACTGAAGCAACTTCTTCCCCGCATTTTCTAAACTAGCCAATTAGTGTGCAACGAAAGAGATGTTTTGGCAATGTCTCCAATTCAGATAGTGGACCAACGACTGTTAGCAGGGTAATGAACGCTTCAAGTTCGAGGTCCGAGATTGTGTTTTAGTTTTACCAAGGTGAATCTTTCATGTCATTAATTCACACACGCTATTTAAGCCAGGGTTATGGTACTGAATTTTTACTACCAGCAACAGTAGCATTTACACATCAACAAAACAACTTGATGCGTCTGCTGTTCTCACTGGAACGTTTCCAAACACGAGTTTCACGTGCACGTAAAATAAACGGCAATCATCTCAATGAACAGCAGGTTATCCAACTTTGTAAAAGTGCCATCTTTATTGTGGCTATTCATTTCATTTGCCCATAATTGCAAGCATACCTACAGGTACGCTTTATTTGCATTGTGCCGTGTAGATGGCTAGGTCCTCCCCAACCTTGACGGATTAAGGGCTTTCGAGATAAGATGCTCAGACAGTTATGCGAGATAAGAACCGCGAGAAGGCCACCGTTCGCGACCATTACGCGAGATAAGACGTTTAACAAGGGCCCATACGGCCTGGGCCACAGTGAAAGCTTGCTGCTTTGGTATGACAGCTCGTACAAGAGCGCGACTACACAGCTCACGCCTGACCGGCGCAGTATTTCTTTCTCTGCACGTTGATTTCATAGTAAAGCCTACCAGTAATGGTGAAATCTTACAGTGTCGTTGGAGAGCAAACTGCAGCAACTGACTCGCCAGTACGAACATAAGACTAGTTGCTACGAATAATAATAATAATAATACCAACACAGGTGTGCACTGTAAGCTAATACGTCGAACACAAACCGCCGGATATCACCCGAGCGGTCGCCTTCCTGTTTCGGCGAAGGCGGCGTCTGGTCTTATTACCACACATCGCAGCATTGCATGCGCAGTATTCCTGTTTCATGCGGCGCCGGTAGGGTGCCGGCGCGTCGCGTACACGCGTGCGCCGCATGTGTCGGTCGCACTTGCAAAACGGCGCACCGCTAATGAAACGAGGCGACAGCTGCAGCATGGCTCGTTCCCTTCTGGCGGAATCGCAACAGCGGCGAATGGTGTAATGAATCACCGCGCGAAACTCATCGCAGATATCGAACACCGAACGGCGCACAGAATAATCTAAGGAGCCCCTTCTCGCACAACCAACGCGCTAGTCGACGCGCGCGCGCGCGCCGCAGCATTCGTTTCAATGGAGCGCGTGTCCAGAAGGTAGGGCAACCGGCAACTTGAAAAATACTGGCGCTGTTGTTCTCGCTAAGGAAGCGATTCACCGTGCGAGGTACGGGTGAAGCCACGGGCGAATGTGACCTGGGCTGCCGCGATCAGTGCTTCCAGCGAAGTACAACAGCATCAATGACCTACACGCGCCGCACGTGATCTTGAACCCTTACTTGCCGGCGTGCGCCAGACCAGATTCGATCAATACGCTGTATGTACGACTCACCGCCGGTCAAGACCAGCTTGTAGACGATTCTCTCCCGCTTCTCCGAGTCGAGTGCCATGTCTCTGGCTCGGCGAAGTGGACGGAGTCGGTGGAAGTGTCCCGGTGCCGTCGCTGGTGCCCTAGTCCCACGGCCGCCTCACCATTCAACAGATTCAGCATCCGCTGGGGCGCACGGGCAACGGATCGCCGCAAACGCGGGCAAACGCGAGCTGGCAAGGAGGAAGGCGGGTGAGTGAATGCGCAAAGCCTTCGCAGACAGCGCAACACGAGAAAGGAAGGCGTGACGTCAAGTTGTGACGTCGGCATGCAACATGGAGGCCTCTACTTCCAGTTTCGGAACGGGCGCCGCGCTGCTTGTGCGTGGCCTAATTCGATTTGTGCTGCGGCCTGATAAAATGAGGCTGCGTTTTCTGCCTATCCGTCCCGTGCCTGCTACGGAAATATTGGGCTGCAATGTATTGTGGAGTCGTTAAGGATAATTCTCTGACCACAGTACAAACGAGTACATGTGCAATGCGGCCCGAACAGCATGTTTTCTCACAAATTTTTGCAGTACACAGAGATTAGTTCTTGTCCACCTAATAATTGTGGCCCATACCCACTGTGGGAGATTGCTAAATAATTGAGTGGTTATATGAACCAGCATGGATATTTAAAATAATGTAAGTTCTATAATAAAAAGATTACAGGCCACATATGAAATTATGGTGCTTGGTCTAATGTATATATCTATTTAAAGAACGTCTAACCTTATTTTTATGCGTACATAATGATGTGGACACGTTAGGATAATAATTCTGATTAGTTACCAACCAATTAGTTTATTATTATAGTCCCTGACAGCCACACAGACCTTTACATTGGAGAACCCAGAAACAGAGCTAAGTTCCGAAAGACAAAATGACAGCCACAGATAAAATCATTACAATACCGCATAAAGGTATTTCTAAAGTGGTTTTCCGTACTGTAGTAAGCTGCCTACAGTTCAAAAAGAAACCATCTATTGTTTCAAGTTCACCAAAGAACACCATGAAAGTATTCTTGCACCGTGCCACAGAATGAGCACAGTGGCAAAAGTGACTGATTAGACCTGTATTTGTGATTATGATATGTGATGTTTAACATTCCAAAACCACCATATGACAATGAGAGACATCGTAGTGGAGGGCTCCGAAAATTTAGACCACCTGGGGTTCTTTAACATTCTCCCAAATCTGAGCACATTAGCCTATAGCATTAAACTGTGTTTGTAGAAATTCAGATTCGGCATCTGGCAGCGCAGCTTTGCGATAGCTACTCCTAGTTCACGGGTTTGACAAAAACTTCTTCATCAGGGATATATCAGGTTGTTCTTTCTTTTCTTCTTTTTTTGTGAGTGGCTCATGCCCATTACGGTATGAAAAATGGGCCATATTGAGGTATGCTACAAACATAGCGCGTAGGCAGGATAACCGCTGGTCATTAAGGGTAACTGACTAGAATCCCAAAGAAGGCAAACACACCAGGGAGAGACAGAAAGTTTGGTGGGCCGATGAGATTAACAAGTTCGTAGGTATAACATGGCAGTAGGAAGCACAAAACTGGGTTGACTGGCGGATCATGGGAGAGCCCTTTGCCCTGCAGTGGGTGTAGTCAGGCTGATGACAAATGATAATCTGTGTGTTGTCGCTGACCGCCTTCTTCGCAGCCAGTCAGAAAACGGGCAAGATAAGCTTCCCTAAAGCAAACAGTTGATTTTGATGCTACTTATTTGGCTTGATTCTCTTAGCCCTAACCTAATCTCCATTGGCTAAGAAAAACAGACAGCAAGAATATAAGACAATTCTCAAATGCTGCAGCAGTGATATGCCACTGCACCCCATTCTTGAGTTAACCGCAAAGGACATTTTTAAAACAGAAAGATAGCAGAATGAGAGTAGATAAAGAAGCAAAAAGCTTGAAGTATTAATTACATTGAGCTTGAAAACTACGACTAACAATGTGTGTCTTTTTCAAATAAAATGAAGTTGTAAACGGTTATTGTTCTGCGGTTCAACATGTAAATAGCATGATTATATAAACCGAATTAATTTTGCCCAGTTGGTGTTCATGAGCAGCTAAATGCAAGTACACGGTTGTTATTGCATTTCACCCATCAAAATGCACTTGCTGTGGCCAAACTTTAATCCATGTCTTCGATCCTCACCTGTGCCAATGCACTGGCGAAATAGTTGCTAGCAGCTTGCTATATTTTTGCCAATTTCCCATGCATAATGTTACGAGTTCATTATGCCAAAAGATGGCGAGAAAACAAGTGAATTAAAAAAAATGGTATGGTATCAGCCGTGTGGTAATCTAGATAAATGGATTCAAGATTTTCAATATTGCATCATTTGATAGATGAGCTGTGCAACGAATAATGTAAGTGTACATTGACCAGAGTTCACTTATAAAATAGTTATGTGGGGCTCAATCTTCAAAAGATTTCCAATTGACTAAGATTATAGGTGGCTATTGCAAGAAAACAATTTCATGCCCCTGTTTGTACTACTGCACAATGAAACGATAGTACGCAAGGTTGTGTTGAAGCAATCAAAACCACATTCGATGCAATCATGACCATACAGCAGCAGCTTCGATCCGGTCTTGCAGCAAGGAGGCCTAAAGACAACGCAAGAGTTTCATTTCTTAAATTTCGGCACTTAGTGAAAACAGATTTAAAAACAAAAAAAAGATGAAAATTGCAGATGCTTCAAGATCTTGATGTCGTAAGTGAAAGGAGGATCACACAGTTCTGGAACTGCTATCTGGAATGACATTTCCTCGCTCAAGCATGCAAATTCCTTAAAGAAGGGTTTGAAGAGCACAGCGTGTGCACACTGCATGCAGGAGATGTTACATCCTAGTAAAGAAATGAAAGATCTTTGAGCAGGGGATATGTCACTGGAGCCAAAACTTGAACATGTGGACTTGCCTTCAAGGCAGGCTCTTTGAGTCAGTCTTTGGCTAGACAAAGACAAGAAACCCTCGTTCAAATGTTAGCACCTACGGAAACACCGTTTAAAGATTTTTACTTGCTTCAAACCTCAATTTTCTCTTAAAAGACAATTAGAGAAGCAATAGCAGTGCCTAAATAAGTTCCCGAAGCAAGAATTTTGTCCTTCCAGAATATTTGCATATTCCGCAGGTGACAGATGATTAAGTGAGCAAATCTGCAAATCTCACAACGTGGAGTACTCTTGTAAACGTAGAAATAAAAACAAAACACACACGTAGCAATGACACGACATTAAACAAAGGTGCCACCTACAATAAATTGCACAAGAAGCCTAGATGAAAGTAGTTTCTTTGATGCATGCCTAGGGAGTCATTATTTATTGCTATCGGTGTGCACGAACACATTCAGTAGCGTATGCCAACTGCATTTAGTGCACATTTACTTGGTGAACTTAACCCGAAACCTGCCTGGCAATGTCAAGGAAATACCACAGAAAGAAAGACAGACTTTATGTGGAACATGCGTACTATCTCTGCTCTGCACTGAGTGAACCAATTAGTCAAGCACCTGTACCCGCTCTTTTTGCTTGACTAGTTCAGGCTGATCTAAACTTCCTTTGCAGTATGAGCATTTACATTACAGCACAGGGTGAACAGTCAAGTACAGAAGAGGACAGATGATAGTGCTGCTGAATACGTGCATGAAATTAAACTGAATGCTTGGGAAAGCTGAGAATTAATTTCACGATCTAGGTATACTACGTGCAAGTAGTATACCGTAGCGTGGGCACGACGTACCTAGTGAAAGTAGCTATAGCGGTCTCGTGATTATACCAAGTTTTTTTTTAATTATATTGAGACAGTTAATCGGAAGTTTTAAAACCTTGATTGTACAACGAAAAAAAAAAAGAAAACAGGCCAAAAATCCAGAGAGGCCGGTAAGTATTGAATAAAGATACGAAAAAAATAAACATGGGTTTCTTGCCATACAGGTTCACTGAGGCTGGGAAGCTAGAATAAACTGTGATGGATGAAAAATCATTGGTCATTTGACAAGGCAGACAAATATTGACAAGGCAGACAAGTGATCCATAAATGGTCTCTTTGTAACTTCTAATGCCAAATTTCCCTTTGGCAACATGGAATCCATACCTTCACGACCCTCAGGGCATCACAAAAAAGTACCCACAATGTCAAACAAATACAGTTTACAGTTTTATTGTCTGGCAAAAGTGACACTTTTTTTTTCTTTTCACACCCTACAGTTGATCGGTACAGACTGCACACAACAGTGAGTGTCAGCACACATAAAGATGTACAACACAACATATTTGTACTATTCATTCACACACGCACGCACAGTTTCCACAATCTCACTGAAACCTTAACTAAGGACTTGCGCTAACTCAATGTAGAAAAAGAAAAAAAAGAAAAAGAAGACTGCACTGATTATAAAACCTCGGTCAAAAGATCTACAGATATGCTTGAACTATACTTCATGTAATGTCTTAAGCAAAAGTACCACGATCAGAAGAAACAATCCTTACATCAGAAATGTCCATGGAGAAACAAGATGAACACGAGGAACTGAAAATAAATGTTTGCGAACGGTAGTAAGCTGTGACAGTGGGCACATTCAGAAGTACGTTAGCTGCACCTGTGCTGTAAGAGGTGGGTTTTGCCAGCTATTCGTACATGCAACTACGTACACGCGAAGCTACGTCAATCACACATGCTATCACTTTTATCTTAAGAAGGCGTCCTTTACTTTACGAGCTAGTTTTCTGCCTCGCAATATTCAAGGTGCACAGCTCTGGGCAGACAGCGCAGCAATAAGAGGAGAGCTTTGGCATTTAACTATACTGTGGAGCCCTATTCTCACAACCCACATGCTAGTGTCAAGGTTATCTAATCTTATCTTTCTTCTGCAATTGCAAAGATAACTTGGTGGGAAGGGAAAGTGGCGAGTACCAGACAATCTTTACAAGCCGCTCAGAAGTCAGGACATATAAAGCACGATTCACACACTGAAACTGGGTCTCACAATTGCATTTACATAATGTCCACTGCTTTGCCATACATGGCATCATGATATATGATAAAGAAATATACCTAAAAAATAGCACATTTAGATAAAACGATGTGATATGCTATAAGTAGCACAAAAAAAAAAAGCCCTGCATATACAAATTGTAAAGTTGCAGCAACATCCACAGCACTTTATATCAGTGTTAAAAACATATAATTAGAAAAAATATCGGAAGTTGTACATACCACAATTTGGAAAGTGCAGCTAACATTTGAAGGGACACTAAAGTCAAATAACAATTTACATCAGTGTGAAAGCTCAATGTATGACAACGTCTAAAACGACAATACTATCAACAGCAGTGCCCTACTTACCGAGAAATTATGGTAAATGCACAAGAATACATGCACCGCAGTAGGACATTCTCAAAATGCTCCCAATTACGCTAGGCGAACTGTCTACAATTAAACACTAGTAATTGAACTAGCTGCACTAAATAAAGAACCTTCCGTGCATCAAGAGATGCAATGAAATGCTGCTTGTTCGTTTCTGTTTGATTAATAGAAAAAAGAACCACCGGACGTTACTATGGGGAATGGTGCGAGTGGTTCATAAGTTCAATTTTCGCATGATTAAACTCGACAGGTCATGCCATCTAGCGGGGCCCAGTTGAAACAATAACGCCTGCGATCTCTGAGCGAATTGCAGGAAATTGTCGGAACTGCCGTTGTTGCTGCTGTGGCTCCTGCTGCTTTCGTTCTGCTTCTACTAGTGTCGGCGGCCGTGCAATAAAGCCGGGCAACAGTGACCCGAGACGTTCCGTTCGGGCGGGTAATTTGAAGTGCGCTAACCGGATGCTGACCACGAAAACGTGATTTTTATTTCAAAATAAGCACTTCCTTGGCACAAAACTAACACTACAAGGTTTCTGAACCGCCATTTAAATAATCATCATCAACTTAATAGTTACCTTTAGTGTCCCTTTCAAGACTCTCCAACAGTGCCACTTGAAAAGAAACATTGCTGAAGAGAGGCAACACTGGGAAACCTCTGTTTTTGAAGCTACTAGTGCACAGAAAAATAAATATTGTTCACTGTTTGCTTTGATATTCACTTATTACATTTCCATACCTGTATAAGTTGGAGGGAGAATGCGCTGCAAGTGCCAGAAGGCTTCAAGCAGTGTAGAAGAGTTTGATTGCTCTACACAGAGATTGAGAGATGTTTGATTACATTAAAACTTTTGATCGACATTTTGCTTGAGTTATAAAACACTCTCTAATGTTCACTGTACAAAAGCTAGAGCTGAAGAAGGAGTGCTGACTAGGCTTTGAACTGAACCACACCAACAAAGAGAAAGCTTTTTTTTGCTTATCAATATTGCCCATTAATACTAATCCTGAAGTAAAAAAAAATTCCCGACTGAGGTGCCCCACCTTTGCACACTAATGAATACTTTAACTAACAAATGCAATCCAACCCAGAGATGTTGATACAAAAAAAGGAAGGCACCATTGACAAGATAAAAAAATGAACACAAAGGGCATGTTCAGATCAACAAGTTGCCACCTGGATGACAGTATTCAAACAGTGTAGCTTGACAAAAGCATGGCTTGCATTGCGAAGAACACAGTGGTCTTGCATTAATAAATTAAAAGTTACCAAGCACGACTTTGGTCTAACATTAAAATTACAACGTTTGCCCAATTTCTTTTTGTGCTAAGCAGTTCCTGCAGTCCACAAAAATGCTGTCTGCCATTACTTAAATGGAGCACCTATTTATCAATGACAAGCTCTGTCGATTCAACCTAAAGCAATAGATGGCCACTGCATTCGATGTAACAGATTCAGTAGATTCAACGAGTGTTCTGAAGCAAGCACACAGTGTCGCAAAGCTCATCCTCAAAACGGCTCCTGCTTCATGGCCCACAGAGTCGCAGAATGCGTAATAGAAAGAACATCAAATTATAGCTGCCTTGTTCGGCACCTTCAACAGACACGAGTGCCATCACAGGCTGCGAATTGTAAGCACAGGCCACGCGAGTCTTTGCAAGTTGTCAGTGTGAACATGCCCCATTAATTGTCTACAAACTCAAACACTGATGAAAAAATCCAATATTTAGAGCGCCGAATGCTACAACAAAGCATGGAAAAATGTCATGAATGGCTGCATAATAAATTGAGCAGCGTGAGTGGCACACGTCCTGCCTGCCGGATGAGCCAACAAGGGCAATCCGTGTTACATCTGCACATCATCACTTCCACCGGATACAATGTGTGCGTCGCAGGCACGGCGATCGTATGGGAGTGCAAGGCGGATTTCCAGGACAGCAGCTGAAGCTTTGACAACTGAAGCAGAGTGGGGCTGTACAGACTCTTTACATTGATGGCATACTTTACTCTTTACAAAGATTGGCAGGCCAGCAAGCAGTTCCTTTCCTGCATTGACACAAATACGCACGCAAACATGAAGCACATTCGGTAAAGCTTTAAGCTAGAAACAAAACATCTGCAGGAACAGAGCAGTGACACCACAATAGATAGGCCGCGGCTTTGGAAGTTTGAACTAATCGGTACTTGTAAAATTTCCGCTGTATTCTGGCACATCCCCTACAAGAAATTTACGCACATCCCCTACAAGAAAACGTAATGTTTCGGAGAAAATTTTTTGAAATGCCGTCTATTGTTGCAAAGCTGGCTTCTTTTCACAGCTGTGAAGCCCTGCCGTGATGCCATTTTTGCAGACCGAATTTGCATTTTACTTTCAATTTCAGCTATAAATTATAAGCAAGAAAATAGGGCATTAGCCATTTTCTGTAGACCGACATAAAAAGCCAAAGTTTAGCACACTACCTCAGAATAGAAGCCCACAAGGAACCAGTAATTAGGCTGCTATGAATGCACAAAATGCAACCAAACAGCTTTGGAGTTAGGCACGCTTTATACAAAATACAGCGGGCCATCACAAAGCTCACACACAAAGGCTTTGCATCGACAAACATGGCAGCGCCGATTGAAGCCAAAAGCCACTAATTTAAGACTCAATTTAACTAGATCTTTGAAGCCACAAAATTTCATAAGCCATAAGGGAGAATTTGGGATATCAATTAAGTTTTGTGTATGTAAGTGACAAAGTGTGATTGATAAAACTGCCTCCAAGTTTGGCTGTTTATTTGAGAGCTCATAGGATTAAAGCAAAAACTGCTTGAGTGGATGATGAATGGTGACCCATTGACAGGCAAAGCCAGACTGATGGCTAAATACGGCCCGACAGACACCACTCAAACAAGATGCCTCTTTGATGCTCAATGACTGTTTTTGAAATGACAGTGCACAAATGACAGGAATTCAAGAAAGTGAAAAAAGCCTTTCACACGAAATAAATGCTTAAATAAATGACAAAGTGAATTTCATTTTAACAAAACAGCATGTTACTAAACAAAGGACGTGAAGAGGAGGGCACAGGACAAGCACCCAGCACTTATTTTTTCCCGATTTATTTAGTAACACGTTGTTTCATCAAAATGAAACTTCGCCAACTCGTCCAACTTTATCTTTAAAGGGGACACTCAAGGCAAACAACAATTTACGTCAGAGTGAAAGATCAATGTTTGAGATTGTTTAAGGGGGGGGCGCGGCAAGTAAAGTGCCGATTTTGGTCAAAATATGCGATTTTCTGATTTATTTTTTTTCGTAATCTTCAGACCTTCAACTTCCTTGTTCTAAAATATTACAGCGAAACGTGCGCTACAAATCCCGCAAATAGTGTTTTTGCCGAGGCTAGCCGCCGAAAAGTGCGAAAAAAAAGCCCCTGAAACGGTGTTGTTCACGCCGCACAAACGCGCCAAGTTGTTGACCGTGGGCCGCCATTTTGGTAGCTTTGGAAAGAGGAGAAAGCCGGCTTCCCGATGGTCGCGGTCTCGTATTTCGCCGAGTGAAAATAAAAGCGCGAGGAGCAAGTAAAAAAACGAAAACGAAGAACGGCAATTGGCTGCGCGGGTCACGTGGTAGCAGGCGCGACCTCTTACTGGTCAAAGCTGCGCCGCGCACCTTGGCAACCTTGGAAGCGCGAGCGCATCTGCGGCCGCCGTGTCGAGAATCATCCGGCGTGCGCTTCGTTTTTTGCCAGTTTGCTGTTTTTGTGATAGTTCGCGTGCTTTTTTTACCAAGCTTTGTTTACATCGGTGGTCTCTTCTGAGTGCTTGCTCATACTGCGGTGCTATGTTGCCGCAAAAAAAAGTTCCGGAGCGTCCACAAGTACGGCAAGCGTCGAAAAGCTTGGAACAAAGGGCAGACGACTGCGGCTGCCGTCCCAGTCGCAGTTCCGGACGGAGCATGCTCTTCAAGCGTCACGGAGCCTCTACTCAGACCCTTCGCTGATTGTTGTGAGGCCGAGAGTGTGGAAGGTGCCACATCGTCGTATGTCAGACCGCCGGATGCCGTCGACCGTGATGGACGCTCTCGCGAACCCGATTGCGGTGGCACCGCGTCGGCAGCCGTTGCAACTCCGGGCGTGCGCGCGTCGAACATTCTATCGCGAGTTTCGGCCCAGATTCCGAGCAGTGAAGAAATCGCACAGCGGGCGCAGACAAGGCGGGATGTTTTGGATGCCGTAGCATCGAAGTCCGCTTCAAAGCGGAAGCTCGAGCTTCTGAACGAAGGCTGCGACGAAAATGACGGCGGTAAGGACTCCACATTCTTCATTGTAAATAAGAAGATGCTGAACGGTCTGCTTTCGTCAGTAAAGTGCAACAAGTGCGACGAAGGGTCGATACGCCTCGAGACTACGCACTGCCTTGGACTCGCGGCGAGGATGGAACTTTTTTGTGACAATTGTGGCAGAGTGAACAGTGCGTGGTCGTCCCCGAGGTGCTCCGGGCAACGAAAAACGAACCCCTTTGAGGTAAACGTGCGTGTTTTGAGGGCTGTGCAGTCAGTTGGCAGAAAACAATCTGCCATAAATGACATTTTTTCTGCGATGGACATTTCGCATCGAGCACTGCACCACAAGTCCTACCAGAGACTGCAAAGGAAGTACAGCCACCCTGCCACCACATCAGCTGCCACCCGCATTGAAGCAGAAAGTGCACAGAAGGTGCATGACATTTACAAGGACCTAGGAGGAGTGCCAGGCAACATTGACGTCATTTACGACGGCACGTGGATGACGAGGGGGCACAGAAGTCATTTTGGCGTGGGCTGTGTAATCGAGCTGTACACAGGCTTGGTCTTGGACCACTGTGTCCTGTCCAACTACTGCCAAGGCTGTGCTGTTGGCCCCAAGCCTGGTGACGACAACTATGAGGAGTGGCTTGAGAAACACAAGCCACAGTGCCAAAAGAACACCGATGCTAATGCAGGCCAAATGGAAGTAGAAGCAGCTAGGATCATGTTTGAAAGATCGTTTACCAAGTACAAGCTTCGATACATCAATGTGCTCTGCGACGGTGACAGCCGTACGTACCTTGCCCTCACGCAAGACAAGGTGTATGGCTACATGGTGATTAAGAAACAGGAGTGTGTGAACCATGTGAAAAAAAGAATGGGCACTTCCTTGCGCAACCTTCTTGATGAGCACAAATCCAAAGGCCGAGGACTGAGCATGGGTGGCAAAGGCCGGCTGACGCAGGGCCTGATAAAGAAGTTGACGAATTATTATGGCTGGGCCATTAAGAGCCACCCCAACGATGTTCCTGGCATGGAGAGGGCCATCATGGCCACTTATTACCATGTAACATCCACAGACCAGGATCCACACCACAACCTGTGCCCAAGTGGGACTGACTCCTGGTGCCCGCACAATCAGGCATTGGCCAAGGGAGAGCCGCTGCCGCCTCACAAACATAAACTGCCCCCTCACGTGCGAGTGGCACTGCTGCCAATCTACAAGCGCCTCTCGAACAAAGAGCTCCTTGAAAGGTGTGCGCAGGGAAAAACCCAGAACGCTGTGGAGAGTATGAACAGCCTCATTTGGTCACTCCAGTCCAAGAGCCAGTTTGCCTCCCTTCGAAGTGTGGAAAGTGCAGTTGCAGATGCAGTCTGCCGTTTCAATGGTGGATGCAAGAGTGCGCTGCAAGAGATCACTGCTCAACTGGGCTTCAATCCAGGAGACTGCTCTTTGCGGCGAGCAGCCGAAAAGGATGCCAAAAGGGTAAAGAGGGCTCAAAAGGCGCATTGTTCCACGACAAAGAAGCGCAAAACTGGGTTGCGCTCTACAGAGGCCAAGGCCACAGCATCTCAGGATTACTGCCCAGGAGGATTCTGAGTGTTTTAGGCATGTTGTGAACTTCCAAACAAGAGTGAACTTTCAAAGTCAGTTTTCCTCAACTCTTGATTTTCGCCTATGTGCCTTCGCTAGAACATCCGTCATTTTCTAACAAAGACTGATAGAGTCGTTCCGTTTTTTGCACTAGGCTCAGGAGGCCTTTAGCAGTGCAATAAAGCTTTATCTCTCTTCTTACTCATCATTTAAAATTTTTAGAACACATTTTATAATTACTGCGATGTGTGCGCAAAACAACATTCATGTTTTGGAAATTTTATTTATGGTTACAAGAACTAGAAAAATCTACTAACAGCTTCTTTGCACAAGTTGATGCTTTGGGAACATAATAATATGAAAAAATAATTTCATTTAGCAATAATTATCTCTTTAAGTGTGAAGAGCATTAATTAGTATAATTATGCTTGTAACTCAAAAAGTACAAGAGGTATTTGAAAACGGTTTTCATATTTGGAATCCTCACAATCATCCACATACACACACCAAATTTCATCACAAACAGTACATTAATAAAAAAATTAGTTTTACTTGCCACGTCCCCCCTTAAAACGTTATACTAATTATGAAGAACAGTGATCTACTTATAAAAAAATTAGGGTGAATGGACGACACCATAAGCGCCACGAGTGGGACATTTTTTAATGATACCACTAACGTCATAGGGTTCGACTACAATTAACGCTTAGTAATCAAACCAGCTGCAGTAAAAAATGAACCTTCCATGCATTACAACACATCATAAAATGCTGCTTCTCCATTTATGTTTCATTTATAAAAAAAAAAGAACTGCTTAACATTACCATGGGAAATGGCACAATCTGTTCAAAAGTTCCGTTTGCACATGGTTAGGCTGGATAGGTGGTGCCATCTATCAGCATCCACTTGAACTAGGCAAGCACAAAATTTTTATTGCAGAAACATTGTGCAATCTACCTTTTCTGCCAATGCATTGCATCGACGCAATTACGAACGAGTTGCCTTTGAAATATTTTTTCCCTCTTAAGAACGCTAGGCAATACAAACTGGGGTTGCACTTGGCATCACAAGATGTCAACACCATCATCCATTAACCCTACATTCTTACAAGACTTTGCGTACGTCAACAGCTGCGCAGTGAAGGCAGGCAATCTGGGGCAAGACAACTGCCATGTCAGAAAGGCCAGTTTTCAGGCGGGTGACTTCTAGTGAGCTAATGCCGTGCGGACCGCTAGAACATAATTTTATTTCAAAATGAGCATTTTCTTGGCATGAATGCAGCACTGCGAGTTTTCTGGATCACTATTTCAGCCATCAACAACAAGTTATTATTTGCCTTTAGTGTCCCTTTAACATCTTGCTTAAATAAAGCGAAGCCCTCAAATCAGCTTCATGACAAAAAGCGGTCTACAAGTATTACAGTAAAAGCTCCTTGATTATATTCCCGGTAATTCTGAAAATGGTATAATTCCCATGTCTTTTACGATTCCGGCCAGCACATGCATTGCTCAACTGCATCATACCCTCGTTAATTCAGTCCATTCGGCCCTAGCCCGGTTAATTCGGCCGATCTGCGAAGCGTTCCGAGCGTCGTAAAAGTGCAACGCAGAAGAGCAACAAAGAGCGTCTGCTGACAACTGAAACGAGGCGGGGCTGTGCATATCGCTACCTACATCTGCTAGTGACGACGATTTTGTCTACATGGAGATCAGGTACTCAGAACCTTCATCTTCACTTGATGCAACGCGCACGATGTCACAAAACCTAAGCATGACAGTAGCTCTTGAAGCGTTTCTATTTCTTTCTGTTCCTGTCTATATTTTTTTGTCTTTTTGCTCTTTTGCTAGTCCATGCGTGCACTGGCCACTTGAGTTTGCGAAGCGGAGCGAAAGACGAAGAGAGTGCATGCCTGCCGAGATAATGTGTTGTATGTGCTAGGCGCAGCTGTGCCAGGTACTGCGCCACGCGAGATGCCATATAGTGCAGGCTGTTCATGATGATAGTGTCTTGTTAGAGGGAACCAAGAGGTCCCGAACCTCATAAAGCTACGCTGGCAAAAGAAGAGAAAAGAGAGAGAGAAAGATGCAAGGAAAAAAAAAAAGAAGAGAGAAATGCTTAAAGCTATCATGCGTGATGAACTGAGATTCTGGAGGCACAACTGCTCTTTAGTGTATCTTTCAGTATGCTCATGGCAATAAAAAGAGAGCACACGTTCTCGCCTTGTGTGACGAATCTCCTTACACGTAATGGATTTGGAGAAATTTTGCAGCAGGAGATTTGTGAGTCAACAGTCGAATAGGTAGGTATATTTCTAAGATAACAAAGGCGTGCTACAAGGTGCCTTTGAAATCGAATCAGAAACGCATCGTACATATAGTTTTGCGCATAAATACATATACATATTCCAAGGTGCAAGCGCTGCTGTATGGATGCTTACTTCCTTTTTGTCACTCGAGCTTAGAGCTTTCAGCGGCAGAGTGGCTGAGCAAGATTAGTTCTTCTTCATCTTGTCTGCAATGAGATTCCTGATGGTGAGAACGGTTGCCGAGAAGTACTTCTTGAAAATGCCATGGTGCTTCATGCCAGGAGTCATCGCAAGGAACAGCACTGTAAGCAAACAGAGACGAAACCATCGTGAAAAAGCTGCTATCATGTTGGTTTTAAAGTAATTAAGCTGGAAATATAGAACTCTCAAGATAGGGTGAAGCTAACAACCTCAAAAGTTAATAGTTAACACAGACTCTCGACAATTCAAATTTGCAGCTAATTAAAACAAATTTCAGATTTTAGGTTCGTCCACAGTGTTTTTCATTATCTACTCAATTCAAACTTTTACAGTGCATGAATCAGTCAATTCATACTTCTTGCTTGACCGTGCCTGAAAATATCAATGCCTTTGTCACTTCTGCCAGATCATTTGCTTTTTTGTATTACCAACAGTTGCAAATAAAGCTGACTGTCTGCTTATGGAGTCACAAAACTAGCCAGACCATTGATTTAAATTCAAACAAAATTAAAGAAAAACATCACGAATTGGCCTTGATCGATATTTACACCAAACGCTTTGCTGTTGTGCATTTGTGCCATGTGGTAAAGCACAATAAAGCTATGTAGGAGCCATAGTGTAAGAAAAATTATAGTAGGAGCTAACAGCTACCACAGGGCATAGCATGAGTATTAGTACGGTCGCTGACATGTAAAATCCCTACTGGCAATCATGCAAGGCTGTCTATGGAATTGTGCAGCACTAAGGAGCTATAAACATTACAGCATAAATTTCCATATTGTCCTGAGTCATACTAATGAGAACTTCGGATGATTCAAACAAAATCAAGAGTCTCCTGGAGTCTGAATAATTCTGTCTACTGCACTACCACTAAGTAGCATCAACACCAGTACTGCATACTCTCGTTTTCAAAGGTGCACATAATGTGCAATACTTAGATGCCTGCATATAAATGTGTAAGGAGCTATTTAAATTAACGATGTTAAAAGAAGTGTGCACTCGCGCAACAGAAATTCGCACCGTGCATAACACGAGCAATTCACTGCACAGTATATACACCTAAATTTAAGCCTTTCGCAAATGTACACCCACTCGCTTTGTACGGAGTGGCTCGCTGTTGGACGAAAACGCAATATTGTGTGGAACTACACAATTCTGCTTCAGCGATTCGGGAAACTCGTCACTTTGCACAATACTCTCGTGTGTCTTGCACAACATGTAGACAATACCTGCTGGCAATGCGCCCATCGAGCGGCAGCTATACGCTCACTTTAACAGGGTAACCCTTCCACATACACTTTTGATGAATTTCCTGTACAGGTGACACGCAGAAAGAAGCATTGACTGGACAACCATCATGATGTACAAGCAACAAACTTCTGCACGAGTGTCGCAGCAAGAAAGAGCTATTCACAGATTCCTTACAGAGAAATAAAACAGTGGAACAACTACAAGAACTTGCACACAGTAAGTGCATTACAAATACGATTTTGGTATTCAATTGTAATACGAGAGTCAACTTCAGGTAGCCAAAAGCTGGAGAAAAATGCAATAAGCAAGTCTTAATTTAGTTTTACAATTTCGGCACCTCATACATTGGCCAAGTTCCGCCACACCTGGGGTACAAGAAATCTATGCAAAAAAAAAAAAAAGTTCCTAGTCATACGATGGCAAAACTGATATGTCTGTCTCACGCGAGCATCGTGTACAAACACTTCAAAAAAAGGGGGTCGCTGACAAAACGCTATGAAACAGTTTTCTTTTCACTGTATTCTCACCGATGAGGTAAGTGAGGAAGAGGTTGTCAAAAGCATTCCCAATCCAAGCCACCAGAAGGAGAGAGATCAGCACCGCCACCACATACTGCACACATGGAAGCACAATAATGCACAAATACATGTTCGCTTCTATGCCCAATAATGTGAGACTACAAAAACAGTACCGACAGATGGTAACAATGTGAAAGAGTGACAGAAGAAGCTATACAGCGTGTTAGTACTGCAAATCAGCGACAATAAAAAGAAAAACGATACTCCTCGCAATAGTAAACTACACCTTTTAACAGCAACCGAAACCACCATTTTTGTATAGAGAATGTGTTCACAAAAACAAAAATGCCATAGCCCACTATAGCAAACCTTCGTTACAACAAAGTCGCTTTATTCCAATTATCGCTTCTATCGAAGTGCCACACAGTCCCGATCCCAATACGTGTATTTTAGATATATTTTAGACTGTATTACTCGAAGCACGTCGATAGCTTGTTCTGCTTAGAGCGAAGTAACAAGCTGCAGATCCGTACTCACGGGGGCGTGAGCGAGCGACTGCCGCCGCCGCCGAAGTACCTGTGCACTTTTTTCGAAGTGCCTGCGCACTTTCAGCGCTGAGCAAGAGATGTTCGCGCTAGCGTCACCAGGCTAAAGTGCACCAGTGCAGATGACGAGAGAGTTCCCCGCCCTACTCCAGTAAGGAGGCACTCGCTAACATGCCTAACTCGCTAACAGGCTGTAGAGTGCCTCGATACACACGGAGGTGAACGAGCGTATTGAGGCACTCAAGCTGGCTAATCACCACTACTACATCTACGTCAGTGGTGTCATGGAGCCTTGGCGTGCTCCCTGGCCACTGGGTGTTTTTTTTTACCCGTGTTTGGAAGACGCATGTGCGCGCGTGTTGTGAGAGGTCTGTGTGAACCCGTGACGTGTGTGCGCATCGTGTGTGTTTTGTGACCATCAAGTAAAAAATGGCATTGCCGGTGATCGCGTGAAAGTGTCTGACATTTGAGCAGAAAGTTCAACTGATATCATGCCAGGTGGAAAAAGGAGGCCGGCAGAAGTATACAGGCAAACACGGTTATATAAAACCCACATATATAAAATTTTCGAGTATATCGAACTCATAGGTTATCCCCTTGAAATTCCTTTGTAAAAGTATAGACATTCGCGTGTTTATACCGAACGGTATTTTTACCCACTTTCGAATATATCGAACGCCGCGCGAGCTGAAAGGTGCGCTTCGGCGCTCCCCCCCCCCCCGCAAACTCCGTGGCTCCGCGCGCGAGTTGGAAGGCGCACTTTGGCACTCGCAGTGCCCCGCGACCTTCGTGCCGCATCACGCCAAAACCAGAAACACCCGAAAAAGGTAATAGCAAAAGGGCTTGGACTGTACAGTCTCTAACTTGCAGAACGACTTTTTCTTTCGTTTCTCTTTCACTTTCTCATGGTTTCTCCGCATACCCATCGGCTCGGAGAGCAGAAACAAGAGAGCCGTCCTCCTCCTTTCGTCTTTTCATTATTTTTTTGCTGCTGTTTTGCGAGTTTTGATCAGCCAATTACAGCTCGCGCCTTTTGCTGTTGCACTCGTAGGTAACTATCGCCTCGCGAGCGCTTTGTTGCTTCCGCTGTCGCATCGCCTACCTACCACAGCATGTGCAGCATTTTTCTTTAGTGTGCATGGTGCGCAAAGCTGCTGTGGACTCCTTGAATTGTCTACTTCTGGTGTAGCTATGGCCAGCGTTAAGAAGCGCAACACCCTCGACTTTGCGACCAAGTTGAAGGCTATTAAGCGTGTTGAGGTTGGCGAGAAATGTTTGGCTGTCGCACATGACTTCAGGATACCACGCAGCACTCGGAGTACCTCGTTAAAAACAAGGCAATTATGAAGGCAAAGGTGGCGGAGCAGCAAATGTCAAGAGCCTGTCATGTGCGCGCTTCTGGCCACGGGTATGTAGAAAAAGCACTCTATGCCTGGTATTTAGAACTGTGAGCGAAGAACATCCTGGTGGATGGCCCGATGCTGATCGCCAAGGCCAAATGGTTTGCCGCTGCACTCGGTGAAACAACTTCACTGACAAAACACGGTGGCTTCACCGATTTAGGCAGCGCTACAACATCGTTGGCAAAACCAATTCTGGCAAAAGGGAAGCTGTCAGCAGCCAGGACATCCACCTGTGGATGATGAAGGAGTGGCCGGAAATCTCCGCCAAGTTTTCTCCCGTGAAAATCCTCAATGCCTGGCGAGACGTGAAGACGGACACAGTGGTCAACTGCTTCCGCAAGGTAGGCTTTAAAACGGCGGAGGTTGTGGAAACCGGTGAAGACGACGATGACGAGCGCATAGATAACGCGTTTCGAGAGTTCTCGTCCCACTTCCTGGCAGCAGTTTCACACGAAGTGTCTGCGGACGACTTTGTGGAAGCGGACTGCAAAGAGGAGGATCGCCCGAACGAGGCGCTGGCTACATGCGCGTACTCCGCCGCTGAAGTGGCGGCAGCGTTCGGCGTCATGCGCCGTTGTATCGGCCACATGGAGGGAACCAGGCTGTCGCACCTGGACAACCTTGATAAGATCGAGACTAGCGTCTTCAAAATTTTAAAAACGAAGAAGCAGGCCAAGATTAGCAATTTCTGTCACGCTAATAAATCATTCTGTTGCGGCGTGTGTGGCGAAATTAGTTGTAATTCTTGAATGCGCCTATTCTAGGTGATGTTCTGCTATAGGTAGGCTCTTGGGGCCTCTATTTCTTTACACCGAATTTTTCATATATCGAACTGATTCGCGATCCCGTTTGAGTTCGATATATCCGTGTTCGACTGTAAAATCGCTAGGCAATTCGGAATACCGCCGTTGTGAAGAAGAAGATGTGCCTGCAGCGAGCAGCATCGCCAACGCCCGGCTCTCTCGGCTCGTGCTTCGGTTCGTTGCTGTGCCGATCGCTGGACGGTTCATCACGCTGTCTCGTCGCTGCCTTTAACGGCTAATAAACCTCTTCACATTTGGTGGAGGTGCTGTTAATCCCCGTTGCTACACCCTGGAGCTGCGAAGCCGCACGCTAACCACCTGTCATGACTCACAACGCCACTACATCGACGCCTTCGCTCCAGTTCAACTGCCCTGGCCATCCCAGGCTACGGGAGCCGAAGGTCTCAGCGGTGCGGATGGGACCGACGTAGAAGACTGGCTCGAGCACTACGAAATGGTGAGCGCCAACAATAAGTGGGACGAAGCCGACAAGCTGGGCCACGTGATATTTATCTCACTGGCGTCGCCGAATTGTGGTTTAATAACCACAAACACAACATCCCCACATGGAGCGTCTTCAAGACGTCATGTGCTGAAGTGTTCGGTCCGGTCCGGCTGTCCGCAAGCAGAGGGCAGAACAGCGCTTGCGCGTCCGCTCTCAGCAAACTGGCGAGACTTTTACCAGCTACATTGAGGACGTCGTCGACCTTTGCCGACGTGTGAATGACACCATGCCGAATCTGACAAGGTCAAAACATCCTGAAGGGCATCGACGACGGCGCATTTCAAATGCTCTTGGCAAGGAATCCGAGCACAGTTTCCGAAGTCGTCAGCTTGTGTCAGAGCTACGACGAGTTGAACAAGCAACGCACTCTGACTCGGCAGCCTCAGCATGGTGGTCAGTCACTATGCAGTTTTGAAACCTACCCGACAATTCACCGCTGCTTCAGCAAGTTCGAGCCTTCGTCCGTGAGGAAGTCGCCCCGCCAACTTTCCCCAGTGCCCTTCACTCACGAGGACCACCACCGTCTACCTGCCCCGCTTCGCACTGCTATTTCGGAAGAGGTTGCCCAAGCTGTTCCTGTGCGCACCACGAGCCGCCTCTATCCAGCCTTGCCCACTGCCAGCGTGCCGCGCAGCTGGTAGGCCCTCCCTGTCGCCTATCCCCCAGCCGTGCAGCCTGTGGCCGCGCCCCTAACTTATGCAGCGCAGCCTGTGGCTCCTCCTGTCGCCTGCTCGCAAGTGATACAGCCTGTAGCAGCGCCGTTCACATATGCAGACGCTGTGCGTAGGCTTCCGCAACCACCCTATACCTCGCGCTCACAGCCCGCACACCCGGCTGCTTATACTGCACCTTGGGCGGCACCACCAGTAGCCAATTCTTGGAGGACGCGTGATAACCGACCGATATGCTACGCCTGCTTTACTCCCGGACACGTTGCCCGCTACTGCCGCCGTCGACCTCAGACGTTCGGCGACTATGTCCGATCGTCGCAACCCGGCAGCCAACCCTTCGCGCAATACGGGCCGGTGTCGTCACCTCGCTATGCCCCTCCTAACGACCCCGACTTCGTGACGCCGCGCGCACCCTCTCCTCGTCGGCGATCGCCCTCCCCAATGCGTCGCCGGCCCAGACCTTCTGACCAGGAAAACTAAGCAACGCAGTTCAAGAGGCAAGAACTGCGCCGTTTTCGAACTGTCTAAGCCCTCGCTCCTCTCCTGCTAACGTGGTCGCAGTAACTGTTGAAGGTTATTGTACTTTCGCCCTTGTCGACACTGGCGCCGCTGTTTCTGTTATTGCCGCTAATCTCTGCCGTTTATTACGCAAAGTAACGACGCCGCTTTCGGGAACCTCTTCACACCGTCAACATTATGAACTGTTCTGAAAAATAAGGATGCCGTAGTGGGAAACTTTGAGAACAGTTTCTCAGCAAAAAAAAAAAAAAACACATAACTGCGATTCTATGTATCCTAAAGTGGAAAGAGTGCTTCTCGAATAGTTGAAAAACGATAGAAGTGCAAACTTTCCTGTGAATGGGCCTGCATTGACCGCAAAAGTCGAAGCCCTAGAAGCCCGAATGGGCAATTAAGATTTCAAGCGCAGCAACTGCCGACTTAAACGCAAGAGACGGCACAGCATGTCTGCAAAATCAATCGTCGGAGTAAGCATAGCCATGGACTGTGACGTCGTGGACGGATGGCGGGAGCATTGGCTGAGCACGTACGCCACACCGGGCGGAAGCTCATCAGGATGTAAACAAAGCAAAGAATGTGTTACAGTGCTGTTTGGTGCTAACAAGACGGGAAAGGACAAGCTTGCTTTGCCGATACTGGGGGAGGGCAGCACATTTCCGGTCGACTAACTAGCCGAAAAAATTCACCTGCTAAGAGGCCCCGACGAGGAAGATCAGCCGTTAGACAAACAGCCTAGCGAAACACCACCAATGGCGCAAACGCAAGAGAACCTCCGTCTGTTGTAAAATGGAGTGCGTGGGCGGCAACCACGAGCTCAAAATTTGCCTGAACACACTGAAGCAGGCACTCTTTACGCCTAGAAAAAGACAGCCGACTGACCTCTTTGTGCATGAATAAAGGCTTGTTTCCCTGAATACCACTTCAGAGAAGTTGTCATGACTAATTTAGCTGTACTTTTATGGGGCAATCGTGTATATCGAATTACCGCTTATATTGAATTTTTTTGCTGTCCCACTGACTTCGTTGCAATGAGGGTTTACTGTACATTAGAGTAAGCTCTGTTCTGTACGCAGTGATAGAAGTGACATTTTGGTTTTTGGAGCAAAAAAAAAAAAAAATGGTGCTTTAGAGTAGCTTTAAGCATCTTCAGAGCAGCAAAAAATGCTATAGCTTAAGGTTGCTATTGGTATTTTCGGAGCAGATTCATGTTTCTAACGAATCCTCAAGTCTAAAACATCACTTAAGCATCTAAATAAATATTTATATTTATCATCAAACATGCCGTATGCTGGTATGCAGCTAGTATACAAGCAGTATAGATGGGGTAAACATGGGCGGAGGAGGGGGGGGGGGGGGGTCAAGAGAGTTTGGACTCTCCTGGTGTTAAGGCTGGGGAGGACACCCCCTGTGAGTGTCCCACATGAGATTTAGCTTTAGCACATGATATAATTGTGTTAACAGTTAAGCATAGCAAAATAAACTTTTAAAATTATTTTTATCTTTTACTGCATACTTATGTTAAAGGACCCTGAGCTGGGTTAACTATGAGAATCACAAAAAGGAGAAAAAAAAAAGACCGAATAAAAGAATGCAATAACTCGAGCTCGGTCCCATGCTCAATTTTTAAATTTTATTGAAAAGCATAATTTAATTCTTATATAAATAAAGATACAACACATATTAAAAAAAATGGCCACCATGGCCTGATATGTGTCACCCCTTTCAATTTTTGTGGAGTTACGCCACTGTGTAGCATACTAGAATGATAGTGCAGCTTTCTTTTGGTTTCGCTTAGGCCCACTGGGGTGTGGTCCCATGATTCAACATTTTTGTTAGTTTGCCAACACCATTTTGGAGCAGGTTTGGAGCAGTTACTAGCAAATATTGCACTATGGAGCAGCATGGAGCAGCACTTCTCTTTTGGAGCAGTTTGGAGCAATTGGGGTAGCACTTCTACCACTGTATACGTGAATTAGAGGCCTAACATAATGGGTCTCAGGAAATTTTTTCAAAGTAGTGTGAAGAAAATATGACAAAAAAAAGGACCAAGGAAAAATACTAGGCTTGTGCGAATAGTGAATTTTAAGAGCGAAGCGAATTCGAAGTGAATGGCGATTTTGGTCCAATAATTTCGAATCGAACTCGAATAGCATGATAACACATATTATACACAATATATATGAAAAATTGAGACAAGGCCTGTACAAATACATTTTTTTTTGCATCAAAAAATTGGCAACAACTGTGAATAGTAGCATAATTTGATTTTCGATAGAATGCAAGCAATAGCCTGTAAAATATGTCACTTTTTAAAATTTTCTATAATATGAGCATATAAGTAGGTATACCAAGTTTTTACACTTGAAAAATGGATCAATGTCGGGGCGATATCCTCATTTAACCTTCAAGTGAGGCTTCGCGGCAATGCAGATTTCCCCTGGACACGTGTTTCCACGGCTCAGCAACACTCCACTGCAGTGAAACCACCTTTACAGAATGACACATGCGGATTAATATGCATTTATTCGTTTGTTCCAAATTATTTGAAATTTTCAATATTATGAATTCCAATCGAAGCGGACTCGAATACTGCATTATTCGTTTGAATATTAGAAGTATTTGAATATTCACACAAGCTTAAAAATACCAATAAAAAGACAGGAGAAATATAAATGTACAAACCACATGTACATTCTTGCGCATATTACATGTACGCAAAGCAACTTTTCGTATGAAAAAAAAATGATCTAGAATGCTTCCATTATGAAGTCCTGCACACATCAGGTGTCACATTTGGATAATTCGTTCAGAAAGCTGATCAATCAGGAGCAGTTCATCACAGATAGCGGATTAAATGCAGTGCAACATGAAGGAGTAAAATCATAATCAATGCATGTAGCAATGAATTTGAAGAAAGCCTTGTTCTCTTATCGATTTTGTTTTAGAGTTGCCAAACTTCATGAAAAATTTAATTCTAGGTGCGTTTGTTTTTATTTTCGACATTACCAAATTTACTGTCACTATTCCACGCCAACAGCAATTCTGTTTGAAAATACGTTTTGTTGTATAGTCAACACAAAAATGGTAAATACAACAGCACAATACGACAGACAAATGTAGGATAATGCATGACGTGTCAAGAACTCAAGATCGCTGCGACTACAAGCATTTATGTTAACAGACTCCCCCTGTGTTGAGGCCAGGCACACCCGAGAACCTAACAAGAAGTACTGGATCTCGCACGTTTTTTATTTATAAGAGCTCTTAAACTTTAAAACATTGCGCTGAGCACCTCATGTCATAAAATGCTTGGCCCACACGAAATGCGCATCAGGTGATGAAGTAATGAAATAAATAAAACAGTTTGTTAAAGCTTTTACGAGATAAATAAACGCTAGGAAAGTTGGTGAAGTATCACGCTTAGATGCAGAGTGATACTATGGACACAGAAATGGCTACGGAGCTTTGTGTGCTTGTACCGGTTAACATGTTTTTGACCTGCAGCTAAGTAAGGCAGGTTTAAAGCTGCATGCAGTTCGAGTCGAGGCCGAGAACACATGCTTGCATGAAAAGAAAGGCACAACCTGACGGGGTGCAAAGATCAGCGTCCACCACACAGTACGAACACAGAGACAAATTAAATTGAAATTGGAAAAGCCCATGCATCTCTTGCAGTTGCGCTCAATCGGTGCTATGTACACCATTGTTGCGCCAATCTTTATGAATATCTATGCATCCGCATCGCAGAGAGTACAACTGTCATGAATATCCATAGACATTCATGAAGCACAACTGAATATCTATTCAGTTGCAGAGAGTACAACTGAAAAACACACCGCCTTAGGTTTGTCCTGTTTCGCCTTCTTGAGGGACGCACACGCGTTGACCACCGACTGCCACGCGTGCACCGCTTCGAGGCATATGTCGTGCAGCTGCCGCTCGTGCTGACTGGTCCTGGGGGAAAATAAATATAAATAAACAACATTAACAAGGGACAGGAAAAGACAGCCCTCTGCAAGTGTCTTCTAACACGCACTAGACCAATATCCTCGGCTGCCATTTGCTACTGTGTTACTGAAGGGTAAATGAGCATACATGTGACACCCTTGTTATGCACACACGCTAACCTAAGTTACGATGACCGTCAGTTAACGGTCAATTTTCTAATCGCGAAACAGAGTGTCACGCGACTTGCTTCATGACTCAAACAAAAGATAACTTTTCGCATGAAGCAAGTCTTGTGACACTCAGTTTCATGTTGAAAAATATAAACGTTAACTGAAGTTCACAGAAATTGAGCTTAGCATGCTTAAAAAACAAGGGTGTAATATGTGCAATGATAATTAAAAACACAGCATGTTCGTTTTTCTTCATCTTAGAGCACCACTTCCAGATTTTTCAGCGAACAAATCTGTTCCCTAAATTATTAAAAAGTTTCGCTTCCCACCTGAGTGATGAAAAACAAAATTACATTAAACATCACGTAAGTTATTTTCGTACATAAGTTGAAACTAGCTGGCACATATCATCGTAATTTTCCCAGTGAAGACATGCACAAGGAGTACTTAGCTGCCCAAAAAAGACAGACCCCTGAACTACATATTTTAATTTTTTTTTACATTACAAGATTTCAATTAGGAAATGTTTTAGAGTCAGCCAGTTTGTGATAGCGATTGCAACAATCAATGGCCATACATATAGCTATGCTACATTACAAGCTGCAGTTATGCAAGAGATTTGTGAATATTGGTTAACGTTTTTTTTTTTGTTGGCCAGACGATAACAACATGGAACTGGTGCCGAAACGTTCCTTGGTTTGCTTGTATGAAAATAGAATCACGAGAGATGTTCTGTACTATTCCACTAAGCGAACAGGCCGCTTCAGGGTGCACTAACATAATTGATTTCAAGAACCAATGAAATGGCATTGCTTTGCACCAGTGACAGCACTAGAGATCCAGATCAGGCGCATAGCCTGAGGGGAAGTGATTTGGATGGAGGTGCGCGTTTTAACGAGCATATTTATAAAAAAAAAGGTAGGCGTTTTTTCAAGGCCTTCAATAGATGCCCCCCCCCCCCCCAACCCCCCCAAAAAAATTCCTGGCTACGGGCCCGATCCAGTTAGTCCATGCACCTTAAAATGGCCAGTTTAGTGGACTTCTGAAGGGAACGAATGGCATGCACCTGCCCGTAGCACGAAAATAAGAGAAAACTCGGACGAATTTCTTCAAAAGTAAAACTTTCAGGTCGATGAATTTTCCAAATAAAGCTTGCGGGAAAGAGAGAGAAAGAAGAAATACAGGAGTTCACTCTCACCACTTGTCAGGACTGCAAAGCTGAGCGAGCAGCAGTGGTACGAGATAGTCGAGCAGGGACACCAGCATGCCGATCAGCGAGAAGGTGGTCAGCAGGGATGGCTCCATATACCACAGCAAGCTGCACAGTCATTTGCATCTCACGTTCATATGACGACAAAAGCAAGCACCTCCTCGAACATCACTTTCGTTCACATAACAACGCTGCACTGTGTTGCTGCAACCGAGTACTGCAACAAAGCAACTCGTCATTGCCCTATTTAGTCACATGATGTCATGAGACATCACAAAACTTTTTGGGGGCAGCTGCGAGGGCTACCTAGGAGCATAGCGTATCCGGCAGCTGCAGTAACGCTAGCCAGAAGCTGTAGTTGGATGCACTGGCATCGAGGAGAGAGAAGCAAAACATGGAAGAGGAATTAAAAGTGCATAAGTGGCTTACTTGCCAGGCATGTAGTTGCATAAGGTGTTGCCAAAATCCTTGCTTCAGTTATTAAGTCGGGGTTAACAAGAGAACTTAGAATGGATGCTTCAACGAGGCTCATTTGTGGCAGTTTGCCTATATATTGCACAGTGTGTTGTTTACAACTGCATTTCTAGTTTAACACAAGATCGAGCCCTACGACCTAAGTAATAAATAATCTTATTTTGGGCTTTCTCACAGGCTGTATCCTCGCCGTGATCTGTACAAGCAATCCATTCTAACTGCATGATGCACAGTACATAGTACTGCAAGGATTTGACAACTATCATTAAGTAGGTGTTCCACACTATGGGATGAGCTCCATTTTACATTCAGTGAGTACAGCACTTTTTGCAATGACCAAGATCTTCACTATCAAAGATTATGGCACATTTATTAATATTGAGAAATGTTCTACAGTTGAAGTTTTAAAACTAGGAAATTATGGGCCATTTTACTTAAGTACGATATTAATTATTGGGCCTCCTTTGTGCTCTCTTTCTTGTTACATCTGTACTCTGCCATATACTTCACATGTACACAGCATAATTATTACCACTGTAAGAAATTTCCATACACCACTGAAATGCCTTAGCAATTTTTTCGCACAACTAGTTTGATCGGTAGCATCACCTTGATACAATATTACGTCATCATCATCATCAGCCTGACTATGCCCACTGCAGGGCAAAGGCCTCTCCCATGATCCGCCAATCAACCCAGACTTATGCTTTCTGCTGCCACGTTATACCTGCGAACTTTTTAATCTCCATGGCCCACGCTACTTTCTGTCTCCCCTTTGCGAGTTTGCCTTCTCTGGGAATCCAGTCAGTTACCTTTAATGACTACTGATTCTCCTGCCTACATGCTGTGTGGCCGGCCCATGTCCATTTCTTCTTAATTTCAACTATGATATCTGATCAGCTTGCTGCCCGTTCTCTACGAACTGTTTACAAAAATGATAGCTAGTATAACTAAGGCGACATTACAGTTCAATCAACCAATGGACCAAGCAGGATTTGTACAGGCTACTCCATAATATTATGTAAACAAAATTAAAAATATGACAGGGGAGGATTTTCCACGGTGAAAGCTCAAGTATAAGGAATGAGTAGACAACCAGGGAAACCTTTATTGCAATAGTAGTACACTCAAACCTCATTGTAACAAAGTTACATCTGCCATAAACATACTTCGTTATGCCCAAAAATTAGTTATAAACCTATATTCATAACACTGCATCTACGATAAAGCTACTTTTCACTGACTTCGTATAAGCAATGATTCATTATACCCAATTTTGTTTTAACGAGGTTTTGGTGCACACACAATATAGACTCTTACACGAAGACTGTGGTGACAGCACCAAAGATGCACCCCGGGTAGTATGGTTGGTTCCAGAGCAGGACAGAGTGGAGGGGAAGCACCACTTCCCGCCATCCCTCCAACTTCAGCCTCAGCTTCTTGGCCTGATCCTGCATCAGTAAAAATAACTGCCAATTGCCAATTTGGAAGACACTCTGTCAAGACAAGACTACAAGATCATCAATCCACTACCTGGTAGTTACTAGGAGCTTGTCAGAGCAGCTGCCGTCAAAACTATAATGCATCAGAGAAGGTGTTCCCAGAGAACAAAAGTGCATTTCTACAGTAAAGAAACTGACAATATAATTGCACTTGTCTAGAGGTGATTGACAGGATGTTCTTTACACAATACAAATCATTTATAAAAATATCATGACAATTTCACATCAGTAATTTTAGCACATGTACTATGTCGAGGCGGAAATACTTTCGCCGCAACTTAATCGACAGTCTCATGACTAATTAACAAACTTCATTAATCTTTCAATTATTTGCATCGATTCACTGACATACCCATTAAAAAAAATCAAATTGCACATACATTGAAGTATTTGTGAGAGAACTTTATAGGCAAAATCAAAAAGTCTCACCCGGGGTGCACAAACAACTACAACTCTGCTATGCAAGACCGAAACTGCCCGTCACATAGAAGTGACGAATTTTGAAGTGAAGGCGCAATACGGCCGCATCTTTTCATGAAAAACTGCGAAGTCATCTTACTCGTACCAGCACATCGCCTTATTTTTGCCACTGTGTTGCTTGGTGCTCATCTGATTCTTTAGAGCTGCGCCCAATAAACAGTGATAGCAACCTTTCCTTTCTCTGGGAAGCATGAATCTTGGGGCAACCACTGTGGCGCTTATTCTTGCAGACATGTGAAATGGTTTTTCGCACCTCTATTGAGTTCGAGAAAGAAACAATAGAGCACTGCACATCACAGGCAAACAATAAGCTGTCTACTTGTGTATTTCAGAACACGTTCCGATCATTCTAACCAGATTCTGCCTCAATTCGAATATCGTCACTTTTCTCTCAGTGGCAGTTCCAGTATGACATAGCAGAGTTGTCGCACTTTGTGCATGTTGGGCGCGATCAGTTTCTATTTTGTCCATGAATTTGATGATAAATACCTTGAACAACATCCAACTCTTCAATTTATAAAAAATTGGTATGCCGCAAATTATAACTGCCATAAATTAGCAATGGCTAAAGGCTCATAAAACTATATACCAGGGATTATTGAGACAAGTACGCCGCCTTAGGTGCATGCAAACTATCTCCAAATCCTTGACATCACCACCTGCAATAGTCGATGTTATAGTCGGGCCAGCCTGAATATCACACCAAAGTGCCGTGCACTTATTTTGTCAGGCAGCTCATGTGAAACAGCCAATTTCATGCCATCAAATACTCCGCCAGTTTTGCTTTGGTCATGCGAAACATTAAGAAAAAAATGCATATACCAATGCCATTACTATGCAAGCAGTGAAAACTTAATGCAGGGCATAAAGGTGTACACATCAGAAACGTTCAGCCAGATTTGTTCATAGAATGTGATGTAGTGCGCATGTCAAAAAAGTCACGTCCTACAGCTTCCTTATTCTCATTAGCAAGTGAGAACATAAATCTGAGCTTCATAGTGTTGTTTATTTAGTTTACACTTCCCTTAACAAATTGTGTTGCAACAAGAAAAACGGATGTCTATTAGCAAGATTAAATGTAGGAGGGAAAAGAAAAAGGGAACGTCTTGACATCGGTCCTCCCTTTATAAACACTAACCTCTGCAGCATTTGAAAAGGATAAAAATGTAACAAACTCATAGGCAGACAAAGCCCAAGGTGTTGCACCAAGGAGGAGGGCCCACCTCGTAGGCACTTAAAAAATAAAAGGATCACAATATTTTAATAAGATGCAGGTACTGCACCATGCAAGAGAGCCGATTTTAAACTGCAAGGAACTGAGTAAGCAAACCAGTACACAACACATCAGGTATGTGACGTATTGGAAAGAAGCAAAAGGTAAGTGGAAAAAAGGAGCCAGAATAAGTATGAAATGCATCCCCGTACAAAAATTAAAGGCACAAGCAAAGTAAAAAAAGAAAAGGAAGTAAAGGAGGAGAAACAGCCTCAACATTTATAATGTATATTTGTTTTCACGCCCGAGCTTTTGATTAGTTTACTGTGTCGGTGGTCTCAACAGGGCATGCTAGTGTGGAGATAAACAACAAAAGAGCCCCTTCCCACTTGGCTCTTGGAGAGCTGCCAATCAAGGGGGAGACCTTTAAACGGCATGCGTGCCTACTGTAGGGCCGTCCGAGGTGTTCAAACTTAGCAACTGCAATGCACCTGCAAACCTGACTTAAAACTAGAGCAGCTTCTTAATGACACGCCATCCACTTTGCAGCCAGGCGCAGCTCATGCAAAAGCTTGCATGCATACTACGATACGTCTGATGGGGGAACATGCTCCGAATGCAAAACTGTATTTCGTTCATGCGACATTTCCTTGGTTGGGAGCATGTACTTTTCCAAACAACTGCTACAGCCGTTTGTGCAAGCTTCGACAAAAAAAAAAAGGAGAAAGAGAAAAGAAAAACACGCATCCGGTGCTTTCTGCTTAGCATGTTTTCAGGCCACAGCAAGTGCTACTAACACCTGCTTGGAATGCCTATGCCCAGAATGGAATCTGACTGCATGCAGGAGATGTAAGAGATGCCAGCCGAGTGTGCACAGGAGTCCATTAGAAAAATGCTGAAACTGAAAATTAGAGACAGACATGGAAGTTCGAGAACAACAGTTTGAGCATGCCTGCTGATTCAAACCGAGCTGTTTAAATCAATAGACGAAAGCACCAACAGTGAGCTGCTTACGTTTCCCACAAATCTTTGCTTTTGTACAAAAAATCAAGAAAGTTTGTTCAATACGGCAGAGATCGAAACGGCAAATGTGCAAAATGAAGGGGCCCGTAGTACTATCTTAAAACCTATATAAATGTCATCATTTGTTAAAATGGGTATAAACTATTCATAATTCATTCATTTATAAATCATATTTGTAGCCTCTTGGACATTGCGCTTACAACGGTATGACACTATTTGCAAGGATCAGTTCCAAGAATTTAAGCTCAGGTCCATATGCAAAGAAATATGCTAGAATTGCATCTAACTGCTCAGACGTTAGACTACTTCTTAAAAGTGCTGTATGTCAAAGAGCATGTGTTTGTTGTTTTTTTATTGTACTAACATTTCAGCAATAAATCCAAGGGGTGATGGCCAGCAATTATTGCTGACATAACTGTAGAATCGACTAAATACAATGAAGCAGTAAATGACGATGCTGTATCAGGAGTTAATTATGTTTCACTTACAGCGTTTTTTAGCTTTCCTGCTGCTGATGCTAAATATGTACGACGTACGCGAATAAAAATAAACCGCATAGGATGCTATCGCGAACGAAACCCGTCCTTCCAGCTTAGAGTGACGGCGTCTAATCAACCAAACTGTTTTTTTGATAAGCAAGCATCCTGCACACAATTCGTCACATAACACTTATCTCACGAACAAGAACTTTCTCACGCCTGGTTTCACGAACGGTTACAAATCAACGCCAAATATCCGTTGGAATTTTTTTTTTCTTTTAAGCGGTGCATTTGTGCGATCAATTTCTGTAGCTGCACTGCGGGTTTATGAGAACACCCAGGAATGTAAAGCGATGCGGGAATGTCACCTTTCCGGATGAAATTTCGCGTACTAATCGTAGGCGACGAAGACACCCGAGAAGCTAGAATGAACAGTCTAAAACTCTTACTGCGAACATGCACGCATGCACTACTTCAACGCACTGAAGCCGTCCAATCAATTTTCAGCAGCACGTTCTTAGATGGTACTCAGAACGCGCGTAACACTTCGAATACGAAGAGCTTTCACATTTGAACTATCTGCGATCACGACTCATGTTAGCCAGTTATCAGCCGTCCGGCACTCGAGAAAGAGAAAAAAAAAAAAAAACACTTTCAAGGTTTCAACGCAGTATTCTTTCTCCGCCGAGTTTCGTTATGACCGTTTGTTGATCCCATGACTCATCTTCGTAACCGCTCCGAGGAGGTGTGGTCGCCGGAAAGAGCACTTTGCATGAGCGCTTACCTGTTCCTGAGAGGTGTACTTTGCGTTATCCATCATGACTCGCTCTTGGTTCTGAAGAAAACAACGGCAACAGCAAGCTCGCCAGTCTATAAATGGGTACGCAACGCTTTTGCCCACTCTCCACAAAAAGCTGATCGAGGAATAAGGCAGGCCTTATCATTTAAGGAGCTTGCGCGTCTGGGTGCATAGAGGGCGCCACAAAAATGACAACAGTTGGCGGTGACCAAATTTTTTTTTTTTGCCGAGAATTTTTTATATCCTTTCCTTTCTCTCTCGCTGCACTCTTTCTCTTGCACCTTGACCATTAGGTGATTCTATCTCGCAGCAAAAAAATACGTGTTTTCGGAGAGAAACAATGATGAAGATGACAATGACGAAGAAGAGGACGAGTAGATAGTGTGCACGTTCATGATTGTAAATTCTTTATCCTTTTAAACATTTCAATACTGATATTCTTAATAATGCTAATATATTAAAATGTTAAACAATATTTAAAGAATTTCACTTAACTCTCGGCCAATCTCCTGCATAGGATAAGAGCCATGATTGAGAAAAGGTTAAGAAGCAGCAGATGATCATCCTTTGTTTTCACACCAGGGACAAACAGCCAGCTCCGCTCTTAAAAACCAAAAGAGACGTTAATATAGGACGAGGGGCGGCCTAGCAGGTGTACTCTAGCGGTGTACTTTAACACTTTAGCAGGTGTACTCTAGCGTGGCAATAGCAAAGAATAGCACCAGGTGGCACACCATAGGAATTGTGCGACGAGTTTATAGCTTTTTACCAACTACAAAGAAATACCACCATAATTCACAATCGTCTGCCACACCATAAACAAACAGAATGCTGAAGGTAGCAGCGTGTAGCAATGCACACTGCTTGAACTTTGTCTTTGTGTCAACAATCTCATCTACTTATATAGAGCATGGTAAGACAGATGCTTGGGCTAGTTGGCAATTGGGAATCAACATACTTGCACAGCACAACACTACGAGTACTTACGTCATAACTATAAAAGAAGAAACAAGGACAGAAAAGAGCACTCTTTTAGTAACTTTTAGGTTTGAAATTAATTGCGATTTGGTCAAATAATTTAAATCAAATTCGAACAGAATATGTCACAAAGAAAATTGAACATACTTCCCATGACCAAACTAACCTGCAGAATATATATATTTTTTAAATCGAAACAAAGCATGTGCAAATGCCACTTTTTGGTTTGATGGAAGTAGAAGCAACTTAGAATAGTAGCAGGGTTCGACTTTGGATAGAATGCAAGCAATAAGCTCTAAATTTTATGCTCTAAATTTACTATACTTAGAGCATATAAGCTAGTGTAACAGATGTTTTAAACTTCCAACAAATTATGAATTGATGTGAGGGTAATATGTTCATTTAATTTTGAAGTAGGCCTTTGCGGCAGTCTGGATTTTCCCAGGATGAGTGCCATCACTGCACAGCACCTTTCCATTGCAGTGAAACCACTTTACAAAGTTACACATGCATTAATATGCACTTATTCATCTCAAATACTTTGAAATTTTCAATAATTTATATTCAAATTGGAACACTGCAAACACTACAACATCGGTTCAAATATTTAAAGTGCTTGAACATTAGCACAAGCCTTAAAACAAGCAATCTCACTGTTGTTTTTTTTGATGCACCTACAATTCTCTTGCAGTGGCTCGAGAGGTTTATTTCCAGCCACTCTAAACCTGTGGGAGCATGTCAGCAAACATTTATTTGCACGATGTTAGAACAAGACAAGCATATCAATCAAAATACTTTATTCCCGCTTAGAAAACAACAAACGCGAATTACAGCCGTGCAACGCCTCTTTATCTTCACCAGGAGCATAAAGGTCCATTATGTACAGGAGCATAATATATATATATATATCTTACAGTCAACGCAGATGAGTGGAGGGGGAGGGTCAATCAACCACGACCTTTGTTTCCGTTAAAAACACATTTTCTAGAAGGAGCTTGGGCACGAGAAGCTGAAGGTGTCGGCAGCCACGAATTTCAGCGAGTAATGTACAGCAACAGCAGCACCGTGCACGTCCCAATGACGAGGCCCAGAATGATGGAGTCCCTCCTCTTGCGCAAGTTGACCCTCTGCACCAAGCTGTTGATCATGGGGAAGCGGTCGTCAGTGCTGTTAAAGAATAGACTATACGCAGTCGCACAGGAACTAGCGCTGCAACCACTGAAGTATTCCTTACCAGTTTTTTATCATCATCATCAGCCTAAATATGCCCCGCTGCAGGGCAAAGGCATCTCCTATGTTCCGCCTTCAACATGATCCTGTGCTTTATGCTGCCACGTTATACCTACTAACTTCTTAATCTCATCAGCCCACCTAATTTTCTGTCTCCCTCTGACATGTCTGGCTTCTCTTGGAAACCCGTCAATTGCACTTAACAACCAGCAAAAAAGCATCATTACTTCCGATCTAAGCGGCATAAGAGAATAATTTTGGGAACAGTGTATAAAAACCTAATAAAACCTAATAAAGGAAAAATAAAAAAACTGGAGGGCATTGAGGGAAGCCTCACTGGGGATCACAGTTGGTATAGCACTCCCTCACCAGAGCAGGTATGGCCACCCTGGTGCAGTACTTGGCCACTGCCTTCAACAAGAATACACAAATCAGGCCTCAGTCCTCAGTACAAGTTTTTGATCAAGTGTCAAAGGTACTTTATTCAATGTAATCAAAATAGTAGCAGTTAACTAGCCAGTTATAGTCACTATAGGTTGCTCACTGCCCAATACTCTGTACACACAATGCCCGAGGTCCTCTCACCACAAAGCGACATACGCCCCTCCATCTTCCTAACAAAGCCCACAGGATGATCGCATACATTTACCCACCATTCTCTTTGGCTCACTCTCGCGCGCTTTTCCTTGCAGCTACATTGTGCAGGAATGTGATGGGTTTTTGCAACACTTGGACTTCTCGGTTATGGTAAAAAATTTGCTTCCTAAAAACACAAGAAATTGTGAATTAAAAGATCAACTCCTACAACAGTGAAACTTAAAGAGCCATTACACCCACAGTACATTAATGATAATAGCTGTTTAAGTACTCGCGCTCTCAGATTATTCCTTCGAGCGTACAGCCCTTTCCCCGAGACTTTGCGCAACTTATCACCGACTGTGTCAACATTCACACAACTCAGCACCAGGAGCAACTGTGGTCCAGGCATTAAGGTCACATGTTAAGACATATGTTGTGGCCTCACAAAGCTTCAGCGCCAATTGCAAACACGATGAGCAGAGGTAACGAAACTTATACATAAGAAATGTGGGGAAGTGCCAACAGTCACAGCAAGATAGGCTACACATGCAAAAGTGAAAAAATGCAGCCAAAGGATACTGGCTAGAGTGGTCATCTTGGTCTGAATGGCCTTCAGGGCGTTGCGCTGACTCAGCAACTCATCCTTTGTTCGAATAGCGATGCTGAAAACAAAAAACCAAAAATGCTCACAATTAACTGCAAGACAAATATGCACGTCTTAACAATGGTTGCATGGGGCAGTGGTAAGCAGTCTTTCACTACTCCGGAGGACCTGGAGCGAGATTAACAGAAAAAGCATCTACGAAAAAAAATTTCAATTTATATGTGCTGTCAAACAGAAACGGGAGGAGCGTAACAAGTGGGTGAGAAGGTTTCAGGCAGAAACGGGAGGAGCGTAACAAGTGGGTGAGAAGGTTTCAGGCCATATTTTCCAAGTCATTCAAGTAAGTACAGTAGACTCTTTAAGTGTGACGCAAACGGACCAGGAAAACGTCTCATTTATTTAACAGGGGTTCCGTTTACTGGGATATGTACACAGGTACAGAACAGTTCTAGTCATACAGCATTCACAGTGAAATTATTGGTCACAGTGAAATTATTGGTCACAGTATATGTCCCTCTGCTATCCCAAAACAGACATTAACATGACATTCCTTGGCAAAGGTGCTTTTGAATCAGAACTTCCAACTGCCCAAGAAGAATAGACTCAAGCAAATATTCACGAACAAGATAAAATTATCTAAAATTGTTCTGACATATTATCCACAATTGGTCAATGAGACCTTTGCGAATTTTGTGAAGAAAAAGCGATGACTGCCTCTAAAGCATGAGACAATGTGAGAAATCTATCTGCTTCAGATTTTTTGGCAAATGCATTTTGGATGCAGAGTGGTAATTTTTAGCATTGTGTACTGAAGCATAAAAATTTTATACCTGGCCCCAAGACCTATTGCAGCTATTTTTCCCAAATGTAATGAATTTCACTTGGATCAGCTGAACAGTTACTTAATCAGAGAGAAATTGTGCTTAATTTGCACAGGACAGCCTTAAGTATATTTATAAAAATTTCCAGAGGGCACTTCATGATTGTACAATTATTGTTACTTTCATGAGGCTATCATATCTGCACAATTGTAAGCAGACTCGAATGTAGGTCGACCCCCTAAAATTGCATGACAACAACAACAAGAAAGGAGCACAAGCACATTTTATTCAAGAAATTATTTATTATGTCATAAAAAAAAGAACTAAATGTTGTGTTCCAAGCACCCCTGTGTCACGAGCACTCCGAACCCGCGAAGGACCGGTTGCTGAAACTGCTTCCAGATGTTGACTCCTCCCCTTCCCCCGCTCGGCGCAAACGAGCCACCGTCGTTTCTTCCGGCAGTTCGGCCGCCGCCTCCATCCGAATAGGAATAAACTTGTTTTTAACCGTTCGAGGCTGTCTGAGCTTTTTGGACTACCGCGACCAACGCGTACGTCTATGGGCCGACGACAACACCGGACATAACACTAAAATAAAGTATTGTACCAAGGTGGCCTCACGGCAGTGTTCGAAAGCTGCGTAGAAAAGCTACCTTTGCAAGAATATGCAGGGGTCATTTTCAGATACGACCGAAACAGGTTGCCAATTCTAAGTTGACTTCCTCAAGTTTGGATATCAAATTAGGACAAAATGGGTCGACCTATAGTCCTGTAAATATAGTACATTTACCGCAGTAAGTGCTATGCACAACAATGCTGCTCAAGACACTAGTCTACTACAAAATGAATACCATCCACAAAGAAGAACAGCAGAAAGTGCTTTGCTTACTTTATTTGGTCATGCACCATCCGATCTGAACTGAAATTAAAGAGA